TTTCTTAGGTGGAAAAAATGTAAATAAATATGTAAAAAATTGTCATATATGGATAATACCCGTGGCTCATCCAGTAGTTACCATTCTGCCCAAGAGCTGCATGTGACGGATCCTATTACTGGGACCTTGTGACTGCATTACACTGAGAACATAAAATTGAGCTCTGCAGGGCCCACAAGGAAGACAAATGTTACAGAAATGTTCAGTGAAGATGACCAGGCTGCCGCTGTGACACTTGACGCTTTTGCTCTCAGCGATGCATCCCTTTTGTTTTCTCCACGGGAAGCCTCCTCGTATATGCTCAATAGATAAATGATTCATTAGGGGCTGCAAAGGCCGAGCCCTCCTTACTGGAAAGGCCGCGAGAACCCACAAGCAGCGCCTGGCTGCGGTGTTGATTGGAAGGTTCATTTGGCGAGAACTCTTTCCTTCTCACCCTTAACCTCAGGGGCAAGCACCGCACGCATAATGCCTGGGCTCCAGCCACCAATGAGGGCCCTGAAGAGTGGATACTTGTGACTTTGAAACTGTTCCTGGGGTTCATGGATTCAGCGTCGGAGGATAAACCTCACAAAGGCCGTACGAGCACTTCTGCTGTGAAAGTAACGCTCAGCAGAGACCTCGCTCGCACGGTACTCTGAAAGTCAGCACAGGCGAACGGCTTGCAAAAGAATCCGAACCAATCCGCGCATGGAGAACAGGAAAGAACGCCTTCCAGTGCTGCCCAAGTCATTTCCAAATAGGTTCAGATTCTTTGCTTAAATGTTATTAGTCTACAGAACAGCAATGAAATAACTAGCACCTGCTAATTAAATAAGGTATCATGGGGCTGCAACCGAGAGTGTCTCGCTAGGACACAGGTAAATTCCACGACAAGCTCTGTGTTGTCTTACACTTTAAAAGTCTTCCACTCTGGTTGGATTAAAGTGTAAAAGGGAAATAGGGATCATTAACTTGGTAATTGTGCTTGGCTTAAAGCACAGCTAGCATCTGGTTTTTGATACTATGAAGTGTCTAAAGTAGTCTTTCTGAAAGTGGTGGTTTATAAACTTTTTTTATCACTCCATTATTAGGTTAGAAAAAAATTCCTGAACATGCAGCCCCAACATTTATTTATTTATTTATAAATGATATACACTCAGTAATATAGTAATGTAAGAACAGAAAAGTAGAAAATTGTAAACGTCTAAAGCAACAAATGTTGCTAATACTTCTATTTTGACAGAGAACTAGTTCTGATGTCACCAATATTTTTAAAAAGAGATTGAAGTGGTTGACTGGGTCTCTTTTATTTTCGAGACTCCTGGTTGAAAATTTTGTGATACCACATTTGAAGGGTTGTTTTAAGTGCAGTTCATTCTAAAACTTGTTTGAAATGGCTGTCATGGTTTAAAATAGCTGAACAGGTAAGCCAATCTGGAAGAATCACGCGCTCTCAGAGCTCACCACGTCGCAGGGCGCGTTGCAATTGTACCCGCAAATTACGCAAAGGTTTCAGCTGCGATTTGGCTGGTCAGGTTTCCATCGTCGGTGAAATCCATCAGTCTTTCTTAGAAACCAGGTAAACGCTGTCAAGGAATGATTCAGGTATTTAGCTAGTTGCTTTTCATGCAATTAGTTTGCTCTGTGCATGAGGAAGGAGGGTCAACGGAGGGTTGTCAGGGAACAGAATTAAGAACGGGATGCGGCAGAGCGGGGAGAGGAAGAACCCTGCCAGCAGCCTGTGAGCCAGGGCTGCAGCCAAGTTTTGCAGGTAAACACATCAGTTGGCGGCTGATGGAGACAAGCCTGCGCATTCTAAGTCGGCCAGCTAGCTGGTCAAAGGAGACGATGAAGACGCGGATGGGTTTTTCCAAAGCCCTGCCAGTGTGGCTGCAGGGCTGCGAGGCTTGCAGTGTGGGTGGGACGTCTCCCGTCTCCCCCCTTAGCCTCCTGCCTTAGCTAAGTGGGGCCTGCACCACTGGCCTCCTTACAACTCCTGGGCGTGTTTAAAACCCAGCTCTCCATTTGGAAGATTTTTAAACATGCTTAGAAATTTCAGTTTCTCAGTGAAGTGTGCAGAAATGGCATATATATATATATATATATATACACACACATCATCGTTAGCCACAAAATCACCTAACATTGGAGAGATGGCCAAACATCTATTTTCAAAAATACAGTCTTCAGAGGATAAGATTCCTTTGAAAACTAATGGCTTTCTCACTCATTGTTAAAACATCACCTCCAACTTGAAGGAACAGGTTAAGTGTGTTTTCGTGAAACTACAGAGCACCCCAATTACAGCTACTTATCACAGAAGAGATGAGGAAATACAAGAAAATACAGTAGCTCGTTTTCAAAGTCTGACGACTCTTTTGAGTGCTGTGTCACAAGGTGATCTGTGATCTCTGGCACGTGGGCGTTCCAAGGTCACCCCTCACCTTATTACAAAACTTGGAGAGCAGGCTCGCAAGACCTGGTTTTGTCACCACATGGATGGCCACCACATGGAGCCCATCTCAGCCACCATCGGCTGCGGTCCAGAGACACTCAGGGCCCCTCCTGGGGGGAGCATTAGTTGTCCCTGTCACATCTGTGCTCAGCTTGATTGTGTGTCTCATTTCAGACAAAAGCGCATGGCAGTGGTGTTGGTCCATTCGGATCAGAAGTGTTAAGATCTAGCCTGGACGTTGGCAGTCTCGATCTGGCACTCCAGCTGGCATCGCTGCTGGCCGAGGTGGCTTCATCAGCCCACGCCCTGGAGCAAAGCTGGCAGGGCGAGTGAAAGCATGTCCCAGATGTGTGGAACACACACTAATGTTTGGGGCATTCTTATCCTGACGGTTTCTTCATAGTTTATCTGAAACTTCAGTTTAATGGAGCACCCTGTAGCTTACCCAGCAACCCCAGCTGTAAGTCCCTGGCGCTTGGGGGTTGCTTGTTTCAGCCACATGTGGCAGTTGTACTTGACCAATATCCCAGGGCACCATGGTCCAAGGATGGGCACCTGGGTCGATGCATTTTGGAAGTCTGAGCAAGGCTTCATTTTGCCCTTACCTTTCAGATTTAAAAAAAAAAACAACAAAATGACAGCTCCTCCTGCACCCCAGATTTTCTTTGGAGGGTACTACCCCAAGGTGGTCAGATACTGGTGATTCCCCTGAAAATGCACATTCCTTGACGTGATCTCAGAGATACTGATTTAGACTCTGGGGGTCGCTGGTGGTCTCACTTAAGTCTCTCAGGTGATAAATAAATTGGAAGTTCCACTGGCTTGTGTCTGCAATGTGACTGTTTAGAAGGCTACCTGGGAGAATGGGTCACGTGTCCTGCCTTTGTCCTAATCAGCTTTGCATTAGGTTCACAGCAGTTCCGTTCTCCTGCCTCGGCTGCGCTGCTCTCATCTAAAGACGATGGGACTGGCTCAGGCAACCCTGCATCCCTCCTCCAGCTCTAAACATCCAGGACCAGGAGTTGGAGCTCAGGGCCACCCAGGGTCCAGCGGGCAGAGTAAGCAAGTGAGGCTGGGTAGACGGGACTCCAGGCCACAGAGGAGACTGTGGCAAACTGTCAGGCATGAGCCCTGTTCAACTGCTCCCTGATGGTTCCCCTTTCAGAGGGGGCTGTTTAGGGCCTCGGAGGGCCCTCGGCACACCTGTCGGACATATAATTATTTTCCTGGATAGGTTTCTAAAAGGATTTCTAATTTTGCTTTGGAAAATCCTGTGTGCTGTGCATTACTGTCAATTTATAGCTGATTGGGATTTCTCTGAAACCATCATGCAGGCTGGGGGCATTTTGTAATCAGAGAAAGTCTAACCTACAAATTTTAGGATGGAACAAACTGTAGTACTAAATTTAATAATTAAAGACATTGATGTGAAATATTTGAGAGATACTTCATTAAATGTTTTTAGCTTTGATTTTGCAGATTTAAAAAATATTTCAGAGCCAACATTTTCATGCCTCAAACATTTTGGTACGTGTTTTAAAAACCTGTCAGCACTAGCCTTTCTACCTGCCTTGCCTAAGAGCTCAAAGAGTGCACTGCGCCCGGTGTTGGTAAAACAGGGATGACCAGATAGGACACTGTCCACTGAGCTCACAGTCCACAAGGGAGACAGAAACAAACAGGCAGTTTTTCTATTAAGTGACAAGTGCAGGATAAAACTACACACAAGCTTTGGGAACAGGAACCCTAAGGGGGAAGGTGAGGGGATGTCAGGACAGACTATCAGGGATGATGCCTGAGTCCACCTAGAGAAATACGCCAGGGGAGGAAGGAAAAGACAGTCTAGGCAGAGGAAAAACACCAGCAGCAGTGACGTGTGAAACGGCTTGTTCCTTGTTCCATAACCAGAAAACTATAAGCAGTTTGTTTATTCAACAAACGCGCCTTCAGCAGTGAGAGCACCAGGCATGGGGGAGGCAGGAAGCAGGGAGAGTGCAGCCTGGGGACAAGGCCCAGGATAACCGTGTCACCAGCGCAGAGCAGAGCGGTGGCAGACAGGGAAGCACACGCCAGGGGATGCTGGGAGGTGGGAGGTGGGGGGCGGGGCAGACCCCCTTCAAATGTGAAAGTCTGAAGAACGATCCATGGTTTCCCACATTTCAGTCGCTTGCATTAGAAGCAATGATAATAACTTTTAAAAACCCACAGCACATAAAAGTTTTTGAATAGGGAAAAGAAAAATAAGCACTCAGAGCTAGAAGAACATATTTATAGACTTGATGTAACTCAAGTGTGCCCAGTGTCGCCTGCCCTCAGGGGTCACCCTCCTCCCCTACCTCCAGTCCCAGCCCTGTGAGCGGCCCCAGGAAACCCAGCCCCTCCTCAGTCTTCTCTGCACTTGAGAGCCCCTGAGTACCTCCCCCGGCCCTTCCAAGATCCCTCTGCAGCTCTTTTTCGGTGCGGAGCTCCTGGCTCCCTCCATCTCACTCTTCTCTGCCTTTCTTCCAGGCTGTTTCCAGCACATTTTCCCACTAAGTATCATCAACAAGAATTCAGGCACACACTTCTCAAGAAATCTGCAATCTGAGAAAATAATTACTCCTGCCCTTCTTACACAGGACTATACAATAAAAACAACAGAATTTAAAGATTAGTAGAAGCAAAATTACACATATATGCTTAAAAGCTTAGTAAAAATTACATTTTACTATAAAATACAGGCATTCCTTGGCAATATGGCGGGTTCGGTTCCAGACCACCGCTGTAAAGGCAGAATAGCGATGAAGCGCGTTGTCATCTTTTTGCTGGTGGAGAGTTTTGCCTTCAGTTTGTAAAAAACGCAACACCTGTGAAGTGCAATAAAGTTGAGCTCAAGAGAACAAGGTGTGCCTGTAATGCATAATCAGAAAGAAAAAAATAGGAAAATAAAGCAAGCTTTAAGGAACACATTTTAAATCATCTTACCACTCATGTTTTTAAAATTAGGATTGTATAGCATTTCTGCTTTTTAACATATTATCATTCAACATCGTATCGTGTACAATTTAAATGTTCTTGCAAAAGAAGTTAATGGTTACACAAGTTAATAGTATTATGTACCAAAGGTAGACTTAACCATTCTCCTGATGTTAGATATTTGTGTTCAATTTTTTACTATAATGTGTTCCCCCCCAAAAAAATCGGGTGCAAAATACAAACAAAATTATAAATATCAGAATCAGTACATGTTGACGTGTCTACAGTGTCCTATTATATCAGATTCCTCGTTAAATAAAACCCGTGAAAATGTTTTGTTACATTTGAAAGCAATTTGCCAGTTGAGCTTGTTCAGTCCCAAGGGTTTCTGAATATGCACGTATTTACCAGAGCCTAATGTAAATTGAGAAAGCCACATAACTGCAACACAAATTAATCGTTCAAAAAAACTTCCAGTATTTTACCGCAAAGCATATTTTTATGAAGGATGTGGCTGCATTTAATTTCGCTTGCTATGACACTGGGTGCTGAGTCCGAGGGTTAGAGAGCCTACTAGCACCTTCGAAGACTTGAAACGGCCCCGGCTGTTTCTCTTGCTCCCGGCTCCTCAAAGCGCTGGCCTCCTCTCCTGGGAGCCTGTTAGAAATGCACACGCTCAGGCTCATCCCAGACCTACTGCATGAGAATTTGCCCGTCAGCTCGAGCCCCAGGTGCTTCCTGGACCACCCGGACCGCCCTCGGCCAGTGCCCGGGGCCTGACAAACCGCGGGTTCTCGGAAGATGCTGCGACCGCGGCACCTGGCAAAACCCTGTTGAGGGACCACCGCCTCTGAAGCCGGGGCGCCACTTCCACTCTCGGGACTGCGGCCCACGCGGGCATTGTGATGCGGGGACAGGACGCCCAGGCGGGGCAGGCTTGATCTGAATGCCCCTCGCCTGGCACGTCTCCGAGAGCCCGTTTGTAAACCGAGGAGGTCCTGAAGACTGGGGAGAGAAGGCTGCCAACACTGCACTACATTATATAACGGACGGCAGCACCTCCCCGCCCACGCAGGGAGGACCTCGGCGACACCCACCATGCCCCGAGCCCAAGTACACGGAACTGTCAACAAAGACCAGCAGTTTGCGAGGGGTGGAGCCTAAAAGTCAGATACCGCGAGAAGTGGTCTTCTGAGTAGGCTGTGAGAGCGCATGCGCACTACAGCTCCCGCCCCTCCGCGAAGGTGGCTACCACCGGAGGCAACGAGGCAGGGCCTCAGGCACAACGCTCGCGAGATTTGGACGTGCCACGGTTACTTCTTCCTGTGAGAGGCCGGAAGTGCGGTGTGAGGGGCGTTTCTTGGGCGCATCTGGGCGTTTCTGGCGCCTTCTGTGCTGTGCAACCGCGTAGGTGGGCCCGGGTTCCCGTCGCGGCGTCTCGGGTCCTGCTTCGCCTCGCTTCCCCGGTACCGAGGCGATGGGGGACTCCAAGGAGGCCGGGGCCGAGACTCCGCCGGCCGGGGCCACGGCTCGCGGAGGACTCAGCCTCCTGTCCCCGGGAGAGGCTGAGGAAGCTTCCGCACAGGTGAGTCCGCGGGGCGGGACCGCAGGGCTCCGGGGCTGCGGGCGCGTTCCGCCGGGGAGGGATGTCACGGCTCCCGGCGGCTTCTGGCGCCTTCTCCGCGCTTTCCCGGTAGCTCCCTCCAAACGGGAGTGCAAGCCTGTGTGCCTGTCGCCAGGTATCCAGGTATTTACTCGCAAGTCATTCGTGGCAGCAGCAGTCCTGGCCGCCCCAACCGATCGGTGAGCTAGACCCTTTCTGTGCTGTCAAGGCTCGTGCACGTAAATAGTACGCGCTTCCAAAGTGCGGCGCAGCCGTGAAAAGAGGGAGGAGACGAGGGGGTGCCAGGGAGGAGCCGCCCGAGGTGGGCCCGGGCACAGCCGCTCAGTGTTTGCTGAGGTCTGCGCGAGCGAAGGGTAGGGTCGTGGATGCGCCCCAGGGCTTGCGGGGGGCGGGTGCAAGTGACGGCCGCGAGGGGCCCCCAGGGCCGCCGCGGAGAGTCTTAGAGAGTCAGAGGGTTGATGACTAAACCTTTGCTTACAAACAAAGGAGACCCAGCTATCTTACCGCAAACTGCTTTCCGAACGGTGTATGTTATTCAAGTTAAAATACGTCTTTGATACTGAACAGAGGTTTTATCACACGTCGTATTTCGTTAACGTGACAGTGTTGACTATTCCTTGGTTCCTGTTTCTCCAATTTCTATGGATACAATTTAAAAGGTAGATTGGCCAGCGTCCCAGCTGACATCCATAACCACCCTACTCCTTGACTCAAGTTTTATCTTTGAAACTTTTTTTTTTTTTTAAAGAGCTAACGAAATGTGACCGATGATGCTCACGGGTGTCAGGGCTGTTAGTAGCAGGCGACAGGCACGCTGGCGAAGCCGGACGCAGCGGGCGTTTGTTTTCATCGAGAGGCGGGTCTGTTTCGTTCCCGGGGTGCTCATCCAGCTCCCCTCCGCCCGCTCCCTAGGGATCCGCCCTGTGCCTCGGGGGCAGCGAGGTGAAAAGCCGCGCCGTGGTCAAGTACTCCTCCGCGCCGCCGCGGGCCGCCTTCGCGCGCCTCGAGGAGAAGACGGACCTGAAGCTCCCCCCGGCCAACTGGCTGCGCGAGAGCGCCAAGCTGGGGCCGGCGGGGACTACCATTCTTGGCAACAGTAAGAAGAGCAAGCCATTTTCAAGGTAAATTCAATCCGTGGGCTTGTTTTGTTTTTGAACGTTTTTATTTCTTTTTACAGAGGGAAGGGAGGAAGACAGAGGGGGGGAGAAACACCCGGTACATGCCCATGTGCCCTGAGCGGCGTCTGACCGGCTGCCTGTGGCGTGGGGACAGTCGGGACAGTCGCCCGGCCGAGCCACACTGGTCAGGCTCAGGCAGCGTGTTTTCCCGGGTGCCCCAGACCCCTGCTCCGCGACCGCACTCTGCTGCCCGTGTCTCAGTTTAACTTGTAGTGCTCAGCGTCGGGACTCTGAGGGCCCCACCTTTCTGCTGCTAATGGGGTTGCATATTGTGAAGATACCACCAGGGCACGTCTCTTACGCGTCTGCATCGTGTTATTAACAAAGCTGAATTTTAACCCTTAAAATTCAAGCGGATGCTCTATTTTTAGCCAGTTCACACACCTTTGGAATATGTGACTCCAGAGCAGTAAAGCGACACCCGGGGAGGAGAACCGCCCACGTTGCCTGTCTGCCCTGGGGCGTTTCCATTCAGGGGCCTGGGTTTGTCAGTCCCAGACCCAGAAACCCAGTGTATCGGGTGGCTCGTGCCCTTGCCTTTGACACTTGCTGGAAACCCCGCTGGTGCTGCTGAAAGCTGAGTAGCCTGGGGCCTTACCAAGACCACAGTGTGAACGTCCACAGCCTTGTAGACCCTTGAATGTGGGGGGGCGGGGGAGGCTCTTTTCCTCTCCGCGATTGAACCGCCTTGTTTGCACACAGCATATAGCAAGTGCCGCAAGTACATTCGTACCTTAGAAGCCAGTGGTTTGGAAATTACCTTAATGCCACTTGAGGTAAGAGGTATACTTGCAAAGTGTTGTTTGTAGCAATATTTCTACTAGTAAAAAGTTGAAATAACCTATATATATGGCTTCATTTAGAAGGATGGCTTAATAAACTATGATGTGTGAACACCATGAAATGTGATGAGGTGATTTAAATGGTAATTATATTGACTGTACGTACATTGTGTTACGTACTTTATATGTTGCTGTCACTTCATTCTCATGACAAGCGTTTGAGTAGGTACTGCTGACTAATTTTCAGGTGGAAAAACTGAAGCTTAGGAAAGTTAAGCAACTTGCCCGGACTACAACATGAATTATCAGGGAAGGCTTTGCAATCAGGCGGTCCCGGGTTAAGTATCCTGGCTCCCTGCTGTTTACTAACAAAAAACGATAACTAACGTCAGGTGCTTTTCAGGCTTGTAGGTGTGCTTCATGCTGTGTCTTGTGCACCCATTTTCTTTCGTCCTCTGGCTGATTGGGGTCAGGTGTACTTTTGTTACAGCTATATGTATCTCTTAAAACAGTATTGTATGTTACTTGGAACACGGTCACAAACACTAAAATCCTGTTAAATGTTTTTGTTTCTGTGTTTGTTACCTTCCCACGTAAAAAGAATAACATCTTGAACTAACTGACCTCTCAGAGATATTTTGGGGTTTGTGATTATACAAATGAAAGTAATTGTTAATTGTTTTTATTCTAGATGTTTCCTATGAATTGCTTCTAATTATTACTCTGTTTTATCAAATCTTAAGATCCCATTGATTTTTAAGTAGCACCATTATTTTATATACCACTAAGCAGGAAAAACTAGCCAACTATCCTGGTAATAGGCACGCTGATTTCAGAGATGTCAGAATGTGGAAGACGTGCATCCTCGAAGGGTAAAGGACAGTGTTCTGTGATTTGACACTGTTGTGTCATTGTGAGCATGACCTTCGTGGCCTTTGTTCCCTTCATTAGCTTTGGGATGGCGTACGACTTCATCGATTCCGTGGGTAACGATGTGGATGTCGTCTCTGACTCGGAGGTGAGTGTCCTTACTGGGTAGTGTCATCGGGGTGTTTGTGGTAGGGACTTAGAGCATGCTCTGTTCTGTGGTCTTGAGAAACTACTGATGACAGGAGACAACCATCTGTTCATTGAACACCTTTTTGGTTGTTAAAGTAACACTCCTCTTTGATACATCTCCTTTCTTCAGAGAGGAAGGAACAACCCCCAAAACACTGGCAATAGTGATAATACTAATATTGATGGTTGTGTTTTAAAAATAGAAGTTACAGGTGATTATAATGTTTGGGATGATTTTGTATGTTACCAGTGGAGAATTAGAAATGATGCCTCTAGCAAAATCTCTTGCTCCTTAGTTGGTCAGTTTTAATCCGATACGCTAGAAGCCTAGGTCAGTGCAAGTGGGACCTATCATGTGACACTTAACTTTAGGGAGTTCTGCCGTATCAAACTAAACCTGTGATCATCAGTTAGGTTGACACAGTATGACTTGTAAAGTGCAGGTGAAGGAAGTTTGAAAGATCTGTCTTGTGTGTATATTTAGCTCTTTGTATAAAGTACAGTTTGTAGAACCTTAGGTAAATAACATTTATTATGCTTTAAAATTGAATGAAGTTAAAAATTGAAAGATCATGAATCACTAAGATCTTTTTAAACTCTTCTTTCTCTTAATTTTTTTAAGAACATAAAAAAGCTGCTGAAGATCCCCTACAGCAAGTCCCACGTGAGCATGGCTGTGCACCGTGTCGGAAGGACTCTCTTGTTAGATGAGCTGGATATTCAGGAACTCTTCATGAGATCTTCGCAGGTATTAATTTTTGTGGAAAACCACCTGAAAAGCATTAACAACTTCAGGGCCTTAGAAATAATGATTGTTTCAAAGAAAGGTCGAAGTGGAAACATAGTTGAGTGCTTTGGCAACTGAGAAAGGTAAGTTTCACTGATAATAAAAAAGCTTTGGTAAAAAGTAGAAAAGAGAATTGGCAAGAACCTTATTGATACCACAGCCAGGATTCTTGTAGGAAAATGATGAATCCAATGCAGAAAGTTGTGAAAATTTCTGAAATTAAAGGGACTAGTTTAAATTTTTGAAAAACCCTTTGATGTCTCCATTAAAGAGATTCTTGAGAAACAGGACAGCCAGGAAATGTGAGAAATGTTGTTATTCCTACAAATCTTTAGTTATTAGAATTAACTGGTTCTCTTAAAGCAGAGGCTCTCAGTCTATGTTGGTAAATGACTTTTCCCCCAAGGTATTGATGGTGGATGCTTTTGTAAAAAATAACCATGTTGCTGTTCGCGAGGTTTACTCTCCATTTCTATGCTTAACTTTTCATGGACTATTTGCAAATAGTTCATGGTTCTGCCAGTCCCATAGGCTATTTTTTTAAAGACTGTTTCTGCAGTGCTTTGGTAAAAGAAGATAAGTTACAGTCATTTAAATCGACGTTTAAAATAAATGTTATTCCTGTTAAAAAGACCGCAGTTGTGTTCGGTCTGTTATGTATGTGCTAGCTCCGGGGCAAGGTCTCGAATATGACAGTAACTGAATCACAGCCCTTGCTCCCCAGCAGCTTACAGCTTTGGTGCTATGCATAAACACACACAGATCATTGCGGTGCCGGGTGCGTCGTGGAGCTGACCCAGGCACTGAAGAAGACGCTGTGGGGAAGGGTCGCCTCCGCGCTCCTGGCTTGGGGAAAGAAGGAAGTCAGGGAGATTTCCTAAAAGAAGTGATACGGGTTGAATCTGGAAAGATAAATGCTTGAATATGTATTTATGAAACAGTATTCAAAAAAGAGAAGGTATTTCCTGTAAAAGAGTAATAAGTAACAGATGGTTTTGATGCATTGATCAATTTCTTCTGTTTTTCAGACGGGTGATTGGACATGGCTAAAAGAATTTTATCAAAGACTTATTGATCAGAAGTGGCAAAGGAAGAAAAAGAGCAAAGAGCACTGGTATCAGAAGGCTATTCTTTCCAAGTTTTTATATTACAGGTACTTGGCTCCTTGTTCATTTTATCTTAAAAGGAAAAATCAAATTCTGATCTAAAATTTAATTTGAAACCAGTAAAAATAATAATTTAAGGTTTGCCACTATGGTATTCTTGACACTTTAATGTCTTATATTTTTTTAAAAAATAAGACTATGTTTGATTACAGAATTTAGGTTTTAAAAAGTAGTTGACTTACATGAGCTTAACTGTAGTAACTGTGTGATATTTTTTGTTTCCAACGTGGCCAGTATCAATGGTGATGGAGCCGCGCAGCCCGTCCCGTCTGCTGCAGAACAGCAGGAATCGTCCAGCTCCGATCAGACAAATGACTCAGATGGGGCTTCGTGGCCCGCCCCCTTTGACATGCCTGCTTCCGTTTCCGAAGATCCCAGTGCTTCCAGTCAGGTGAGCTAGGGCCGAGGTGCTCCCTCAGTAGGCTCAGTTAAGATGACAAAACCGAGGAGCTCCTTAATAAAAATAGATGAACAGGAGTAAAAAATATTCTGTCAATTCATGTCTCACAATGAGAAAACAATACTTCTTTTAGTTTTTCAAGATGGAATTTACAAGAGGTATGAATGGCTAGATCAGATTTTTAAAATTCAAAATATTTAATTTTATCAGCATTAAAATAGCTCACAATGATTATCAATACTGATTATCTCCTTAAAGTCATGAGTATTACAATATATAATAAGTATAGTGATATAGGATATTTTAAACTTTAGATGTGTAGTAAATGCCTATCAAATACTGATTCAGAGACTTGTTTGTAATTTAAATACTGACCTTAATTTTTAGTCAGATTATTAGGCCTAAAATCGCCATTAAGATTTTCTGGATGAAGTTCCTGAGTCATTAACTCACATTAATCTTATAAAGCTTTTAAAAAAGAAAAGAGTAGAATAGTGTCTGTATTGTCTCTTACATTCTTGGTTTCTTCTTATTGCTTGTTGACTTTTGTTATTGCTTCGATAAAAGAAAGAACTAATTCCATAGATGTAAATTGTACATGTCTGTTTTCAGGAAAATATATTGACAGACTCGAAGAAGATAAAAGTATGATGTTTAACATGGTAAATTGTTCTCACATATTGAAAATTATTCATCCAGAATGTTGCTATCTTTACAAATTACAGGATTACAAGGAGGCAGATTTAACTTGATTTTGGTTTTAGTAGGTTTTAAAATGGAGAAATCGCATTAAACTATGTAATGAATTCAAGTGTTTCCTAAGTGGGAGAAACCAAGGAAAAGGAAGGAAGGAGTTAGAGTGCAGGTTGGCGTAGAGGAGCCCCAGGAGCGGGGCGCAGTGGCCTGAGAAGGGACATGGGGGCTGGGTACCAGCAAGGTCCCGGGTCACGATGTGGGGACTGGTTACACTGGTAATTTGCTTTGCCCTCGATCCTGATACTGTATTATTTGTTTTACCATGTTCCCATATGTGATTATGTTTCACCAAAGGAGTATTAAAAAACTCTTTTAGTCTTCCTTGAGTTCAAAACCCACACGTGACAGAAAGACACACTACAGAAACGCCAGTCTCCTACCAGCCATCGCCCCTCGCCCAGTCTGCCCTTACCTCATGTAGGGATCACTGCGAGAGGTCCCGGAGGCTCTTGAGAATTTGCAGACTTGCATGCAGAGGAAGTGACTGGCATCTCGTTAATGCCTCTCATGCTGTGTACTTCATACCGTGTACATGCTTGTGTGTATACATTGTTCTCATCCCCAGAGCCGCATGTGTGTCAAGTACTGATGGCATCATTTTACAGATGAGTAAACCAGAGCTCATGGGGAGTAGGTGTTTGTCTGCGGCCACACAGCTGGTGCAGACTGAGGGCGTAGAGCCTGATCTCTCTGGCTGCGCAGGCCTGTCGTGGAGCCGCCCTCTGCCATGTCCATGGCTCCACACGTTTAGTAGGGCCTCGGGGCAGTCTGGTTGTCTTAGCGATGGTGTGTTCCCGGGATGCACTGGCCTGCTGTGAAAATAATCTTTTGTGGGCTATTTTTATAACATGTTATACAGCCTAAATTTCAGCATTGAGAGATTTATTTTTGTCTGCAAGCCACCACCTCATGAATTCTTGTTCCACAGACTGAAACTGCTGGTTTGAGACCTGGGTTAAGCACTCACAGGTGAAACAGGTGTCTTTGGTATGGTCTTACAGCCAAACACACTTTTAGCTGGAACGTCACAGCCTAGAACCCAGACTCTCTAAAGCAACTACCTGGCAAACAGGACTTTGGAAGTTGGTCCATAGGTTAATAACTTGGCTGTATAAAAATTAAAAACTTGGAAGCTCTGTTAGGATTTTTAAGGGGAAGTCAGGACACCCCAAAAGCACTGGACATTCACACATGCAGCCCCGGCCTCGCAGTCATGTGTTGATGCGCACATGGGGTGAGAGGCGGGAGTTCACGGACAGAGCAGTGGGCGTGTACATGTGCTCCCCCATTGTGGGGACTGTGGGCATTGGCACAAAGAGTTAATGTTTCTTAAGGCCAGCTGCCCTGGTGATTGGGAAATCGAATGGTGGGCTGAGTCTACCGTTGTCAGAAGTCCCCTTTTGTAAAAGTGCTTTCCAAAGCTATTCTGCGGAATGCATGAGGAATAACAAGTCCTGAGATTAAATAAGCTTGGGCGTGCTGGATTACACACAGGTAAAGTAGATTTTTCTACCGCAGGACCTATAAGAGACTTTTTAATGGTAATAAGTAAGCATTGTCACTTCCCAAAAGCAAGTTGACAGTAAGTAGCGTTTGTCACAGCTCATTCTGGAACTCTTTCACCGAGTATCGCAGGGACTAGTGTTCTGTGAAACACACTGATAAATGCAGAATGGCTTTGTTATGGTGGGAGTGTCACAAGTACGGTTGGGGTCTCTTAGGAATATTTTAATTTCATAGAGGTGGGGTAGACTAAAGAGCAGTGGTATTGAAATTCACCCAGAAAAAGAGAAAAACTTAAAACTTTTACAGCTAAAATAATCTTAAATCTTTTTTGAGTAAGATGTATATGTGATGAGCTTGTTAAAGTAGCTGTGACCGTTGAGAGGGACATAGTACACAGTGACGAGAGTTACGGCTGTGTCTTGGCCAGGTTCACACAAGTAGGTTTGAGGCGTCTGCTGGGAATGCCTGGGTAAGACTGTAACGATAGGCCATTTACGAGAAACTGGCATCAGAATCACTCCTTATCCTTGCACTTTTCACAGGGAAGTGAGCCTCTTGAACCCTCATACATAGTGGGGCATGTGGCCTCAGCACCCAAAGAGCAAAACCTAACTACTTTGTTCAATGACGGGGAGAACAGTCAGGTATGCCTTCCGCGGTGTCCGCCTTGAGACGCCCGTCCGCAATCTACTTTGTCATTTAAAAACTACTCTCCGTTGGACTTCATAGGGGAAAACAATCTGCCTGATCCTGAACATCGCTTTCTAAACATCTCTGATCTTACACCGTGTCATGTTTACTTTGCCTCCTCTGCCTTTTCTTTTTCCTAGTCTTTCTGTGGATCATGGGGGGAGTTATGGATCTCCTGTGTACTCTATAATAATCTTGCTTATTTTAAATCAAAGGGCCTTAAAAATGACTTTGTTCGGAATATTTTATGGACATTTGAAGATATACATATGCTGGTTGGCTCCAACATGCCTATATTTGGAGGAGGCAGATATCCAGCGGTCAGCTTACGTCTCAGGTAAACCTAACTGGCGTTTCTGTGGAATCGCTGTCCTGTGTGCTCTTACTTACCTATTTGGGCATCATTGCCTTTCTCTAATTTTTTTCGACCTCCCCGTTCCTTCGCCAGTTGAATTGGCACAATAAGGAAAGAGCTGTTATGAGCAGATGCTGAAAGCCCTATAGCTGGGTTTTCGTTGCAGTTCTCGATGAATGAGGTCAGAGGCCTGATGCACTGGCTTCGTCTTATGTCTGAATCTGCAACTTGTGAAAATATAATAGCACTTATCTAATTAGTGAGGGAGGTGGTTTTCCAGCTTCCTATTTACTGTGAGCGTTTTCTTAATGCTCCAGGTGTGTGTGCTCACATTCGTCAATGTGAATTCTGACTCTGGCATTGCGGTGCATGCGGGCGTCAGCCTTCCCCCCTCAGCTTGTTGAGGAGCATGCAGGAAGCCCACAGTCACCCGCTGCCATCTCTCCTATTCCTGCAGAAAACTTACAACAGATACCAGTTAGAAATGCAAGCGGAGCTTATGAAAAGATGTTAAATATAACACACCACATGAGCTGCGTGTGCATATCTTGTCAGCAGAGGCAGCTTATATGGCACTTCCCATCTAGGGAGCACGGATTAAATAGTTAAATGGGAGACATAAGTCTCAGATCATTCATTATGGAACATCTCAATTAAACCAAATAACACTAGAAATGTATATTTTTAGGGATAACAACAAACCAATTAATGTGCTAACTGGAATTGACTATTGGTTGGACAACTTGATATGCAATGTACCAGAGCTTGTGATGTGTTTTCATGTAAATGGAATTGTACAGGTAAGATACAGTGTGAGTTTTCTAATAATCTCTCAAGAGCAAATTGGTGCAGAGAGTACCTCACCAAAGTTTTTAAGGCCCTTAAAATCTAAGGTATATTTTTGGCAAGGAAGGTAGCTGTGAATGAACTGAAATTTGAGCGTTTTCACATTTAAGTTGTTAATAGAATTCTAGATGTTACGGGAGTATAAATTTACAGGTTAGTTTTGAGAAGGTTGTAAGTATACTAACCCTACAGCTGTGGCCATAGCACTCTAATTTTCATGCCAGCCACCCGCATGAGTTACCTGACAGTGTCTGTGTGCTGGAGGTGGTGGTTCAGTGCGCAGATATGTACTCAGTATACGCAGTTTCAGCGGAAGGCCACGGTGGCAGCCGCATAGGTGCAGAGCTTGTAGAGCAAATTGTTGTCGAGCACGTTCTACTCATGAGGCACTTTGTACCCATTATAAATTTCGGGGGGGGGGGGGCCTGGAACAAAAAGTAAGGTGTGCTCTTTACTCAGAAGGATATCCAATGGGGAGTAACAGTGTACAAAGAGAAAATGGGAAATGGCAGATTAAGTATTGGAAGCATAATACACTGAGGTCTGGATGTTCGTACAAGGGCGAGATCACTTCTGTCATGGTCTGAAAGGGACTTTCTGGAAGAAGTGGCATCCTAACTTGACCTCGAATGATAAATAGCATTCCAAAAAATAAGAGACGGATTTGTGAAGTCTCGTGTTAGTAAACGAGGAGTTGGCAGTAAATAAACCCTGTGAGGGAACACGGGATTCCTGCAGCAGCAGAGCGGCAAGGTTGGCAAAGTCGCAGCCACATAGTAGAGAGCCTCGAATGCCGAGCTGAGCAGTTTGGACCTGGTTCAGCTGGTAACCTGGAATCAGCGAAAGCTTTGTGTCTGGGGTGTGATATTCGTGTGTTGGGATGTTAATTTGAAAACATCCCACACAGAGGACAGGCCAGGAGGGTTTGGAGGCGACGGCGGGCCAGGTGCGCATGGTTTTTAGAAGTGGCGTGATGATCGCCACTGTCGATCTGTAACGTTCTCATACTTACCAAGAATCTACAGCAGCCACAAAGGCCAGGGTTCGTTGCATGCATTTTTGTTCCGAGTGCTTTGCTAAGAGCCTTACAGGCCTGCCTTACTTGACGCTCTCGCATCAGCTCTTAGCTGCCCATACACCTTTATCCCCTTCTCATCTGGGGATTCTGGGAGCCCAAGGGAGCCACCCAGAGCCACACTGCTGGGAAGCGGTCATGCTGTCATTTAAGCCTGTCTCTGACCAAGGCCATGCTTTTGACCATTGGCTCTTCGCCTGCAGTGTGCATCGGAATCCCTGGTGGACTCTTTGGAAATCCACGTGCCCAGGCTGCGGTGTTTCAGAATGGGTGAGAGCTTTGTGGGTGATTCTGATTTGCGCCCTTGGTTGAGAGCCGCTGTTACACCATCACCCTAAATGGCAGCCTTCAGTGAAAGGCCGTGGGCGGGGAGAGGGGCGGCGTCAAAGGGAATTCTAGGGCTTGGCTCAGGCCCTGGTGTTGTGGCAGTTTGATCGTCTGAGATGGGGGCCTCGAGTTGGCGTTATCATGCATTCAGTTTGAGGAGAGCATCGAAATGCCCAGCGAGCATTTTAAAGTTGCAGGCATTAGAACAGATGGGGTTAGATCCTGTTGGAGTTGGTCACCAGGAGAATCTATGACCCTAGAACATGGGCGCCTTTCCCTGTGCCGGCGAAAGGGAGAGAGCTTCCGGACAGAGGGGAGGAGAACCAGGGTATGCCGTGCGAGATCCGGGAGGGCTTTCCATGGGCCACAGGGGGTGGAAACCAGCCTCTGGAGACTGGGTTTGGTCCTGTTTCCCAATTGGTTTGGAGTTTCTGGTCTTGGAGTGCTTTGGAAAATGTGCTGAGAGGAGTTACGGGAAGTGTGAGCACAAGACAAGCTAGAAGGAAGCACGGGGCATTTAAAAATTGTGCCGGCGAGGCCCACGCAGCCTTCTCTTTCATCGTTGCCCCCCTTCGTCCCCCCATGTGCTCATTCCTGTGAAGGAAGAGTCCACAGCTCAAGGGCAAAGTGCTCTCTCCTGGAGAAACTTCCCAGGTGGCTCTGATGTCCAGGGGAAAGGTCTGGGGGAGGCAGCCTTTGTTTACCCTCTCCCCAGTGGAAAGCCATTGGGGCGGAGAGGCTGGAAGAAAGTGGGCTGTGAGGTTTGTTCCATGTGAGAGCAGAAGTGCGATCCCACCAGAGCTTGCGGTTCTCAGGCCGGCAAAGGTCCTGGAAAGCCGCCGCTGGGCCGTCATGGGCACGGCGAGGAGGCGGGGCGGGCTCCTTGGGAATGTGGGGGCGGGACCATGGTGGCAAACCATGGGCTACGTCTCCTGCCTGCTGCGCGGGTCACCTGTTGCAGGACTTGTGTATTTGCTTGCTTTTTAGTAAGGGAAGTGTTGCTGCCTTGGTTTCTCTTAGACTGCCTTCCATCTGTGTTTTACAGAAGTACGAAATGATAAAGACAGAAGAGATTCCTGATTTGGAAAACTCTAATTTTTCTACTAAAGTCATAAAAGACATTGCACAGAATATTTTATCATTTCTGAAATCTAATTGTACCAAAGAAGGACATACCTATTGGCTATTTAAAGGTGAGCTGATTCTTGAGCAAATAATAATTGATTTGAGTGACTACTATAAAATGAGGTTTGTTTGTTTGTTTGTTTTTTCAGCGAGCGGCAGTGATATAGTGAAGCTCTATGATCTCACTACTCTTTGTGAAGAAACTGAAGATAAATACCAAAATCCATTCACAATGCCAGTGGCTATTCTCTTATATAAGTGAGTGCTGTCAGACCTGAAAATCAAGAGGTAGCCTTTTGTAAAACTTAGTGTGCAGTCACACCATCCAGGCCAAGGCTTTTAAATACCTGTTAGATTTTCATAGTTTAAAAAAAAAAATGTGTATGTACGCACACACACACAGACTGTACCGACATAAACTTGGGAGGCTGGGGAGTACAATATTTGTCGTTTCTTATGGCCCTTACTTTGTTGGGAGGAGAGAGAAGCATATCTAGATTTCAGCCTTGCAGAGAATGATAAACGGGGAGTAACGTTGATGTAAACTTATTTCTTTAGGGTTGCTTGCAACATGATGATGAAGAAGAATCAAAATAAGAAACACTACGGAACTATCAGGACATTGCTTCTTAATTGTCTTAAGTTGTTGGACAAAAGCAGACACCCTCAAGTAAGATGAACGTTTCTGTGCTCTGTAAAAAACACCACAGCATTTTCACAGAGAAACATTGCCTAGATCGAAAGCCACCTCACTCAGGGTGGCAGCCAGGGAGCCTGGGGGTGCTGTCGAGCACTGGAGGTGCGCCTGCTCCGAGTCGCAGCGCGCTGTGAGCACAGCACGCACTCTGAGGTTGGAGATGGTGTGTGTGTGCGCATTGCGTGCTTATTGAGTCAAATGTGTTATTGAAGTTAAGTTCACTAGATTTTTAATGTGGCCACGAGATTATTTAAAGTTTTACATGTGGTTCAGGTTGCATTCATCTTGAACAGCACTGTCCTATAAATGTAGAACTCACCGGTAGTGCTTATTTTCCTTTGTTGTATCACTACTTGGAAACCTATTTCATAGTATCATAAGATATATTTACACAAACGGACCTTGTTAATCACTGTTACTAAAAATTAGGGTCACCTTCCACACTTCCATATAGAGTAAGAAAAGCCTCTCGGTCACGGCCCGCAGTTTTACACTGCCCGCACCCTTAGCTGTCTGCGTTCGACAACTGTGTTTTCTGGTGTAAGGCTAGTTGTAACCTACTTAAACTGGAAGGTGTGTAGTATGTACGCTTTTTTTTTTTTTTTTTAAAAGATTCAGGTTAATATTTATTGTAGCCACATCCAGTTTAAAGATTATTTTAGAGACCAAACAAAGAGACAGCGTTTTTTGCAGAAAAAACAGTTTGTGACTTAAATACTAATTGCTGATTGAAGTGGTGGTGTTTAGTGGGTAGTGAACAGTTTATGCGACAGTGAGAAAGTGGGGCTGCAACTGTTAGGTGTCTGTGACTAAGAACCACTTAATAACAAATAATAGAGCGGAAAAAAATAGTAATATATACATGCCCATTTTAAGAGGCACCAGGATGGACTTCTCCCTCACTATGCTAGTGGGGGATTTCCCCTGGGACCACAGATTGCATAGTAAACATTAGTTGCCCATTAAAGATAAACTCATTAATTTATAGCTTATGAAGAAAAACTCTGTTTTCTCAGTTGATAGGATACTCTTGCTAATGTAGTTATAGCACTCTGCACATGAAAACTTTTGTCTCCAGGGAAACACAGTTGTCACTTTTTTTTTTTTTTTTTTTTTTTTAAGAGTGAGGGCTGGGGATGGAATAATTTCAGGAAATAAACATCAACCCATAAGACTTTAACAGTATATTCAAAGTATCAGTAACTACAGATTAGGAACATTTCTGGGTGGGTTGCAGTCTCTGGTAGAAACAGCCTGTTGGCAGACCCCCCTCCCCCCCCCCCACAGTTTGTTAGAACAGCAGTAAAACTCATAGAGCCTGAGACTGCTCAGCTTGGATGACAGCTGCTCGTATTTTTTCTTTTTATAAGATTATTGCTTCAGCCAATTACATGCTTTCAGAACTTTTTCAACTGGATGAACCTAAAAAAGAAGAAGGTTCAGAATCTCCTTTAAATGAGAATTCTGATGAAAGTTACAGTGAAGAGGAGGAGGAGATGCCGGACAGCGATGAAAATGGGTCCTATAGCACCGGTTCCGATCCTCCAGAGGATAACAAAGCAGTAGCTATAATTAAGTCTGTTGGAGAATTATCAGTTCCAGAAAAATACAAATCCATTCATCAAATCAGAGTAAGTATGTTTAAATTTGTATTACAGTGGTACCAATGAGAAACAAACATTGTCCAGTGAGTGCAGTCAGCCTCTCAGAAGATGGCATGACTCAACAGATCCTTCATGGGCCAGGGTTTCCTAATCATTAGCTTTATGAATTCTAAACGTGGATTTATGATTGTCCCACGGTAAGTGACGCACATGCAGACTTTCGGTGGACAGATTTGTGAACCACATGTCAGTGTGTTAATGTTTATGTGGGAGATTTTCCTCCCGGTGACCCGTCACAGTGGACGGGGGTGCTTGCTGGTCCATGTGCTGAGAGGCCTGGCGCCTCACCCCGCTGCTGCCTGGTGGTGCTTTCTCAGTGACCAGAGCCGCGGCCTCTGGGGGGCCCTGTCTCTGGCCCGCTCAAGGCTTGATAGACCCGGACCACCTCCCACTCTTTAGGTTCCTGTTGATGGGGAGTGTGTTGGCCGTCCTACCATCAGTTTTTTCCAGGCAGTATAATGACATTTCAGTTTCTAAATTACAGCCACCTTCCAGGCCAGCCTCCCTGTGATCAGGTCCAGGTCACCATGAGAGGGGGACACAGGCGTCTTTACAGATACTCCCTTAATGTAAGCTCTTGAGTTCATTTTTCAGACGGAAGCTCCATCCCAATGGGTTATTAGAAGACACCTCTCTGTCACCTAAGACATTGCCTGTCCTTCAGACCTCCTCTCCGTCAACTCTGCCCTCCCATTCCTTTGTGCCATGCTGCCTGTCTTCTGTCCCTCATACGCAGCCTGTCCCAGCTGCTGTGGCTGCAGTTGCTTGTGCTCCACACGCCCCTTCCCCTGATCTGCACATGGCAGCCTTTTTCTAAGTCTTGCATTCTGACGGACGTGCCACCTCCCCTGGAGGCCTTCCTTGACCACCCTCCCCAGGCGTGCTCTGTCTTCATCTCCTTCCCCAGAGGTGTCCTGGCCCCTGACTAAGCATGCAGGTCACACAACGAGACCGTCGGTGGGAGTGGTTACTGTGCTGCCACGCTGCAGTGCTCAGTAGAGGTGGAGCCGACCTAGGAGACTGGGTGTACGTTTATCTAAAACATTAGTCCTGTTCACTTGTTTGTTTTAACAGTAATTTTTAAAATTTTAGTGCTTAAAACAACATTGTGTGCTGGAAGATCTTTTTATTAGGCAGGGCTTGTGTTGATGATGATTGTTATATCAGCTTAACCTTAATACCTCACTAAGCTGAATACACAGGCACATTTTGAAATTACTGATTTGTAGAGATTTAGTAATTCCCAGGAACTGAGAGCTAGGGAATTTGTCAACATTGGTAGCATATTAATAATTCTAAATGTTTGTTTTTGAAGCCCAGTTGTGCATTTCCAGTTTGCCACGACACAGAAGAGCGCTGTAGACTTGTCCTTAGCTATGTTCTAGAGGTAAGTTTTGTTAAAATTTGTGCCTCATATGCAAATAGCACTTGTTTGTTGGTGTCTGAAGGACATTCTGCTTTGAGTTTTGTTCTCCCCTTTAAGCATAAAGTGAAAATGGGTTTTTCCCAACTCTTTGAAGTCAGGTTTTTAAAATGTTTTCAAAATACTAATTCTCCTAAATGTATTCAGTAGTCCAGATATTGCCATATGTTTCATTTCTAGCTGACCTTCAGTGATAGTAAATGTTTCTTCTTTTTTAAAAGGGCTTAAAGTCTGTGGATAGCAGCATTAAGAAAGAAAGCGACCTCCCTGCAGCTGACCCCAACACCCCAATTCCATTAAAATACGAAGACGAATCCACAAGGGCGGGTCCTGAGGGTCTGGAGAAGCAGATGGCCTTGTTTTTGGACAAAAGTAAGTTGAATCGATGTGCAGATAAGGCCTTTTTAATAGAATACTAGTTCTTTATCAACAGCAGACTCATGTCAACTCAAGCATTCATTGACAGGAATTCAGAAAAAAGATAGCATGTGAATGGAAAGTAGGGGAAAATACCTGTTCATTCAAGACGCGAAGCAGAGCAGGATCGCTTTGATGCTTTGATGCTTTGATGCTTTACAGGTCTCTCTAGTGAGAACATAAGGAACCTGCGTCTTCCGACTGTGGAACTAATGCCTTCGGCCTGGTAGGGTTCTCCTCAGAAATTCCTGCTTCAGTAAGAGCAGTCATGTGTTTTAAGGGCAGACTGAGTAAATTTATAGGGAAAAAAAGAAAAAAGAGTAGCCTCAGGAACTAAACGTCCCAGCTTCAAATCCTGGCTTTGCTCGGGCAGGTTGTGCACTTTTCTGAGTCTCATTTTCTCTCACAATGGAGACAACCATCGTGCCTGCTTTAAAGGGTTGTTCATGGATTAAATGAGCGTGTAAAGTCCTTAGTGCCCATGAGGAGCACCATCGGAAGCGCTATCCAGTGTTACCTGGGGCACTCGAAAAAGCTGGAAAGGTCACTTGCAAGTAGATCTAGTTTGTTCCTCAGGCACGTCACTTCATGAAGAACATGTGGCCTTTGAAGTAAAAATACGAGTTTCTTGTTTAAGTGACCTTTCTTTTCCCAACCTTACCCTTTTCCCCCCTTTTAAAATCGGTTTTGGCTTAAAAAAATTATTTCGAAAGCCTGTATGTTTGAACTAACACCAACTGCTTCGGGACCTCTGTCCATGAACAGAAACAGAGCGGGGGAGGGCAGGGCTCCCCAGCATTTCTGTAGCGCTGCTGTGTGCCGGCCTTGACCCCAGACGCGGCAAGGGGACCCACACTGGGATGTCTGTGCCTTTTCCATGGGTTTGTTGTTTTTTGGTTTTTCCTCTGAAAAGCCTTTTATGTGTCGTCTTCCCTCCCTCGCGTCTCAGCTGTTGAAAGCCCCGCTCATACTCAGGGCCTCTACACCCACCTCTGTCCCCAGAGTCCCTCGCTCCCCTTCTACCAGGCGCGCCTCACGCCCTCACCGGCTGTGCCTGGCAGCCTCGCTCCGGACACGGTGTGAGCCAGAGCGCCGCCTGGCTTATCTTTGTGTTTCTCCCAGTGCCTCTCACAGAAGCAAAGCCAGGATAGAGGTGCTTCGTTGCTTCGAAAGACTCACATTGTAGCTGATCAAAAACAAAAGAGAAGGAGGGGATCTTGAAGCTGGAGATGGGGGGGCGGTTCCTGCAGCATTTTGTTGTTCTCTCTGAAACTGGACTGTATTTTGTTGTGGTTTGTACTACGGGCCTCTCTCTACCTCCAGTCTGTGCAGTCTTCAAGGATAGAGGCCACGTAAGTTCATGTCCTTGTTTCTGGTGCCTAGCACAGGGCTTGGCACAAGAGGGTGATAACAGGCTGGGCTTTAAAAAAAAAAATCCTGATAGAAGAAACAGTCCTCTAAGACAGGAGAGAAGAAACACAGGCATCCACGCAGGGAGAGAGCAGTAACCTGACCTCGGCTGCCGGCCATGGGGTGGAGTGCTGGGAAGTAAGACAGAAACAAGGCAGCCTAGGGAACGGGCTAAGGTGCTTGTGCGTAGCTTCATAAGTGGCGGGGAGCCACTGTCATGTTTCAGAAGAGGGCTCCACCGCGGTAGAGCTGCGCTTTAGGAAGGTAACCTTTTGGCAATCACGTAGACTGGAGGAGGGAGGCAGGTGACGGTCGTGATGCTGGCCCTGGAAGAGGGGGACAGCTGCCAGCAGGCGGAGGCCTCCGGACATCTCCAGTGAGCGTGTCCGTGAAACACTGCCGCGTTACTCCCCCATGGCGTGGCGTGTGCCTGCCTTGTTGCAACAACAGCACCTAAGCCTGGAGTGTTTCTACTAAGAAAGAGAAATTGTGTTTTTTGGTGACGTACATTCAGATAACACGTGCTGCCTTTTCTCCGCACCCTGTGTCACAGTGGGCTCCCTTCGGAAGGGAAATTACTCTAGTCAGTCCGGAATGATCCCCGGATCTTGGCAACATAAGATGAAACTCCAGCTGATCCTCAAGTCATCGAAGGCCTATTATGTTTTGTCTGATGCTGCCATGAGTCTTCAGAAATACGGGAGAGCGTTACGATACATTAAATTAGCTTTGCAGAGCCACGGTAAGTCACTGTAAAGGAATGCATTTATCCGGCATTGGGAGGGGGCACAGAGAAGACATCTGAGTCACAGTAAAATTTTACTCCTGTTTCTGTTGTAAGATTTTATTCTAAAACTTTTTCGCACCTTGTATATTACCTAGTCCTTTATTTTCTGCTCTAAGTGGTTTAATGTGTCTTCACTTTGAAATACATGAAGCCATAATTGATACCTGACATAAAATAAACATAGAGCAGATACGATATTACAAAGCTTTCAGCTGGTAACAGGTTTTCATAATACTTACTGTATTCATTAATTCTTCATGCCCCTTTTTTCCTCCTCTTTTCCCTTCCCATGTAGACACTTACTGCTGCCTCTGCACCAACATGTTTTCTGAAGTGCTGCTGTTTCTTTCTCAATATCTGACACTCTGTGGGGATATCCAGCTGATGCTGGCCCAGAATGCGAACAACAGAGCGGCGCACCTTGAGGAGTTTAACTACCAAACCAAAGAGGACCAGGAGATCCTGCACAGCCTCCACAGGGAGTCCACCTGCCAAGGTGGGCCGGGGCGCGGCCCCCAGGGGGCCGGTCTGCTTACGCTTGCTGGGGCGTGTCCCAAGAAGTGGCAGAAATGGCAGTGTATGTTCTAAGACTAGTGCTGGTTTTCTGCACTTGTCTTTTCATGAGGTTTTTCCAGGTCATGCTTCTAGTCAACGAACCAAGCCATGGTTTCTTTTGAAAAGGAGTAACAGTTGGTAAAAGTAGATTAATTACTTTCTGAATAATTCCTGGGGGTTCAGATACAGAGATCATTTTTAAACTTAGCTCAGGGTTGGCAGTCTGACTGAATATTATCTTTTTTTTTTTTTTTTTTTTTTGAGTTACTAGATTTTTAAACGGGGACATAGGAAAACCTGGCCCGCAGCAGCAGGACCGTCCCTTGTAGCTCAGGATAGTATTAGGAGCCCTGAGGTTAGGGCCAGAAGGAGAGGAGATCGGTCTTTGGTAATGGATCATGAATTATTTTATTATACTCTTTAAGTTGTTTATATCCCATGTTGTCCACCTCCCAAAAAGTTTTCGACAGTGTACATCCAGAGAAGTACATTGAGGGGAAATGTATTTCTTTTTAGTTTTTTTTTTTTTTTTTGCCCTCTTTCTCCCCCCTTTACTCTTCTGAGTTTCTCATTTGATTTTAGTAGACACTGTGAGAAAATCCTCACTGTGTATTTACCACTCTTACTATATTAATTTGATTTAAAATATTTCTTTGTGAGAGTGAAGTTCTCGTGTATGTGAGTGTTACCATCAGGAATGCTACCCCTTCACCCCTTGAATTTGGGGTCTGCACCTGTTCCCTCCCGTCCTCGCTAGACAGCATGTTTGAGTCTTTGAGAGCTCATCGAGCAGCTTCTCCAGCGAGTCAGACCTACATGGGCAAACTGTAATGCATGTAACTGCCTCTGGTAGCAATCGGAACTTCCACTAATTAAAAAGAAAAAGATGGTTAACCCTGTGTCAGTTGACAACTTCAGTCCTGTACCAATAAGTAAGTGTACCTAGTAAAATGTGGGTTATGGGAGTTGCTTGGTATTTTTAGGCAGAAAAGCATTTATGAAGAATATTCAAACAATGTCTTGAGAAAATACAGTTTTCTAAAGAAATCTTTACTTTGAAATTAAATTTTTTGTTTTATTGATTGAATCTTAGTATGTTTATATTCCATTTATTTTATTATCTTAAAAGTATCAGATTACTTAGATGCTAAGGAAGTAAGATTTAAATGACTCACGGTGGTGATGTTTCCTTTTTTTTTCTTTTAAGGATTTGCATGGGCAACTGATCTGTCTACAGACTTAGAAAGCCAGCTTTCAGTTAGTTGTAAATGTTACGAGGCTGCTAATGAAATCTTGCAATTTAGTGACTTAAAAAGCCAAAACCCAGAACACTACGTACAAGTATTGAAGAGAATGGGTAACATCAGAAATGAAATCGGCGTGTTTTATATGAATCAGGCTGCTGCACTACAGAGTGAGAGAGTAGGTGAGTAACTCTTCATTGCCCATTCTGTTAGAAAATCACATTGATTTTACGTGGTTCATGCAAGGCACGTGATTTTATGTCATAGGTGCTCAGTTAAAAAGAATATTTTATTCTTAAATTCTCAAGAAATAAAATTAGAAAAAAACATTATTTCCCCTTGGAACTCATCATTTCAATGCCCCCCGTCCTCCAACTGCTCCATCAGAGGTGGGCTGGACAGCCAGCCTCACTGCAGGGGGGCCAGTCCGCTCACAGGCCGGGGGTGCTGCGGGGGGCCAGTCGGCTCACAGGCCGGGGGTGCTGCGGGGGGCCAGTCGGCTCACAGGCCCGGGGGTGCTGCGGGGGGCCAGTCGGCTCACAGGCCGGGGGTGCTGCGGGGGGCCAGTCGGCTCACAGGCCCGGGGGTGCTGCGGGGGGCCAGTCCGCTCACAGGCCGGGGGTGCTGCGGGGGGCCAGTCGGCTCACAGGCCCGGGGGTGCTGCGGGGGGCCAGTCCGCTCACAGGCCGGGGGGTGCTGCGGGGGGCCAGTCGGCTCACAGGCCGGGGGTGCTGCGGGGGGCCAGTTGGCTCACAGGCCCGGGGGTGCTGCGGGGGGCCAGTCGGCTCACAGGCCCGGGGGTGCTGCGGGGGGACAGTTTGCTCACAGGTCGGGGGTGCTGCAGGGGCAGTCACATAAGCTGCTCTCTGCCTGTCAATCTGTGGACTGTGCTTGACATTAGGGATAGAGGTGATTGCTAGTAGGAGGACCTGGGTTTTTTAAAAAAATAATTGTTTTTTTTATATATACGTTTATATATACTCTTATAAATTGTTTTACATATAATTTTTTCAAAATAATTGTTTTACATATATGCATTTATATATACTCGTGTAAACTTATATATATGGAGAGAGAGAGAGAGAGAGAGAGAGAGAGAGAGAGAGAGAGAGAGAGAGAAGAACCTGTGCGTTTAAAGTGCCTGGACAAGGAAGGTGGTGGAGGGGCATGGAAAGCGGCAGTCAGGGGCCTAGAAGAGGCGATAACCCAGACGCCGCCTCAACTCCACGGGACCACGTCTGCTGACTCTTTAGAGAGCAGTGCTTTGCTCGGGTGTTTTTATTTGCTTGCTGTGGTCTCCGCCAGTTCATGCGGAGCTGTGCCTGGGGGCTGTGTTAGGCTGCTGTAGCGTGAAACCACAGACAGGGCGGCTTAAACAACAGAAATTTGTTTCCCACACTCAGGAGGCTGGATGTCCAAGATCAGGATGCCAGCAAGTGGCATTTCTCTGAGCCCTCTCTCTGGGGCTCTCACCTTCGCCCCCTCTTGTTGTGTCTTCCGGTGGCCCTGGTGTCCGTCTCTTACAAGAACACTGGTCACGCTGGATTTGGGCCCCACATCATAGCCTCGGTTCACCCTGACAGCCTCTCTGAAGGCGCTGTCTCCAGAACCGGCTGTCGGCGGGGCAGTTCCGGGGATTTGAGGGCAAGGAGCGCACTGTTTGGCCCATGACAGGCGTGTGGGCTCCAGGTAGCTGGCTGTCCCCTAGACATCCTGTCCCTGCCACCGTCCTCTCATGAGCGCATCAAGGGACATTGATGGGGCTTACGTGGGTATTGGCTTACACTCTGTCTTTTTTTGCTTTTTTAAACAAAGTGAGCAAAAGCGTGTCTACTGCAGAGCAACAGTTGTGGAAGAAAAGCTTTTCGTGTTTTGAAAAAGGCATTCACAACTTCGAGTCGATCGGTGACGCCACGAACGCTGCCCTTTTGTTATGTAACACGGGGAGGCTCATGCGGATCTGCGCACAGGCGCACTGTGGCGCTGGGGACGAATTTAAACGTGAATTCTCACCGGAGGAGGGCCTGTACTACAATAAGGTAACGCGTTTGCTTACATGCTGGATCTCACCCGTTCATGCCTGATTGTCATTTACCTTCGCCTTTGCACCACTAAAATATTATAAAGCCAAAAGAATGAAAACTGTGGCGATGGCCCAGGCCTGGGCGGATCACTAGCTCACTTAGAAGTAGGCCTAAGTACACTAAGAATTCAGTGACGAAGATGGTACTGGATTCGAGGGTTAAAACACGATGATTCAGTAAAGTGTGTTGGCGTTACCAGAGTAAATGTCAGATGGACTAAAGGTCCACAGGAGATGAAATGAAAGCGCCTGAGGAAAATACGGGCAGAAGATCGTTTTGTGGGATGAGTAGGACTTTCCTAGTGTAACACAAGCAGAAATCATGAAGGAGGAGGAGGATAAATTTAAATGTGCAAAGATAAAGTTTTTTAAGGGCACAGCAGGAAGCAAAATTGAAAAGCATACCACAATGTAGTGAAACCATTTCTAGCACACGGGACAGATCAGAGGTTAATAAACCCTTGATATGTAACAATCAGGAATCACTGAAAATAAACTGTCCCAATAGAAGAAAGGGCAGGTAACCTCGAACAAAAAATTCACATATGTAATGAAAATACGTGGTTAATATGTGAGAAAAATTTCAAAATTTGAACTTTTATAGAATTTAAAAATTGAGTTTCTTTAACTATCAAGTTACCAAGTATTTTCTGGGGCAAGTAGTAACATTCGGTGGAGAGGGTGCGTAAAAACAGGCACGCATGTCGAGTACATTGCCCCCCACTTTTTGAAAGTTGTCTTTCATTAAAGACCTGCATTAGTACCTGTTTTCAATAATGGAAAGCAGTCTGAAGCGGGTGTTTGCCTTTAGAAAGAAGGTGAAAAACAAACTCAGCATCCAGCCTGTGCTTTGCAGTGAGCAGCTACAGAGGCGTGCGCATCCCGAGCAGCAAGGGTGGCTCCGCCAAGTTCCTGCCCAGGAGCCGCACGCGGCCTCTGCGCGTGGAGCCCCAGAGCTGTGGGCTGTGGCTGAGCGTCTAGGCTTTGTCTCCGCTGACTTGCGGCCTCTGTTAGTGAGGCGTGTCCCAGAAGGTCAGGAAAGCCTGAGAGAGCGAGCTTCCGAGTGTCACGCTCTCCGTGAAACTGGATGTAATTAAGCGCTCCGATCGCGGCGGATGAGATAAAAATGTGTGCGCGCTCAGTTTAGGGCCTGGGAACACCCAGAAAACTCTCTCAATGGTAACTGCTTTGCTTTCTGCCACTTAGACCACAAAAGGTTTCCTAGGAAAGCTCTGCTTTCCAGTCGCGGGGAGGCGTGTGCTTCAAAGCTGTATAAATTGGTTTAGCGAAGGATGGTCACGGCAGGGCATGTTTTAGAATAGAAGACCTGTTTTTGTTTTTTAAGTTCACATACACACAGAAAAGGAGGTAAACATACACGAAATGCCGGTGTTCTGCCGGGTGACAGGATGAAGTGCCATCGGGCTGCCCGGCAGGACCGCCCATCTCACCGGCGGCAGCAGCAGGGGAGCTGCTTGTTTTATAGTCTCACCTGGCAAACTGTTATCCTTGGACGCATCGATGTTTTTCTTTAACTTACTTGTTACGCAAGCTGTAGTTTTCATCCAGAAAGAAAACAAAGGGGACGGTGAATCCTCACGCCTCGGCCGGAGGCAGGAAGCGCCACAGCTCCGGGCAGACAAGAGGGGGAGCCTGGGGCCGACCTGCCTGTCGTCACTGGAGCAGTCACTGGAGCAGCCACGCCGACCAGCAACCGATTGACTGCTTTCCTTCTCCTAACGCTGTCCTTTCATGAGTCCGCCCCAGGCGGGCCAGCCTCCGCGGGACTTGGAGAGCGCTTGTGCTGTGGCGGGCGCTGACGCCGCTCCTCCCCCGCAGGCTGTCGATTACTACCTGAAAGCACTGCGGTCGCTGGGGACGCGAGACGTCCACCCTGCCGTCTGGGACTCCGTGAACTGGGAGCTGTCCACCACCTACTTCACGATGGCCACGCTGCAGCAGGACTACGCTCCGCTGTCCAGGAAGGCCCAGGAGCAGGTAGACTGCGCGCCAGGCTGCGGGGGTCTTCACCCTGTACCTCCTCGTGAAGGACGCTGAGCATCTTGTCCCTGACAAGCAGCGTTTAAATGTTTTTACGCTTCTTATATAAAATTATAGGCTGCTCTCTTTCCTTTTTGCCTCCCCCTTAAAAAAATGAACAGATTGAGAAAGAAGTCAGCGAGGCGATGATGAAGTCCCTGAAATACTGCGACGTGGACTCGGTGTCGGCCCGGCAGCCCCTGTGTCAGTACCGAGCGGCCACCATCCACCACAGGCTGGCCTCCATGTACCACAGTTGCCTGAGGAACCAGGTAGCGCCTTCCGGCGTCAGCTCAAGGCCGAGTCTGTGGGAAGGCCTTCTGGGGGCTTTCCTTACGCTTCGGTAGATATTTTAAATGCGTCCTGTTCTGTTAGCTGCTTAGAAAAAGTTGTGGCGTGTAGGCATGGTCCCCTTTTTTCCTTATACCATACATTTTTCTCTACTTTGATTGGGACTAAGTTTGCAAAATTATGTATTTGGCTGGGTGTTTTATTTTTATTTTTTTAATTTTAATTTTTTTGTTCAAATACATTTGTCCCCACCTTCGCATCACCACTTTCCCCTGCCCTCCTCCCCTGCCTCCCTCATATTTTGATTTTTTTTAATATAGTTAGGTTTTCTAAGAACAGTTTTGTGTGAATCTCGAAGTACCCATCTTTTACAACTTTTATTGTGAAACGTAGCATGCATATAAGAGCACATAGAATATGTGTGGAAAACGTATGTACAGTTTAAAGAATCCCGAGAAGAAAGCCCTGCGTCCCTCGCCCCACGGCTAAGGAACAGAGACGCACTACCCTAGGGTCCCCCGGTGGGCCCTCCTTGCGGAGTCTCCCTCCACACCCGCCAGAGTGTCCACTGTCCTGCATTTTCTGTCATGTCCATACCTTCTGTGTGTTACCACTTAAGCAGCATGTTCACATTTTACCTGCTTTTCAGCTTTATAGAGCGAATCATCCTGCATGTACTCTTTTGTGGCTTAATCGCCTTTCGCGTAGCACCATGTTTTTGAGATTCTTCCAGATCGGTGCATGTAGCTAGTCATTCTCTCAGCTCAGTGATATTCATGAAATGATTATGTCACAGCTTATCCATTCAGTAATTGCTGAACTTCTAGGTTGTTCTGTTTTAGCCTGTTAGAAATAATCTACTACAGAGAGTCCTGTATGCGAATTCTGGTACTCAGGTGCCTGCATTTCTAAGGATAATCTGAGGCCCAGCTTGAAGGTGCCTGCCTGCCTTCTTCCCTCCCTCCCTTCCTTCCCCTTGCTTCTGCCAGGAGGCTTGTGCTTAGTAGCTTCTCAGGGAAGACTTTCGTTTTGTTGATTTCCCTTTCTTAGCACAGTACCAAGACAAGTCAGCTTGCACCCGACTTGGGGCGAGGGTTTACAGCTGAGTTGCCTTTTTCCTGAGATTATTGTCCTTTGAGGTCCGCCTTCATCAGAGAAGATTTCCTTCCACTTTGTGCTAGCCCTCGACTCTCTGTTTTTGCCCATAGGAGGCCCCCAACCAAAATTCAGGGTTGCCCCGATGGCCTAATACTGTCAAGGCAAAAGCAGGCATAAGAGTCCTAAGACAATTCAGTAGGGGAAGGATTGTCTTTCCAGCAAATAGCGCGAGACGTGGATATCCACATGCAGAGTGGAGTTGGACTCCTACCCTACATCGCATGGTGAACTACCTGGAAATGGATTAAAGACCTAAATGCAAAAGCTAAAACTGTAGGATTTAAAGAAAAACAATAGACGTTGAAAGCGCTTAGTGATCCAGGTAGAGACTTGGTGAGGTAGATACTGTGAGACCCAGGCCTCCGGGTTTGCCTTCTGTCCGCCTTCGGCTGCAGGTCGGCGACGAGCATCTCAGGAAGCAGCACCGGGTGCTGGCCGACCTCCATTACAGCAAAGCCGCAGCGCTTTTCCAGCTCCTGAAGGATACGCCCTGCGAGCTGCTGAGGGTGCAGCTGGAGCGCGTCGCCTTTGCAGAGTTCCAGATGGCCAGTAAGGCTCGCGTTCTCGGGTCGGCGTGTGTGCGGGGGAAGGGGCCGGTCGCCTGAGAGTGAGGTGGGCCTGCGGGGCCCTCTTGGCTGTGAGAAATGCTGTTTCCGGTTTTGGGTTGCTTTGTTGTGGCCCCCAGTGACTTGGGGTAGAGACCAGAAGTCTCAACCCTTTTTGAGGTATTTTTTTTTAACTTAGAGAAATGGATTAGGTTATGTTCAGTGACTAGAAATGTTGGAATGCAGCCCATGCGCCCTTATTTAAAAAAAATTGTGACAAGTCAACGGAGAGAGAGATTTAAGTCACCGTGGACAACCTAGGGATGGAAAAGCAGCGGTGAAGGGGAGGCGGCCCGCTGAGTCCTCCAGCCACGCACGCGGCGCTGGGGGCCAGTGTGGGGAGCAGGCCGGCCCTGCAGATCCTGAGCAGGGCGAGATCGCGGGGCAGTGGGTCTGCGGCCCACAGTGCACGTCCCCCTGCTCCTCGCTGTGATCCACCGGCTCCTTCCACGTGGGGTCTTGGGAAGTACCCCTGTGGGTGGAGGAACAGGGAACAGTTACTCAGAGTTGCAGCAGTTCATCGGTTTTCCGGTTGGTTGTCTACGTCTGTAAAGTTAAAATAAGGGTCGTCCTTGACACACCGGTGACTGCACAAGGAGCCCTGGCCAGGTGCGCAGGAAACCAGGGGCGGAGCATTGCTGCCTCTGGGAGGGGCCTGGGGCCGGAGGAGGCCACGCCGGGGCCGGTGTGTGTCCTGAGACTGTAGTACCTTATCTGAACAGTTTTCAGAAGTGCTCTTTACTGAAAGTGTTTTTGTTAACTATTGACCAGTATATAATACCTGGCTGGGTGTGTGGGGTCGCTGTTTCTGGGGATAGATTTGGGTGATTTTTTTGCATTTCCATCTTTGAATTTTCTGCATGTTTGAATTTCTTAGAATGAGCAAGTATCATTTTTATAAAAAAGAATAGACACTGGGAATCTGCTAAGATGATAAATGTGGTTAATTCCCTTTTAAAAAACTGTTTCATACTTTTGAGTACCTGAGAAGAGTAATGTAGATATTTGAAGGAAAGGGTTGTTAGCCCGGTTAATGATGCTCTAGTTTACAACGCCATTTATTCTATCTGATTTTACCCTGTATTTTTTCTCCAGTACATAGGACTGGAGTTTGCTTTCCCAGTGTAGTTACTGTCTGCCCTCCGCCCGCCAGCAGCATTTCCATGCATAGGCAACAGCCAGCCTTCCTGATGCCATGATAATAGGTCGTTTATGCTGTGAAGCTGCTACATTTATGGAGTTGTGGTCCCCAAGACCACCTCACACCAACTGTCTCAAACCCCCTAAAGCTGTTGGCTCACTGGAAGCCAGAGCTCAGTGGAGCCGATGTGCCCGGCTGCTGTCTGTGGTGGGGGAGGAATAAAAGCCAGGGAGGAGGCATGTGGGGCTGGGCTGGGGGAGTGCTGAGCACGAAGCCCCTCGAGAAGCTTATGGTTGTCCCCCTTCTGTGGAGTTCTGGACTGTACTCAGTGCCCCCAGCAGTGATGCGCGACCATGCGCACTGAACTTTTCCCACGGGGAAGCGCTCCCACGCCTTGGGGTCCAGAGCGTTTGTTGGACACCAGCTTGCGTGGCTGACGGCCGTGCAGCTGGCCTGCGCTCCAGAGCCTCTGGACGTTGCAGGGCCCAAAGACTCCACACTGTAGCAATTATTCGGCTGCCCTGTGTGGTCTGGGATCATCACCCCCTGGGGGCCCAATGCCAAGGCCAGGCCTGTTTGGACAGGTTCATTACCCACCTCAGTCACGGCACACAACGGAGGGTCAGCTCCCGAGAGCAGGGGTGGGGGGGCTCTGCAGTGCCTGGTGGCTGAAGAGACGCGTATTCAGGTCCTGGAGTGAGCGAGGCCCAGGCTGCCTGCCTGCCTGCCTTGCCCAGAAAGCCGATGTGCCTGTTCGACAGGTAGGACAGTTGACCCCAGGTGTTTCAGAGACTTGGCCAGCATCATGGAGCTGGTGCCCGGCAGGTGGCCCTCGTCCCGCAGACCTCTCCTGCGGGTCCCGCACAGCTGACACTGGGTGCTGGTGCCCACTGCACACAGCTGTGTCCTCACCTGCAGAACCAGATGTCCAGGCAGGGGGATGATCCCTCTCTCTCGCTGTATCCAGTTGCTCTCCAGGGATAATTTCTAAGGAAAAGTTGGATTTAGGTATTTATTGGGCTGCTTTTGAGTTCCCTTTAGTGTTTGAAAGGCAGGATTCTTATTAACACAATGACATTGAATGGCTTTCTAGATTTGTATTTACAGAAATGATCATTTTGTGTCTAACTCTCTAGGTCAGAATAGTAATGTTGGAAAATTAAAAACACTGTCCGGGGCACTTGACATAATGGTGAGAACTAAGCGTGCATTCCAGCTCATCAGAAAGGAGCTCGTCGCGGAATCGGACCAGGTAAGCAGAGGAAGTGTTTTATCTGTGCTGCTTATGTATCCCATGCCGAGGGGTGAATGTATAGAGTGGGCCTGTGGGGTGCATGTGTGTATCCATGTATATGCATGTTGTATGTATATGTACAGAGTAGGGCAAAAGCAGGTTTGCAGTTGTCCAGGTGGAAAATAATACAGTAATCAATAACAATACAAAACTAAACTGTTTCACGTACCCAAAACTGTAGGCTTACTTTTGCCCACCCTGTATATACAAACATACGTATCAAGCCTGCATAAAAAGGTTAATAGTAACTTACTATATTTTATTGGTGGAATTATTATTAACTTTTTTTAGCTTGCAAGTGTACGTTTTTTTTAATCCCCATCTGAAGACATGCTTATTGATTTTAGAGGAGAAGGGAAAGAGAAAGAAAAACAGCAATGTGAGAGAGAAACATCGGTCAGTTGTTTCTTGCACACCCCCAACTGGGGACCGAACCTGCAGCCCAGGCATGCGCCCTGACCGGGAACCCAGCCCGCAGCCCCTCGGTCCCTGGGTGACGCTCCAGCCAACAGAGCCAAATGGCCAGGGCTGCAGGTGGACATTTTACATTCTAGAATGACTTGGTTATTAGTAAGGGGTGTAGTCTCTGTTTAGTTTTGCTTTGTGTGCATTTCGTTTAAGAAAAGGCCTTTGCTCTCTTGTAATTTCTGCTGAACGGCCCAGTGTGTGGGCTCAGCAGGCCCTTGGGGGGGCCTTCCCAGTTTGCCCACCCTTCATGCTGCCACTGCCCCTGCTGAGAGCCTCCCCGACCCCCGGGACACCTGTTAGGTGAGAGACATTTCATGGTTAGTTTGTTAAAATGATGTCAGGAGGAAGGAGGAGGGGCAGGTGGCCTAGTCACAGCCTCTACCACCACTGCCGGCCGCAGGGCTGTCCCTGAAAAGAGAAGTCTCGGGTTGCTGGCTCTCTGCCTCGGTGTAAAGCCCCCTGGATTCACGAAGCTCCGTCTGTCAATTCAGTATGAACTGCAGTTGGTGGGAGACTTGAGCGAACCAACTTCTTGTTGTTTTAGCCCAAGAGAGATGAGCCTTCCCCAGCGGCTGACACGGCTCCTGGTCTGAACCGAGAAGAAGCGTTGAAACTCCTCAGCATCTTTGAGTCCCGGCTGTCATTCCTGCTCCTCCAGTCCATCCGGCTGCTGTCTCCAGGCAAGAGGAAGACAAGGTGAATCCCACTGCTGGCGGCGGGAGTTCCTTCCCCAGCGCCTGGCCTGTGGAGGGCACACAGGTGATCGTGCCGACGTGGTGGAAGGAAGGGTTGCGTCCTTCCCTCGGCCCCATGGGTGGCCCAGGACCCCCGGCGGCGTGCTGCTCAGTGCAGAGCTGCATGGAACCCAGCGGCCGAGGGCCTTCCTCACCCACACGTTGCACTGACATTTCAGATACGTTGAGGTGCAGTGGTTCTGTGAGTCAGGAGTCTGGGCTTCAAGTCCAAGGTAATTCTAGCTCCAGGGAAGGCAGCCCCAGCTCAGACGGTGCTGGCTGGCACCGTCTGAGGAGCCTCAGGCTGGGTGTGGGGGCTGGAGGAGGTGCTAGGAGCACCCTGTGCCTCGCCTGTTTCCACAGTATTTTCTTCACAACCTGTCGCATCTGCCGCCCTTTTCCTCTTGTTCAGTGCACGTCTTCCCCCGCCGCCCACCCCAGTAGAACCCAGATGATAGCGTGAGCGCGGGACTTCGGTCTGCTCTGCTCGCTGCCAGGAGCACTTCCTGGTACATGCCGGGCACCCAAATGTTTGTAGAGAGAGTGAACATTGGTTTTAGTTGATGCGTTGAAATAAATGTCTAAACCAGGCCCACAGGCCATAGCTGAACAAGAAAGTGTGGAATAGGCGTTCACCGGGCGCATGCTCCCTGGGGGATGGCCGAGCTGTCCCTGTTGGGGTCTCTCTTTGGATGGTCGGTGGGCACCGCTGTTCACGCCACACCCGTTTTGTCTTTTGTTGTTTTTAACCCAGCAATAACGTGGAAGAAGATGTAGCCCTCAAAACCAACAAGCACATTTACTCCCAGCTTTTGAGAGCTACCGCTAACAAAAACACAAGTCTCTTGGAGAGAATCGACGTCCTCCTCCACCTGCTGGACCAGCTCGCCGGGGGCGGCGCCGTCCAGTGACTTGCCGGGGCTGTGTCTGCACAGGTGCAGCCCGTGCCTTCTGCACTCGGGGGCCCCCCCACCCACTCGGTGCTTCGTTCAATTAAACACAGAGGAAACACCACTTCCAGCAGGCGCCGCCGCTGGAGGGCGGCCTCCTCATTGCGCCGGCGCGGCAGGTCGGGGCAGCGTCACGGACTCCCCGTGGGCAGCGCTAGGGTCAGCGCCTGGCTCTGCGCGCCGGCCTTTCTCTGAGGAGAGTGTGGTGCCTCCGTATTAATAGACTGGCTGGGACACAGTTATACTTTTAAGTATTTTCGAAGTATGTTTAAGCTACATGGGTTTAAGACATTATTTTGGATAAATGTTACTTTGGGTCAAGGGAACTTTTATCCTGGTGACACTAGTGGTTCAAGTGGGTTAAATCGACAGTGTTTCCCTCCAGGCAGTGCAGAGAGGTCTGCCCGTGTTAAGCTTCAGGGCGGGGTTTCTCGAAGATGCGCCATTGCGCGGCTCTGCGTGTTCAGTGCATGCTCTGAAGGATCCAGTGTTCTTTGACTTTATATGCAAGTTGATCAAGAATAGATACTACCCTCCTTTTTTATTTTAAACTTGAAACTGTGAATAAGGTAAGAAAACTATTTTGAATAAATAAATTATTTATTTAAAATACCTTTGTATTTTTCTGTTTCACATTCTTCACACTGAGTTTTGCTGTGAACTCATTTGATTAATTTTCTGAAGGTTAAAACAATAAAAATAAAATGCTGCCCTGCACTGAACGCTCAGCAGGATGTTAGTCGGCACTTGCCGCGGCCGCAGGGCTCCGTCTCGGAGCACACGCACTGCGCTTGCGTCTTCTCCAGGCCTGGGACAGCGCTGTGCGCGTCCTGTCAGGTGCCTGCTGGGCTTCTGTGCACGACACCGTCGTAGACAAGCGCTCACCCTGCCTCTGAGCCCGGGGGCCGGCGGCCTTCAGGGCCGCCAGCGGGTCATCGTCACTGCAGGTCCTACACGTTCCCTGGCAGCCCCTCTGGCTGCCCCGCCTTGAAGGGATCTGAACTCTGCTGGGAGAGTGTGTGAGAGAGAGAGACTGTAAGATGCGTTTTTACAAACTGCTTGCTTGTACATTCAGACTTTTAGAAGTTCCTGACAAGGAGCTGACGTTTGTCATAGCTGGCAGAACTCTCGCCATTTGTCCACATCCTTGTTTGTTTGCATCGTCCTTGGGACAGATTTGCATCCATTTTCAAAAATTAAGCATGGAAGCACTTCAAGTTTTGACTGAACTGGAAAGCAGCTGCGCAGTTGGCGATGCCTCCTGTCAGGACCGCTGTCTCTGTCCCCCTGCGCAAGCACAGTCACAGTCTCTGCGCGCTGAGCCTGCTCGCTGGGGTGGGCTGCGCCTCGGCGGGACGGACAGTTTCAAAAAGGGCCCTGCTTCAGCAGGAGGAAGCAGGAGTTGGGCACGGGAGCCTCTCAGCTGAACAACCTTTTGGTCATTTTGGGAAATGACTTTTTTTGAGGAAAAGTAATTTTTAAGTGAGAAGATAGAAACCTTAGCTATCTTCCCTTGTCAAAGCCAAAGTATGAAATTCTTACGGGGGGAGGGGTGGAGAAGGTGCTTTTAAAATGTTTTGTAATTTGCTGATTTTAATTTGAAGCTTAAAAGTTCTGTGTTCTAGCTGTTCCTTGAAAGGCATTGTGGCGTTTGGGCCTGATCAGTGGGACAGCGGAATCTTTATCCAGTTAGTTTCAGGGCCCGAATTCTGTCCCCATCATTACATAAGACATCAGGGGTTTTGTCCGTGTTAAGAAGCTATATTATGCGAAAGTCGGGAACCGTAGCACCTATCTTAGAGGTAATTGATGCAGGGAAAAAAACACATCCAATTAGCCCTCGGGACATAAACTTCCATATAAAGTGTTTCCTGCTTTGAAGGGGGCGAGCTACAAAGCTGGCTGTTGCAGACCATTTGGGATAACAAAGAGCGTCCCAGGGATGGACAGAGTGTAGGGCCACCAGGCGGGCGTGAGGAGAGGAGGGGCCGGGGCAACCCCTGCGCCTGACCTTCGGCAGGACCCTTAGGGGGTGAGTGGCGTCTTCTGGGATTGGGTCCCAGGGCTGGCTCCCCATCTCCCCTGGATGTCGCTGGGGGTGGTGGGCAGGTGTGTTGGGGATGGGGCTGCAGAGCCCTAGCGACCGTGGAACACAAAGTTTCCTCAGCACTTTTTTTTTCCCCTTTTCTGGAAAAATAATTGTAAAATTATTTGCTAAAATTATGTTTTGCCTGAGCAATTGATTTTTAAAAGTTCAGTAGTACTTTTTCCATTGGTTTTAACTTAGGGAGCTCTGTCTGCTTCCGTTACTGAAAATCTGGTAGGTTTTCCTTGTAAAAGAAAAAAATTTTCGTGGCAGAGAAGCCCTTTGTCTCCCTCCATTCGCCTATTTTCATGACATGTCCAGCGCGGAGGTGTGGACGTCGCACACATCAAACCACCTCTCGGAGATGGGCTGCTTGGGGAACAGGCCATTGGCAGGGAGCCACGCGTGCTGCTTCCGGTCCCTGTCATCCGCCACTTTCCAGTACGCGTTGCCTTTGAACAGGAAGACGGACTTGTGCGCGTAGGAGTAGTAAGCCGCGTCCAGGTTCCGGAGCGGGTGGTTCTGGGGCTCCACCGCCGGAAAGGCCTCGGCCATTTTCTTGGGGTAAGAACCAAGGACTCGATTCCTATTGATATCGAACGCAAACACCTGCAATGCAAAGACAGCAGGTCTGGCTTTTCTGAAAATCGTTGATTTAGAGCAGTGAGGTAAGGAGAGCTGTGTCTTTGCACCAAGGTCTTTGGACTTAGGGTTCTGAATAATTTTCCATACAATGGGGCGATCTGCCGTGGCCATATTGGTCTGTGGTAACAGCATAACTTTAAACTGAGAACTTGGTCCCCCGAAAGTGTCAGTTAAGGGCTGACAGGAACAACCCCAGGCTGCAAAGCCGCCACTTACGAGGGACTCTTTGAAGAAGTAAATCAGCTGCTTCCGTCGGTCGTAAAAGGCGGTGTCCAGAGGGCTGGGGATGCCCGGAAACCCTTCTGAAATCGGTCTGGGGTAGCTTTTCCCTTGTTCATCTTCCGTGTGGGCCTGGTCCCGGTCGCTGTCGTATCTCCAGTATTGAGTCCCTGAGGGCCAAACAAACAAAAGTTACCGTGGCTTCTCGTAGTGAAATCACAGGAAGGACAAAGCAGACGGCTTCTCATCCAGGCCCCAGTGCGCCCGGCCCTTGCCAGGTGCTCGGGCCACTCCATGCTGGGGCTGACCCTGTGTTTCCAAATCCAGTCCTGTCACCCGAGGGCCCTGCCACCTCGGGGTCTTCGCTGTCTCACGGGCACGCCTGTCCACCCCCAAGTCTCTGGCTGTGAGTCTGACGCCCACCGCCTCCCTGGCGCCCACCTCCCCGCACACACCCTTCCAGGCCCCACCCGTCTGTCCGGTCTGGGCCAAGCCCTGACTCCTGGGAGGCTCTGGCACCTCATTCTGGGTGACAGGGGCCAGCTCTGCTCATTCTACCCCTTCACACAGACTTCTCCTATTGTGGGCTTCTAAGGCAGTTTTCTCTCCAGAATCAGACCGAAACTCCTTGGCGGGGGGTGGGGGCCCTTTCTTACAGTTCCTCGGCAAGCACCTCCGAGCCCGCACAATGCCTCCGCTCAGTCACTCTGGCATTGGCGCGATCGGGGCCTGGTGGAAAAGGCAGGGGCCCGGCACACCTCCGGTGCTCACAGAGCTCTCAGTCTGACGGGACAGGAGGAGTTACACTTTCACGAGCACTGCAGAAGCTTCCTCCCTAAGGGCCCAGGATATCTGTTCTGAAAGCACTTCTTTAACGAGAGAAACGGAGCCACGCAAAGCACCTCTACCTTTAAAAAAATAACGCTCGTCTCTTCTCCACGTCCAGATGTGGACAAAAGCGTCTATGCTGTGCGCCGGGACTCCATGCCAGCCAGTGAGGATGAGGACGGGGTCCCCGTAACGGGTCCGGTTGTTTCGATTTTCATAAAGCCAGTACCAGCTGCGGCGGAAGAAATACGTGCTAAACCTCAATGTCACTTCTCCGTGGGGGTCCCTCTCTTTGCGAATCCAGTCAAATGCGGTATCAAATGCGCCTTCACAGGAACCTTAAAAAAAAAAAAAAGGTCCAGCCCTTGACGCCGTTGCAAAAACAGCAGTTCCTGCTTTCTTGGGTGACTTGCATAGAGACCATTGCTAGGCCGAAGCTTTCTACTGAGACACCTTAAGGCCAGACCCCATATGAGAGTGGAAGTCAGCCTCCCCTGGCAGAGTGGAGGGAGCAGGAGGGACACCGGTGGCCTGCCACGGCCCTGGGCACAGGAGTTACTCCGCCTCCATTATAAACAGTGCTCCGGGTCACTCTCTGCAGGGCCTGTATTTGGGGGATAGTCACATGATCACAGTAAGTGTAGCTGATGCCTCTTTCCTCCGTTAAACTTTTAACCACCAGCCCACAGGCCCTCCGGCCTGAACAATCAAACATTAAAGCCTGTCCTGATACGGCCACGCTGTTCTTTGCCTGAGATCACAGACGACTTCTTCCAGCGGCTTCCAGGTCCTGCGGTTCTCGGGTGCCACGGTCCGGGTGGCCCACTTGTATTTAGAAAACCGCAGTGTCCAAGGAATAGAATGTGTCACGAAAGAGGGAACACAGGGGGAACGAAGTGCAAGGGAGTGTGCTGTGCTCCCCCCTAAGCCTCCGGTCTCGGCAGGGCCGCCTTTCACTAATGACTGATGTCCCTGCACCTCAAGGCAGCTGCCGGGGGGCCATCAGGCCAAGGAGCGCGGGGGTCTTCCCATGCTCCGCCGGCTCCACGGACGAACTCTCCAGGCAGTCTTACCATACAGCTTTTGAATGGCTTTTCTGTCTGACCAGTCCAGCTCAAAGGCGGGCCCCTGGGGAGTGTAATTCGGCTGCATTATGGATCCTGTCCTGTAGCTGTGCGGCAAGCCGAGGACGTGGCCGATTTCGTGGACGGCCACCTAGAAGGGAACACAATGCGTCAGTGCAGCGCCACCCTGGCTGTCGGGGAGCCGAGGACGGAGCTTTCTCTGGGACGCGGACACTCCTGCAGGGAGGCCCTGGCCTGCGCTCTCCCGCCTGTGCCGCGCTGCCCTGTGCCACCGCGTCACCACGACCTGCTGGAGGCCACTGACCTTGAGGAGGCTGATGCCCATGTCACTGGTGGGCGGTGTGAAGTGCTCGTCATCATCAAAGTGAATGTCGCCCAGGCGCCAGGCGTGTGCAAACTCCTGCCCGCTCCCATCAAACACCCGAGGGCAGCCCAGGTGCCGGCCTGGCCAGGGGAGAGGGAGGCGGTCCGGCTGAGTGGGGGGGCTGGCGCCCATCACACAGACCCCTCACCTGGTGGGACCTGGGAACGCAGACCCTGGTGGGGTTCCCTGGCTTGAGAGGCTTGCGGCCCCGTAGCAGAACCAGCAATTGCTGGACCAACTCCTCGACGTGAGGAGTGCGTGAGACGCGGCTGTTCACAAGCTGTGTCATGAAGTCTAAGGACATAAATGGAGCTGCGCACCAAGTGCTCCGGGGGCCGAGAGGCGGGAGGAGACAGCTGTGCTGGGCTGCCAGCTGGGGGGGTGGTGGGCGGGGACTGCTGGAGGCTTACGGAGGAGATGGGGTCGGTCTGAGCCGGACCCTGAGAGCTGAGTGGTCAGGGTGCAGAGCGGGTGCTGCCCAGCGGTCACACTTACATTTGTAGCACTTTTCCACCACCTGTGCCCTGTGTACTTCTCGCATTAGGAAGTCACAATGAGGCTGGCGGGACAGCCCTGAGCACCCAGATGGAGCCTGGGGGACAACCGCCCTTGTACCCCGAGGAGCACGCTGAGCCCCTGCAAGCAATGCTCACGGCTGACCTGCACTGATGTCCCCCTGAGACCCTCTGGGCTTTTTGCAAGGTGACATGCCTGTGCCCTTCCCAGTGAGTTGTAACAAAGCCACATCCACCATGTGCCTGTGCCCAGACAGGCGCCATCTCAGAACAGGCCAGGGGTTGGGGCTGGTGGCTCTGCAATGCGCTCTGCAGGTGACTGGGGCAAGAGGGAGGCCAGGGTGGGGCTCCCCAAACGGCCTCTTCTGCCCCAAGCTCCCAATATGCTCCATCAGACTACGGGGGGAGGCAGAATGGGGCCCAGCAGCCTGCAGAGAGGACACAGTGGGCGCAAAGCCTGCCAACGGGCCCTTCCTACCTCACCCGAAACCTGCCAACGAAGCCCTTCTTACCTCGCCCGAAACCCAGCTTTATGTCGATGGTGGCCGCAGGGGCGGTGAGGTCCTCGCGGAAATTCAGGGGCATCACCTCGCTCCACATCCTGAAGGCCAGGCGGAAGATGTGCCGCTGCTCCTCCACGGAGAGCTGGCTGCTGTAGCCTTCCCCCACCAGCCTCCAGGTCAGGGTCCTTTTGGCAAAGGCCAGGGTGCCCCCAATCTGAGGGGTACTCTTGGGTTCCTGGCCTGGCCCTGGGAGCAGCGTCTGCAAGAAGCGCTTCGGGCGGGCCCGGGGGTGCGGGGCCGGCAGCGGGGTCGGCGGGGTCCGGGGCTCTGTGCTTGTGGCCGGCAGCTGGGGCCGCGCGTCGGGGACGCCGCAGCGAGGTCGGTTCATGGCTGCTAGCGTGGCCACGTCCAGCTTCCCGCTGGCTGGCAGCGCATTGACCTTCTGGAACCTGCGCAGGGCCTCGGCCAGGGTGGCGCCCCGGGGACCCTCCGATGACCGGTCGCGGCGGGAACCCTGGGGCACTGGGGCCGCGAACCCCGCCCCCGGGGGCCCCTCTGCCCAGCCGTATTTGGACAGGAACCGCTGCGGGGGAGAAATGCACAGATCGGTGGGGGCGCGGCCAACAGCGTGCTCCACACCTGTGCTCTCTGAGTGTTTACACGCTACGCAGGCCGGTGTGTATTTGCGCGATGTCATCCGTATTTGCTACGCTATGTATTTACTTCTGTTGGGCAGCATTTCTACTCTGTTACCGGTGGTTTGTGCGAGGCCCCGCACCTGAGAGGCGTGTGCATGCGTGCACACCTGTGTGCACACGTGCGCGTGTATGTGCGGGCGTACACGTGTGCCTGTGGGTGCTTGTGCTGCGCGTGGTTGCGGTCTCGGCTTCCCCTACCTGGGCGGCGCGGAGGTCGGCGATGGGCGTGGCCCGGCGCAGCGGGGACGGCGCCAGGTCCGAGCGGTCCCGGCTGTGAAAGAGAGTCTCAGGCCGGGCTGGCCGCGGGGCAGCGAGCCAGCAGAGCAGCAGGGTCGGACGGAAGATAGAGGCCGCGAGCATGGCCCGGTCTGAGTTCGCCGTCCCGCCTCTGCGCGCACGGTCTCCCTCCTGCAGGAGCCGCTGGGGACGCCCTTATCAGCAGCAGCGCTGCACTGCGGGCCCCGCCCCTCTCACCCGGGCGCGAAGCGTGCCAACGGGGGCCGCAGGCCCCGCTCCTGAGGGGCTGTCCTTTGAAAACCCCAGGACCACCCCTCCTGCTGGGTGAGAACGCCCCATCGCCCCTGGCTCCGTTTGCAGAGTCCTCAGGTCGCCGCAGCACGCACGTGCGGCCGCCGCTGGGTTTCCATGGGGACGCGCGGGCGGGCACCTCTGCGGCCACTGCCACACCCACCCCAGCCAGCGCTGCACCTGCTCGCAACCACCGGGGACCATTTAATTTGGTTGTACTTTAGGTCTATTATTTTAGAGGGAGTGGAAATTGCTTTAAGTTTTTTTACCTCTTATTTTTTTATTTGTCAATGACAGTGGACATTCGATGTAACTTATGTTAGTTTCAGGTGTGCAGGATAGTGGTTAGACATTGCTAAAATTTAGGAACTGCCCCCTGCCCCCACTTAAGTCCAGTACCCACCCGGCCCACACGCATTTCCTGTGCTGTCCTTTGCAGGCTGGCGGTCTGGGTCCTTCGAGGGGTGGGGGTTTGGGGGGTTGGGTTTTGGAGAATTTTGGCTTATCAAATTTTTTTCTTATTGCTTTTGTTCCTCTTTATAAAAGGAATACTTAATCAGTATAGCAAAATGTAAATTTTGAAAGTACTGAGAATAAAGGAGGAAATCCTATGATTTAGATGGTAACATTTTCGTGAACATTCTTGCAGATGTATATATTGTGTACATGCATAGAGAAGTGTCTGTGTGTGCGCCATTTTACATACGTTGCATATTCTTTTTTCTTTTCTTTTTTTAGAGGGGAAGAGAGGGAGAGAAGCATCGATGAGAGGGAGAAGCACCCAACACTTGCGTGTCATATGGGCGCAGACCTGGGGCTGAACCCGCAGCCTAGGTGTGTGCTCTGCCCCGGGATTGGATCGGTGAGCCACGCCAGCCAGGGCACGTATGCTCTATTTCATTTCATTATTGAAACTCAGCGTACTATCATGTGCATCTTTCTGTGTTCATGAATATAGGCGTTTATCGTCCTAGTTAATGGCTACATGGAGCCCAGTCTATGAGTCAGGGATTTTTATCTGAGGATAAACTAGAGTTGCACCTGAGGTTCTAGAACATGCCCTGGCCCACACTGTCCCTCTCTGGTCACCTCAGGAAGGCAGGCAGGGCCGGCTTCCTTGCTGAGAGTGTCCGGAGAGCCCGAGGGACGAGGTCCTCCAGCCGTGACCGCGGGTGAGAGCCTGGCATTGTGATGTCAAAGGTCTGGTCAGAGCCAGCGTGGGGCTGGCTGGCAGTCGCTTGTTCATTCATCATCCAGCAAACGCTTGTGACTGTTCTGGGGACCGGGAAGACGGAAACAGACACAGCGGACTCATTCTCCCCTGGCCCCAGCCCTCATGGAACTTCTGCTCTAATGGGGGAGACGGACAACAAACAAAACAGTGAATGAAAATTTCAGGGAGTGACCAGGGGCTGAGAATGTTACCAGAAGAACTGAATGCCTTGGAGGTGGGGGTGGGGGCGTCATTAGTAAAGGGGGCAGGAAAGGGCTCTTGGAAACATAAAACTTGAGCAATGAAAGAAAAATCGGATAGGTCAGTATATTTGTCCATTTCCTTACCCACATTAATATATGTCAGCGAACACGTGTCTGACCAGTGACAAACGCACTGCACAGTGTGGCTAAAGCAAAGCCTAATCGTCGGGTGCGAAGGCATTGTTCACCTCCCCACTTCACTGCGTTTTCTTTTTTTTTTTTTAATTGAAATCTCAAACCGTGTTTTGATTAGCAGACAAACCGTAAAGGTTTTCTCTGAGGAAACAAAAACCCAAAAAGGTGCGAGACTTGGGACAAAAGCACCCCAGCGGTTCCCGCGCTGTCCTCCCTGCTGGGAGGCTGGCGTTCTGAGCGCGGAACAGAACTGAGAACTCTGCGGCTGGGAGATGCTGTCCCGGCGGCTGATGTCACACAGCCCGGGGCCCGAGGGTGTGACGGACGCAGAGGGTGCCTGTCCATTCCGCGGGCGCTGGCTGGGGGCCGTTCCTGAGAGTCAGGTCTCAATGCTTGCACCGCCGCTGGGCCCGCCGGGGGCAGAGCCCTGCTCGGGGCCGAGGTGCGAGGAGTTGATTGCCGCCGGGTCCTGTTCTCTCGGGTAACGTTGGTCTCTTTTTCACGGTCTGGTGCAGTTGGCCTCACGCAGGTCCGGTCAACAGGACCCAGGGAAGCGTGCCGGCCCTCTGCTTGTGTCTGGGAGGGCTCTCCTGCCCGCCGTTGCTCAGCATCCGGGAGGCCTGCGTTCTCCGGGCTCACAGTGTTTGACGGACCAGAGCGCGCGTCCCAGGTACGCTGGATTTGGAGCCGCTGGATTTCGGAGGGGAATGGCAGAGGGAGCTGTGTGACCTACAGGATAAGGGACGAGGGCCCTTGGGGAGACCAGGTCCTGGTCTGTGCAGGCCACTCTTGTGTCTGAGCCTGGGGGAGGGTTTGGCTGGAAGCTTCTAGCATCTCCTTAAATGCTGAGGTGGCATGACCCAGTCGTCGGTGGGAAAATTGAAAACTGTGTTCCTGTAATACGCGTTATTTACCAGGCCGGTGTGCATAGTCTCAGCAGTGTGCTACGTGCCGTCTTGGAAAGGGGCAGCCCTGAGTTACTCCCACAGAGACGTTTAAGCCGGAGGTGCTGTAGGGGGGCAAGTCTGACTCAGAAAGTGAACACGTTTGGGGTTTGAAACCATCTGCTCGGCGCAGGCCGGCAGGTCCCTTGCAGCTACACGTCGCTGCCTGTGACCGAGAGGGCGGTCCTTCCCACTCTCTGTCCTGCTGAGTCCCTTCTCTTGGACTTCACGTTTGAGTCCCCCGCCGTCCTCGAACCAACCCCTGACCCGCGCTGGGCCGGCCGAGGCTCCGAGGCCTCCTCGGGAGCCCCCTCCGTGGGTCCCACGCAGGAGGCCCTGCGGTTCGGGGCTCATCCTCCCGGCCCTGGCGGCAGCTCACCGAGGCGGCCGCAGGAGGCAGGGGAGCCCCCGCCACTGCCCGCCCGCCCTCCTCTGCCCAGGCGCGCGCGTGACCGTGGCGCCATGATTGAGAGGGTGGACATCGAGACGATGGTGGCCATCGGCGGCGGCTTGCTGGTCGCCGCGTTTGTGCTCATGTGCTGTTTCCTGTGTGTTTACTGCAAGTTGGCCAGCGTCTTGAGGTGAGTGGCGTGGGTGAGAGTGAATGAGACCCCTCCCATGGGACACCTGGGGCCCTCTGCTTGAGCGGGGCCACCCTTGCTCTGGGGCCGCACCCCCGCGGAGGTCGGGGCAGCGGGCAGGTCTGAAAAGGCAAAGGCAGGTGAGTACAGAATCTTGGCTTCTCCCCCTCCTGGCAGGGGGTGTGAGCTCACAGGGGAGAGCTCTCTGCAGACGGCTCTGCGGGCCAGCGCTCCCTGCTGTCCCCTGACCTCACAGAGCCCACCCTCAGCGGGCGATCTCCGCCCAGGGGCCGGCCCTCCCTGTGCCCCGCCGGGCACCACAGAGGGGAGACCGCGGGGCAGGCCCCGGCACCGAGCCTCTGCCTCCGGGTCCCTCAGAGGACGGGCGGAGGCGGTCTCCCCTTGCCTGCGCTGGGGGCTCTCAGGGCGCTCCCTCGCTCATTGCCCGTGGCCTCGGGGACAGCGAAACGGGCCTGGGAGGCTGGGGGAAGCCGAGCTGTGTGAAGGTGCTGGGGGACACCTGACAGTGGGGTGTAGGTCAGGGTAATCACTTGGAGCTTTTTTCCAAGTGTTTTTCACTTTATCTGGAGCAGAGGAGCAGCCCTCCCTGAGAGGAAACGAACGCGGGAGTCTGGGGGCCGGGGCGTCCCCGAGCCCGGCTCTGGCCTGCGGTCCCCCCCACCCACTCCAGACGCGCACCAGGCGCTGACCGGCCGGACCGGCCACCCCCGGGGCCAGGCCTGCGGCGTGCGTCCCTGGAGTCCCTTCACCCTACCTGACACTTGTAACACCGTCTGGGAAGGACTGGGTAGGAACTCGGGAGAGGCGCCGAGGCGCAGCCGCCGGCTGCGGTCGCATGGCGTGATTTGCCGGGCTGGGAACGGACGTTGTAGGAAATGGGCTTTAAGAAATTAATCTATGCTTTTTATAAAATCTCTGCAGGAAACTCTGACGACCAGGGGCACCCACCCCGGAGGCCGGCGGCTCAGTGGGCGGGGGCCACGCCGAGACACTGCCTTCTCCGCACCGGCCACCGCCAGCGCCCCACAACGCGGCTCCGGACAGCGACGCTGCGGAGACCGTGGCCCAGAGAGGGGGGGCCCCCACGTCTCCCGGCCCCGGGCCATCCTGTGAAGTAGAGATGTCCATGCTGAGCTCGGCTGCCTCCCGACTCCATTCTTTGCAGGTGTTCGTGGGGTGGCGGTGGGGTCCCCGCGGGCAGGAGCTGCGCTGTCGCTGGCCCCCAGGCCCCTAGCACAGGGCGCAGGCTCACCAGGTGCCGGAGGCCGGGGCGGGGGCAGGGTGGCTGAAGCTGGCCATTGTCGGTCCGGTAACACTTGTCACAAGGTAAACCTGGACACCCAGCACACGGCAGCGGACCCCGAGCAGCGGCGTTTTTGCTCGCTGCCTGCTGGCCACCCGCGCTGAGCTCTGGGCCCTGCCTCGGGTGGCAGGGCGCTTCCTGCGCTGCCGCGGGAACATCCAGGAGCCAAGTGCTCCGGCCGCTCTTGAGGAAGCTCAGAGGCCAAGAGAGTCCTGGGCCGCTGGGGCCTGGCTCGGGGAGTCTTGCGTCCCACCCTCCTCCTGGGGGCCGTGCTCCTTCCCTGCCTGGGCTTCCAGAACCTTCTGGACTGTTAACTGCCTTCTCGCTCCCAGCAAAGAAGTCCAGGCACAGCCCATTATGAAAGGGCTAGTCTGGTCCCCGCCCTGATCGGTACTTGGGAGGGCACACATTTGGGGCAGCTCTGCAGGGGGGACGGGTGGCAGGGGGTGACCTGGGTTCCAGGGCCTCATCGTCTTCCGTATGGGAAACGCTGTGTGACTCACACACGGGCTTTTCACCAAGTCCGGGGAGTTGGTTGCGTGCCATCCTGTACTGACGTCAGGATGGGTAGGTGGTTCTGTTCCCCATCCTCTGCCCAAATACCCCAGACCTACAGACGGTGCCTCTCTGGTGACCAGAGAACGGAGCCCAGCTCGGTGACCAGCTGGCTCCATCTCTGTGCCGGGCAGCCCACCCCCTGCTCCCTGGGGCTGGCTGGCGTGGGACCTCAGGTTCGGGGAGCTCCAGCCGACGGGGCTGTGGTCCCGGGGGCCCGCGAAGGGGAGTGTGGGTCTGACGCCCCCACACAGACACCCCCGCGGAGACGACCTGCCGCCAGCCAGCAGGTCGGGACCTGGCTCCACCCTACGCAGTCTCGTGAGTGGCATTTAGAGCCCAGTTTTCTTCGTGACATGGACCCACCTGCTAGGATAGTTTTGAAGGGTTTCAAAGAGAAAGGCTGGTCACTAAACGTGAAGTCAGAGGTAAGATAAAAAGATCATTTCTTCCGTAAGGGCTGTGTGTACCTTCCAAGCAGTAACGTGCTTGCCAACGAGACTGAAAGTTAGAACAGCTGCCAGCGCAACTGTGTATCTGCGGCTTTCGTAGCTTTTATCAGGAGTTTTATCAGGAGCTTCTAATGCTGCTCCGGATATTAGTCTTTTTGTTGCTGCTGCTTTTGAAAAACTTCATGATTATACAAATCATAAATCTATAAATAATATGAAAATACACAACTGCTGTGTTGATTTTAAAAAAAGATTCAGTAGTAAGTGTACGAGGAACTTCTAGTACACAAGATTTTCCTTGTAGATGTTTATTTTGCCAGTTCAACTCAATTATTTTATTATTTAGGATTTGATTTGATTGTAACAGGAAATATCAAAATAATAGTGGCTTACACGAAATTAGTTCACACTTCTCTCACACCCAGGAGTCCAGAGGCAGCCTGGTTTCGTGTCCCAAGGTCATCTTGGGCAGGGTCATCTTGGGCAGGGTCATCTCAGGGCCCAAAAGGGTTGCTGGAGCTCCACCTCTTGTATCTGCGTCCCAGGACACAGGAAGGAGGATGGGGCCTCTCCTGCCCTGACTGACTGGGCTGCATTTATGTTTCTGAAGGAGGTCTCCATATGTAGCTTACTGTAGCCCACAACTCACAAAGCAGGAACTTCAAGGTCCTTTTCACAGGATGACTACAACGACTCACACACAGAAAATCTCACCATTCACACCAGGTCTGCTGGTTTTCAGACCGCGGGCGCGTCGGTTTCCTCCCCAGAGACCGCTTTGCCTTGGAAGCAGTACCAGCCAGCGACAGCTGGTCCGCTAGGTCGCCACGGGGTTCACTGGAGGCCCCCTGCTGCCAGAGGACGCCCTCTCGCAGGGCTGGGAGCTGCCCATGCAGGGCGAGGGTCCGGGAGCCTCCACGGAGGGAGGTGGCGCGCACCTGCCAGCCCCGGGCCGTCCTGATCGCTGGCGTCCAGGCGGGTGGTTCCCCGCAGGCACACGGCAGGCGTTGTGAAGGAAGGCATAGCCCGCAGGCAGCAGCCCGCTGTCCTCGCCCTGGCCGACCGGGGGCGGGGCAGGGGGGGGGCAGCAGCCCAGGACGGCCCGGGGCCGCTCAGCAGCGGGGAGGCTGAAGCGCCCTCTGGAGGCCATCGGCCAGGGCGCGCGGTGTGGGGCTCTCCGCGGTGCAGCTCACAGGCAGGCCCTGGGTGGCCAGGGCGCGGGCAGTGGTGGGGCCGATGGCCGCGAACTGCGGGGAGGAGAGGAGGTCTCAGTGCGCCCGCAGCGCCAGGCGCGGCTGGGGGGCGAAGCGTGCAGGGCCCAGCGGACTCCCTTCTGTCGCCCCACCGCTCGCACTGAGAGCCCGTGTGTGACAACACTTCCTGGGAGATGCCCGGCTACGGCCGCAAAGTGCCTTGGCCTCCGCGCTGCCGCCACAGCACCCCCGCCAGCCCCAGTGAGGGGGCGCCCTGCCTGCGGCTCGGGCGGCTCGGGTCGGCGCCCGCCGCCTTGGCTGCGCCCCAAGCCTTAGCTGCGGACAGTTCTGTCTTGTGTCTGGGGGCCCGGGGGCAGGGGCAGGGGCAGGTGCCGCACAGAACAAAGTGTGGCAGGGATGGTGGCTGGACCCCCGGGGAAGCAGAGCAGTCAAGACCAGGGCCCTGGGACGGGGGTCAGGACGCGCCTCCCCTGAACCCAACGCTCCACCTGTGACCGGGGGACCAGCCCTGTCGCCCAAGTGTGCAGAGAGGCCACATGTGCTGGAAGGTACAGGGCCCCGGGCCTGTGGCGGGAGGGCCAGCAGTGCTGGCATTGTCCAATGGCTCCACATGACACCCTCGGCCCCCAGTCCAAGGCCACTGCCCTTGCAGGCACCGCGAGGGCTGCGATGGCATGGAGACCCCCGACCAACACAGTCCCCGAAAGTGCGAACCTAAGTCCTCCGAGTCAAAAGACAGGGAAAAGGGGAATGCTTTTAGAACAGATCATTCTGAGATGTTTCGGTGGGACACACATGTGCCAAATGGGGACACGGGCTCAGAGAGGTTAAGTAAGTTGTCCAAGAGTACCAGCCAGGAAGGGGGGCGGCGGAGCTTCCAGCCCGGCCTGGGCCGTTCCGCAGCCTGCCTGTCCAGTTCCGGCTGCACAGCCGCCCCTGCCACGGGGTGCCCGCCAGGTCAGGAGGGCTTGGACTTTACTGGCAACTCTAGGAAAATTAGTAAAAAAATTTTTTAACTGAAAAGACCTAAAGCACTACCTCACCTTAATTTGATCGATCTTGTTACCAGATAACTCTTGAATATGCTTGAGACTGTATGTGAGGCCAGAGGGGCTGAAAAACGTGATGCTGGCTGGCACGCCCTGCAGGGAGAGAACAGGCAGGGTCGGTCCCTTGCGTGAGGCCGGGAGAGAAGTTCCCCACCCGCCACCGTGGGCCCAAGATGCCCGGCGATTCCCAGCAGGCGGGTTCCTGGTTGATGCTCGAATGTCTTATCCGTGAAGACCAAGTTCAAAAGGGGGTCTGTTTAGAGAGTGGGGTGCAATCAAGAGGCTGGCGCTGCTCCTCTGTCACTGCGCAGCCCCGGGTCGGGCCTGCCTGGCCAGGGGACTTGGGCCCCAACTGCCCAGCCGAGGGGACAATGCCTCTGGCTCGAGTGGCCGAGGCAGCACTGATCCAGTGAGGCAGTGTCAAGCCCTCCGGGAAGCAGAGCAGACAGCAGCCGCACGTGGCCTGCTGCTCCGGTTTGTGTGGACAGCATGTCCCGGAACCTACGGGTGCTCGGGAGACTGTCCTGAGAGGGCGGGGAGGCATCTTACTGAATCTAGATGTGGAGAGGTCCGCCAGCTCACAAGCGCCCTCCACGCTCCTGCCTGAAGCCTCCACAGCAGGTTCCCCCCGGACTCCTTGGTGGGCACAGGACCCCTTCCCAGCCTCTGCCCGCAGCTCCCTGAGCACCTGCCTACGGGAACGCACCTGGACCTCTGTTTGTTTCAGGCTTGCTAGGCCCGGGTGCTGTGCAAGGTGCTTCATGTAAACGATCTCCTTCAACCCCTATGAAACCGTACTAGCTGGGTCTGTCTCCGGCTCACAGGCACAGAGATGAAGCCCGAGAGGTTGCACCCTTGGCCACACAGCTGGGAGGGCGGAACCCGCGGGAGGCCAGGCCTCACCGCCTGCTCTGCCCGGAACTGCACCCACCTGCTTAGAGTAGTAGCTGCTCAGGTTCACTCGGATTCCCGGGTGCGGGGCCTTCTGATAGACGGTGAGGCTCTCCATGGGGATCCCTGCCCAAGGTCAAAGCCAGGGGATGGAGTTACTGCCCTGGGACCCCGTGGTGCCTGCCCCCAGGGCATTCGCGGGGCCCTCTGACTGGCCACTGTCCTGAACGAGCGCTCGGCTGGCCCTCTGCCGCCTGCTCAGCTCTCCAGGGACCATGGCGTGGCTGCTCTCTGGGCAGCGGGAGCCCGGAGCCCAGAGCCTGGGGGATGGAGAGGCAGCAGCGAGCCGCTGCCCCGCAGGACGGAGCACGCTGCCGTCATTGGTGATCAGCCCCATCCTCAGGTTTCATCTGCGGTGGACCCTGCCCGGGGTCACCGCCACACCACCTCCGCGCCTCCCCCGTCCCTGCCCCCCCCGACGGTGCCAGCTCAGTGACACTCTGCGTGCCCCCAGCTGGAGCTGGGCCCCTGGGGCGGGCAGGCCTGACCTGGAGCCAGGAGGCGGCACCTCCACGCCCGCCCTCGGGCCCGGGGTCTCTGCAGGGCTGCCGCTCCTGTCACCACGGGCCGGTGGGCCCCAGGGAGGCGAGGGGGCAGTGCCTGCTAGTCACCTTTGTCCTTGAGCATTTTCGGCAGGGTTTCTCCTTTGAGGGCTCCACAGGGAAACAGGAGAGGCAGCGCTGAGGGCTCCCCTGTGAAGAAAGAATGGGACTCTGCAGGGCTTTGCAGGGGCGTGTGAACTGCCCGCCTTGCTCCCGTGGCCCCGGGGGCCAGCGGCCGTGGGGAGAAGGCGCAGCTGCCACCTCGCCAACTGTGTCCTGCGACGGTTGCAGAGGCGGCGCGGCACCTGGAACACTGACGCCCACGCGAGCCGGGGTCCTCTGCCACCTGTGCCCTGTACTCCCTCACCCACGGCGGCTCCCCGGCCGCAGCCACAGGGATTGGGGGCCCGGGGTCAGGCCTGGCGCTGGCACTGACGATGCCGCCAGAGGCGGCTCCCGCACGTGAAGAGGCAGGGCAGCGGCAGCCGGTGTGGCTCTGCGGCCGCTCCGACGAAGACAAACCGCACGCCCACTGCTGTCCCAGCCAGGACGGCGGCCCCCAGCCGAGTGCCCAAGGGCTCTCTCGCAAGCCTAACCACAGGTGTGTGCAGGGCCTTCGGAGACTCCAGACCCCGCCCCTCGCAGCACCCCTGTCGTCCCCGCGGGGTGCTGCGCTGCTTATTCTCATTCGCGAATGCTGGCCGCTGCCCGCGGACAGGGAGCGTCGCCCTCGCCTGCCGGGACCGGGCTGCGCCTGGTTCTCACCGCCGCCACACCCGGCGAGCCAGGCCCGCGGCTCAGCAGACATCACGGAAAAGCACGGCCTAACCTGCCTGGGGGAGGAGACCCGAAACCATCCCACGTGAAAGCACTTTCCTGCTGAGGGGCGGGCTGCGGCGAAGCTGGCCTGGGAGCCAACCCCCTCGGGACGTGAAGGGCGAGCAGGGGCGGACCTTGCGACACTGCGGGCTGGGCCAACCGCTGCAATAAAGCAACCGCCTCCGTAAAGTGAGTCACAATCTTTTGCTGGTGGAGGGCCCTGCCTTCGTCACGTAAACAGGTCTTTGAAGCACGGTGACAGGTCGGCAGCTTGAACCCAGTCTGGGATAAGCTTTCAGCCCCCATGGGCCAGGGCGTGGTGTGTCCCCATGAGGCTGGTAGACTCTGCAGAGGTGACACATGAGGCCTCCCCAGGGGAACGGTGAGAGGGGCCCGGCGGGCGCCTCGCCCGGCACAGGAACGGTGAACGGCGGGGCTCGGAGGCCCCTCTCTGTTCCTGTAACAGGAAGGAGGCCTGGCCTGCCGGCCTGTCGAGGCCAAAGGCGAAAAGGCCCTGCAGACCCCGAGTGCTGTGCGGCTCGGCGGGAGCTCAGTCAGGGGTGGCAGCAGGTAACGAAGGCAGCGAGGCCGGAAAACCCTCCCCACTTGGGTCTGCAGTGACCCCTCCCTCCTGCCGCCGCAAGCCCAGGAGGGCGCTTCCAAGGAGCTGCAGCCTGGCTGCCTGCCCTCCTCCCTGTGTGTCTGGCCGTCTGTCTGTCTCCTTCCCCTGGTTAAGACTGTCATCTGCCTTTCGCTGTTTAGCTCCTATTTTCTCTTCCATTAGAAGAGAGATCCTGGGAGGGAAGGAGAATTGTCTGTCAGAACCATAAACTATCGGATTAAACTAGTTAATAGCTTTGAGTGCTTAGAGAGTGCCTGTTACATAGTAAATAAGTGTTGGTTATGTAAAATAAATAAGCAATAAATGTGAATTGGCCTGTTTACTCCAAGCATTGGAAGTAGATTCTTAGCTTTTAAAATTAAGCTTCAGAGTTTACTCGGGGAGAAAAATCCTAAGCGCTTTGGTAAAACAAAGGTGAAAGTCCTTTTTATTCATCAAGATGGAGCCTTGCTTGGGTATCTTAATCGCGAGCAGATCTAGGAGGGCCCGCAGCATGCTGGCAATTCATGGGGGGGGGGGCGGTGACAAACGCCCTGCAGAGCAGGCCGGCCAGCACCCTCCGCGGTAAGGGCAGAAGGTGCTCCTAGCCACCCTCCCAGCGGCGGCTCCGAAACTGAGACACCAGCGGGACACCCTGGAAGTGCCACGGGCCTCTCTGCCTTGTGTCTGTGAAGCAGGGGGCACCACTCGATGGCCCTGGGCTGACAAGCAAGGGATGACGCAGTTCTCCTCCTGGAAGTAACGCACCCACGGTGTGCACGGCCACGTCCCCGGCCTGGGGACAGGCTGGGCCGCCCGTGCCACCCTGGAGCTCACGGGTGCTGTCCTATCCAGAGGACCCACAACCGTGCTTCATGAACAAGCCTCTTAGTCCCACCGGGAGGCCAAGAGCTACCATTTACATTGATTTCCACATTTAAAAGGGGCTTGGGTGCATTTGATGGAGACCATCACCCCCTGAAAGGACAACAGAAAAAGGAGCCTGGAGGTGGATCATTCTGGACCCTCTGTGGCCGGTTCAGTCCGGGCCCCTGGGGAGCGGCTAGGGGAAGAGCCCAATCGCAGGGACCCCCTGGGGCGCCCAGCCATTCCACTGCGTGTTCACGTTGTCTCTGTCTTTTGGAGCCGGGGGTGGCGGGTGGGGGGCAGAACCGCCGGCAGGCACAGGCAGGGGCCCTGCGCTGCTCGCTCCTGGCCCGCAGGCCAGGCCGCCAGGGGAGGCGCCGAGGAGAGACTCCTTTCCCTGGATGGCGGGTGTGAGACCAGCGAACGAAAGTGAGTGGCCTTTCTTTGGGGCGACCTTTTTCTACTCACTGGAACAAATGTATCCCGCAAGCTTTTCTGCGTTGCCGCAGTTTTCTCCTTCCGTTTCCAGGCCCATTTTATTCACTGGAAAAAACCAAAACAATACATCTGTTTGCATGGCCATTGAAGTCCCTCTGTTCCTATGCTGTCCCTTCCGTGCGCAAACATGGAGGCTCCTGCTTCCCAAGGCACAGGGAGATCTGACAGGGTGCTGGGTCCTGGCCCTGCCCCCACGCTCCCCAGCCAGGGGCAACGGGGGTCCCTGCCTTTCTCTGAGCCCCACTGAGCTCCTCTGCAAGTGGGGAGGACACAGCCGCACGGGACTGTTTCAAGGATGGTACAAGATGACGACAACGAACTGCTGGCCACCTCAGAGGAGCCCGGGAAAGGCGGGCGTCTCAGTCAGAGGTGCTGAACCTTCAAGACCTAGGGACACAAGAGAGCCCTCATCTGGGGAGGGGCGAGGCCGGCCGCCCACCCCCCGGGGGCTGACACAGGAAAGGCGTGCACGGTAGGGAGGAGCGGTTCCGCAGGTGACTGAGGGCGAGGGCCGCGCGGGCCGCCCCTGGGGGACCCCTGTCGCGGACTGAGCTGGGGCCGCACGCAGGCTCCCGGCTCATTACCAGGTGAGCGCCAGCCACCCTGCAGGGGAGGGTGAAGAAGGGGGACCCCGGGGCTGGGTGGGCGCAGAACGTGGAGCTGCCCTGAGAAGGGAGGCACCCACACAAGGCTGGCTCCTACCGAGTTGCCAATTGGCTGCCCACACCCTCAGCCTTGAATTCACAGACGGTGAGAAGGGGGCCCCGGCAGCCGCACGTGAACCCTCCCCAGCAACCAAGCCCTTGCAGGAGCTGCACGGCCAGCCCTCCGGGTGGACTAGGAAGGGATCGCGCACCGGGAGCCGCGATGCTGCGGCTCACGCGTGTGCGTGGCCTTCCCCAGTGCCCAGGCAGCGGGCACGTGCTGAGGTCGGGCGCGAAGGGCCCACTCTCGGGCTGCGGGTGATGGATTCGGCCTCCAGCCCCTGCCTCCCCGCTGCAGGCGGCGTGGGGGGCAGGAGCCTCAAGTCCCCACTCTAACGCAGGGCTGTTCCCCGGGCAACCACCCCCCACGGTAAGGCCCTGTAAAAAGGCAGCTCATACAAGTAAACTCAGATGGAGGTGAAAGAAGTTTGTTACGAATGACAAAAAGCGCCTTTTATCCTGTGCCAGAAACGAAGACCAAAGACACACTCCTTATCCGGAGGCACAACAGGGCGGCGTCCTTTGGTGGTTCCTTTTCCCTCGGTGGCTTACCTAGAGCAGCGGTGGCATTCCCAACCACGTACACCGACTTAGCGTTCCAGTTTCCCCTCAGAGACTCTTCCCAGACTGTAAGACATGACATCACGCGTGGGGTGCAAAGACCGCGGTGGCCATGCGGGCGGCTGCCCAGGGCCCCTCGCTTCCCCTGACCCTTGTGGGCAAAGCAGACCAGCAGGAGGCAGATCTAAAGAAAATTCCATCTTTAAACTGTTCCTATTTTGCAGGCAAATTTTAAAAAATCACTCCGGTAAATGTTTACGGGTTGAAACATTACAACCCGCCTTGCTTGAAAGAGTAAGTCATTTCCAGAGTTGGCACTAGAAGCATTTTTAATGGGCGCTAGAAAACAAACATAATGTGAAGAATTAATGTGCATGCTTGATATAAAAGTTTTTACAGTCTAGACTTTTCAAGAAAGTCACTGGTCATGAAAAAGAGGTAACCTGAAGTCTAATAAAAGGACACAAAGGTTTTATTTGCAATGTAAACCTGAAAGCAGTGAAGAAACTATCACCTTTGATGCGAGGGTTCATTTATCCGTTAGGTCAAAGTAGAGATACTTCATTTCAGGATCATAAACAATTAAATAGAGGATTCTACCATTTTGTGACAAAAATAAACGTCTTTAAATGTGAATCGAAGACAAACAGAGAAAACAGATTGTATAAATACAGGTCTATTCTGAGGGATGAGGCGGTTGCCGGCGGGCGAACACTCAGGCTCCTCAGCAGTGACATCCGCCTGGGAGCTCAGGAGGCAGCGCCGTCCTGTCTCCCGGGGTCTGTGACTTGGTGCCGCGAGGCGCCCACTGTCGTCAGAAGGCGAAAGGCTAACGCATCTATGTCGGACCTCAAGAAACTGCTCATAAAAAGGTCTTTTTCTGCTCCCTCCAAAGGTTACACAAACATGAAATAACTAGGTGCCTAAATACGTTTTGAGCTAAAAGTCACTGCAATTTTTGAACTGGAAGGGCAGCTATTTCTGGAATCTTCTAGACATCAGAGGGAAGAACAGGCCGGTGGATTGCGCGGCGGCCTGCCCCTCACCTTCGGTTTTGCCATCTCTCTGCAGGCACAGCTCCGCAGCTTCCACTGCCCGGGGGCTGGTGAAGATGAGTCCCCCGTAGTCTTCCGGGCGGGACAGCTGCGTGACAAACACCAACACAGGCGCCTGGTGACGGCTCGGCTCGGCTCGCCATTCCCGGAACTCCAGGTGCTCACAAGATCACCGGGCAAACCAGTTCGCCCCCGACGCCTGTCCGCCCACCCCCTCGGCGCTTACTGAGAGCTGAGCGTGCCCAGGTCTCTGCCGGCCTTAGGGAGCACCGGAGCGCTCCTCACCGGGAGCATCCACCTCCAGCAGCTCAGGGTGGGACGGGGGAGCCAGCAGGTGCTGCGGGGTTGGCGGGTGTGACGGGCTCAGCGAGGGCAGCCGGACGGAGCTGGGCTGGGCGGGGAGCAGGCAGGAGGGCCCGCTTGACCTGCATCTATAGTGAAAGTGGGCTACTCGCCAGGGGCCACGCTGGTGCTGAAACCCCGACTTTCAAAGGCAACGGCGATGAAGCCTACTGGCCACGCATCCGAGCCAGGCGCTGGGCTGTTGTGTCCACGTCCCCCTACCGCCTCAGTGACAGGACCCGCGGGACGGGGACCGTTCTCCCCGCGTGGGTTAAACACGGAGGCGTGGGGAGGCCAGGAGCCAGCCCCAGGGTTGCGGGGGGCATGCGTGCGTACAGAGCTCGCGGTATCGCTGAGCTCGAAGGAGAGAGCTCCAGAGCCACTCGTCCCTGATGGGACCGATGGGCTGCTGGGACGGAGAGGCTCCTGCGAGGACTGTGGGCTCTCTAACCATAGGGTTCCAGAATGATCTCAAATGACGAGGTCCTTGTTCCCTTTCAAAGCTGCTTACGGAAAAGCATGCCAGTGGGGCCCCTTGCATAGTCCCTCAGCCCGCGAGCCCAGTGCACAGGGCGTGGTGGATGCCCACTTGCTGTTTGCTGAGTTAGGAGTAATCGGGAATTGGACTCGAATGGAAAGGAGAGAACAGAAAGGCTTGCCACAGGGCGGCGGGCTGGGCTGCGATGCGGAGAGCACGAGGCGGGGCCCGGTCCCCGGGCTGTGGCACCCAGTAAGCAGGGCTGCGGGGCACCCAGCCTCGGCCTGACACACCCAGATGGCTTTACCGAGACTGTCCCGGCAGTGTGGGCCAGCCCCACGCCGCGCAGCCAGGCTGAGGCTGTGGGGACATGTCCCGGTCTTGAGTCTCAACGCTGCCTCTTACTTGCTAGAGGCCTGGGCGCAGTTGCCCAACCTGGGGCCTCAACCTCTGAGACAGGAAAACTAATGCCCGCACGGCCTATTCACGGAGGTCAGGGCCGGGGCTGCAGGACGGGCCTGCTCCGCTGCGAGCGGTGCCCTCCCCGCGCCCACTCTCCAGGGCGCCTCCAGTTCAGGGTCGGGGAGCCGGTGGAGGCTGGAGCGCAGAGCCCAACGGCACCGTCCTGGAGCTGGGGGGCTGTCCTGCACCCTTTAGAAGCTGGGCAGTGAGATGAGGGGAAGGAGGAAGTGTCTGCAGCTCGGGCTGGCACGCACCCTGCAGAAACCACGTGTCTCACTAGAAATTACAGCGCCCAAGCCCAGGCGGGCCTTACCTTCTCTGAGAGGCTGGGAAGAGACAGAAACTCAAATGACAAAACGGGGATCAGAGTGGCTTCCAGTCCACAGAATCCCAATTCCTGCAAATCAAAGAACATGGTTCTGGGTTGGCCAGGGAGCTTCGGAAAGTAAGGAATCACACGAACAGCTTCTCCGGGGCCAGCCCCTCCACGTTAGCAGGCCCCCTCCGCCACGCCTGCCCTCACCGAAAGGCGGCGCTGTGCTGTCTGGGCCGAGTCTCGGCGCTTACCCTGACGTATGGGTCCTGGGCACCGTCATCCTCCTTGGCGTCTTTCAGTAGAAGGACCTTCATGATGGCCTGGCAGTCCTTCCAGGGCGCTGTGACAGAGCAGGGAGGCAGACCTTCGTCAGACCTCAGAGGCTCTGCGGGCCACAGGGACAGACAGGAGCACAGGAGGACGGCAATCAGCCGCTGGCGGACGCGGCCTCGCCCCTGCGCACACTGACTCAGCGTGATCGGGCTCCTTCGGGAGACCCTGTCACTGATAAGGCGGAGGGACAGCATGCTGGCATGTGATATGACTTGGAAAGGCAGATGAAAGCCATCTGGAAAAGCCCGCATCCTAGCCAAACACTGAAGGCTCACAGAGGAGAAGTGATGTAAATCCTGGGTTGTATCAATAACAAGCAGAGAATGGCCATCTCACATTGGAAGGAAATAAATGGTCACTTCCATTTGAAGACACATACACTAAGTTGGCTCGTAAGCTCCTTAGGAAATAATTCTATTGACTCTTCTACTTCTCAAGTGATGTTTTACAAATGTCATCACATGTCATGAGATGATCTTTCAAAAATTTTCTAACAACCTAGAAAACAATTTATTAATACATATCAAAAACCTTATATACTTCATATCCTTTCTTCCTATAACCTCACATATAAGAATAAATACTAAGACAACATTGATAAATGCATGCAAAGATTAACACAGAGATGCACTGCCTGGTATTCTTGAGATATAAACGGCATACAGCCCAATGAACGAATTGCTTTGTACCGAAGCAACCAAACCTGGGTGGACAAGTAAGAACTATGAATCAAATTCTAATTATTGCTGCTGTCAGGCTCTTAGCTAGAGACTGCGGATTTGGGACAGTGGGCAACATGTCTATCATTTCCGGAAGTCCCTCTACGTCTCAGACGGAAACAGAAATCTTGCCTTTCTGCGGTGGCCTCTCTCGTGTCAGCTTGGCCTGACTGGAGTCCCATTTGCTCTCGGATGCCCGCCTAGTGTGGCTGGGGAGGTGTGACAGGGCCCAGCATGAGCTGGCTTTTAATAGGACGCGCCCTCCTGGGTGACCTGGGGGGCGGGCCCGGGCAGAGGAAAGGCAGGCCGCGGGGCAGCCCCAGGCTTCCCTGAGCAGGAAGCCCCTCCTGCGCGCACAGCCCAGCTTGCGCTGGGTCCTGCCCTCTCCCTGGCTTGCACCGTGGACTTCAGACTAACTCCCAGTTGCACAAGTGAGCTCCTTGCAATAAGCCTCCCAATGCTGATTCCCTACTGGCTCTGTTTCTCTGGTTGATCCCTGACCGATACACCTGCCAGTTTTGGAGGTTCCAGGAATCGGGAATGTCACTGAGTGGCACCCTCTGCTAAAGCATAAATCTGTGCAGGGCACACAAAGCAAGCAACTATTTTTGTAGGATTAAAAAGTGGAAGCTTATTGCTGTCGGAAGCAGGCACTCCTGTGGCCACGGGTCCCTACTCAGCGCCCCCCCCCCCCACCGCCCGTGACTCTGCTGGGGCTCTAGCCCCGAAATACAGACCCTCGTGCCTCCAAAAGCTAGTTAGCAATGCTCTCGAGCCGGGAGCTAGCCTCTCCCAAGAGCGCTCTCTCTAGTTCTCTGAAGCGACATCTGGACCCCCTCGGGGAGAGGAGGTGTGCAGCGTTTATTGGGGGGGGGGGACAAGTGCAGGTGCCACTAGGTGCTGTGAGGTGAAGGGGCACAGGGGACTGGGATGCTGGTGGCTGGGGACCTCTCTGAGGAGCTTGAGATCGGAATGTCCATAGCAGTGGCGGAGACTTGAAGGAGGTGACATGAGTTGAGATCTGAGCGACAACAGCCACCAGGAGAGACATATGAGTCAGAAAGAGGCGCTGGTGTCCCCGGGCGGGAAGGGGAGGCCTGGCTTGAGTGGAAAGCGCGAGGTGGTCTTTGGCATCCCCGAGAAACAGGAACCCCCTGAGGGGTGGGAGGGAGAGGCTGGGACAGCCAGCGGGATTTATGCCCAAGAAAGACCGCTGGCTCCTGTGGCCAGGACAGCGTGGGCGGGGGCGGGGAGACACGGAGGTGGTTCCAGCCGGCAGAGGTTCCCAAGTGGCGGGGGCAGGGATTCCTGCGCCCGACAGGAACTACAACGTAATCCTGGGCGACACCCTCTGTCCACAGCCTGGTGCGTGTCAGTTGGGACCGGGATGAAAGTACCGTAAGCGCCTCTCTTCTTTGACTCCCACCTGACCTTGGCGTTTGTTCACGGCCATTCTCTCAGAAAGCCGACAAACATCTAGAGACAATGCCTGTGTACTAGGGTAAAAAAAAAACCCCTTTACTACAAATCAGTGAAACCAATGACATGAACTAACGGGGAAGACGGAGCCGGCGGGTCAGCAACCTAGGCCCTGAGTTAGGCTCCTGGGCTCTGGGCTGAGTCTTCTCGAAGGATGAAACCACTGGCAGTGCCTTTATTCCCCTTTGCTTCTCAAATTCACGCTTGGACCATGAGCCCCACACTGGGGACGAATCAGAGGGCATCAAGTAAGGCCCCCACCCCTTCTCCTATCAAAGCAACACACGCTCTCAGTGTGGGAAATCTGCCAACTGCAAAAAAATAGATACTTAGTTCCTCATGAAACTAAAAGCAGAATTATCGTATGACCCAACAATTACATTTCTAGGTGTATGCTCAGAAACATTAAAAGCGGGGACTTCAGTAGGTATTTGTACACCCATGTCGGTAGCGGCGTTATTCACAATAGCCAGGAGGTGGAAGGGACCCAAGAGTCTGCTGCGGGATGAGTCAGATGTGGCCTCTCTATACCATGGAATGTTCTTCCGCCTTAAAAAGAAGTTCCGACACACGCCACAACACAGATGAACTTTAAAAACATTCTGCTAAGCGCAACAAGCCGGTCACAGGAGGACAAATATTCTATGCCACTTAAGTACCACACGCCTAGAGTAGGCAGATTCAGGGACAGAACGTGGAAGGGGGCTGCCAGGGGCCGGGCCGGGGCGGGGGGACTTGGTGTCGATGGAATGCTGAGTTTCAGTTTTGCAACATGAAAGACTTCTGGAGGCAGGTGTGGGTGAGGGTTGCACAGCGGCATGAATGTGCTCGATGCCCCTGAACTTTACACTTAAAAATGATTATAACGGTAAATTTCGTGTCATATATTTTACCGCAAACAAAGGGGCGGGGGTGGGGGGAATTACCCGCGATGCCTCAGAGCAACTCTACTGGTACGTTGGCACTGTGCCTCCTGAAACTGTTTTCTAGTTAGCCTTTCAAAAGGTCTCTCTCACACGTTACTGGAAGACGTTTCTGCACCGTTGTGGGACCCGAAGGGGCCACATTAAGCTCCTCCATCAGACGTGGAACCCTGATGTATGAGCACAAGAACATCCACGTTGTGGCCTGGCCGAGGAGACGCAGGAAGGTGGAACCGACAAAACACAATCGCAGGGACTCTGGGGATCCCCACGGTCTCTGGATTCCAATTCCTCCTGCTCCCGAAGGATTCCTGAGCAGAGCTTTTTATCCCTGTTCTGCTTCAGCCTCCAGCAGCCACCACCTCACTCCTGGGGCAGCTCGTTACAGGCATCCAACCCACTCTCCTCGTTTTACAAAAGAAAAAAAGGAAGTTGAAGTCATCTCTAATTAGTGACTTTCTAATTAACAGTCTGTACAGTGGGCTGCAAACTGGTAGCCCGCAGGATAAACCTATCTGGTCGATAAATTTTATTTGGCACAGGATTTAAAAACCCAAGTATTTCTCGTAAAAAAATCAGAATCCCAGGCTCTCTTGAAACGTACAAATCTGCCGGCGCTGGGCCAGCATTTCCCCTTCGCCACAACTGGTTGCAGCGGTCAGGGACGTCCTAGCTTGTCCCCCGCACCCTGTTCTCTCAAAATAGGCTCTGCTCTGCACCTCAGATTTCGCCACTGGCCCTTAAGTATTTAACGTCGATTTCTGTTTTTAAAGAAACTTCGAGAGGGTCGGCTAGAGGTAGGCCCTGGGATGCTTCAATTACTGACCAGGCCGTGCCACCGCCGCGCTGGGGACACGCCCGCAGGGTGGGGCCTGAGCACGCACAGGGATCCCGTAAGCTTCCCTTCGGGGCAGAGCACTGCCCCGGGACTAAAGCCCACACGCCGGTCAGCAGCGGCCTCGGGTTCCGCTCGCGACTCGTCCTGCACTCACCAGCGCCGCAGATGGGCCCCTGCACGTCCGGAGGCCTCCGGGTCTTCCTCGGTACCGTGGGCGGCGACACCTACCTACCTCGCCGGGCTGGTGAGACCCGAAAGGTCTAGGCTCTGGGGCCGTGCCCAGCCCGGCGGCCGGCACTCGCAAGTCGCCCCGGGAGGCTGTATCTCGTGATCCCGATCTGGAGGCTGTCAGGCTGCCCGAGCCGTGACCTCCCGAACCCGGTGGGCGGACCCCTCACCACGTGGCTAGAGCCGCCGTGCTGACGGCCCAGTCCTGGCCCCAGGTGCAGGCACTTGAGCCCGGCGCCGCTGACAGCTGGAGCTCGCGCATGCGCACGCGCATCCAGGCCCAGGGAGCGTTCGCAGCGATGGGTTGAACCACTGCGCGAAGGAGAGAGAGAGCCTTGGAGGGCGTGAGGAAAGATGAAGGAAGGAAGAAAACGGCAAGATAGGACCCTGAAATGGATTTGACTCTGAGGAATCGCGGTCGTGGAATCCAGCTGGGGCGCTGGGGTTGTCGCCGACTCAGCGCCGAGGTTCTCTGTGGTCTCCCAACCCCCTCGGCTTGAGTAGGTGGGTCCGGGAGGGCGGGCGAGTGGAAGTTGCGCAGGCGCAGTGAGGGCGGCAACATGGCGTCCAGGTCCAAGCGGCGTGCCTTGGGCGATGGGGTCCCGCGGCCGCCAGATGCGCCTGCACCTCGCCTCGAGGAAGAAGAGGACGACGAAGTCGAGGACGAGGACGAAGACGATGAAGACAGTGACGGAGAGGAGGATGAAGACGACGAGGTCGTCGACGAGGTGAGCAGCACTCGCGCCCAGTTCGGCTTCTATTTGGGAAAATACCTTCTGGCAGCTGAAGCCGTGCGCGACTGTGTGGGATGCTTGGAGCAGCAACTCCCCGGTACCCGAGGGTCTGTAAGCAGACCCTGCAGGTGATAAAAGGCTCTGACTCCGGCTCCACTTCGGGCTCTTCCACTCCGCAGCCGCAGAAAGTATTTTAAAAAGTTAGAGCCTGGCCGGGTCGTTACCCCCCCCCCCCCCAAGAACACCGGCACAACACTTTTTTCGGAGGCTTTCTTTAGTTTTCAGGCGGAAGCCCCAAATCCTGAAGTGGTCACCAAGGGCATGCAGATTTATCCTTTACCCTCCCACCCCCGCAACCCCTGGCCTGCAGCCTCCCTCCCCGCGCGGCGGTCCCCTGGCCGGTTCCGGAAGCTGCCAGCCCCGTTCTACCGGCAGCCTTTCCAGACGCTCTCCTTCGTCCTGCAGGTTTTCCTTCCGTGCTCGGCTCCCAGCTACGCGGTGTTTTTTCTGCCTGCCCCTCTCACCGAGTCCTGATGATACGTCCTCAGACCTGGGCTCCGTCCAAGGAGCTCCTGCCGCAGTGCCTGGCGTGACAGGCCCTGCGCGTTGGTTGAATGAATAGTGAGGATTCAGTGATCCCCACCGGGTGTCTAGCAGGCACCTCCAACTTAACACCTGCAAAGCAGAATTTGCAGTTCATGCTCATAATCTTTGCTGCTTCTGCGGATGGTCCCCAGTGCAGATGCAATGTGGGCGATGTTTGCCTATTTTTTGTAGACCAGGCAGTTACAGTGTTTTAGGTAAACTTTCTTTCTGGTCTTTTTATTCTGTAGATGGAGGTGGAGCTGAAAAGAGTGGAGGCAGAGGGGAAAAGAAAACTCTGCAGTGGGGAATAACATTTGAAGTAGCTTGGAAAGTGCTGTATGATAACTTGTTTTGTGTGCTATTTACAGGAAGTGAATATTGATTTTGAAGCTTACTCCATCTCAGACAACGACTATGACGGAATTAAGAAATTATTGCAACAGGTATTGTTTTTTACTCTTTACATGTCAATTGGCTTTTCTAAGAAAACCCAGGCCATTCAGCAGAAGCTCTGTCAAACCTCATCCCTTCTGTTTTGTATTCCCTTCCCTGTTCTCTCCACCTGGCCTGGGAGGAGCGACACTTCTTTTCCAGAGCTAACGCCCCCGACTTGGGCCCCCGCTCCCAGCCCCCTTCCTCCATGAACATATTTGAGTATCCTGTGCCCGACAGCACTTTCCCTTCCGTCCGTTAATTGCTTGAACTGCTGGTCTGTTCTTCTCTCAGTCACTCAGTCGCACCCCAACTCCATCGGTTAGAGGAGTTCTTACATAGAAGCCGTATCGCTGCACCCTGTGGGGGCTCCTACTCCCTCCTGGCCCCAGTGGAGATGGCTTTGGTTCCTGCCCTTTACAGCCTTGAGAGTGTCCTAGTCGCCAAGCCCTTTGGCTTTATGTTGGCCCTTCTCTTCCCCTCCCCCATACCTCCTATATTTCCACCGACTGCCTCCTCTTCAATTCCAGTGCCTTCTGCTTCTCTGATTCTCTTGGGCTTTTCCTTTTCTCTTGGGATTGCATTTCTGAGTCATCTTCCTGGTCAAGTCATTGACATTTCTTTATTTTTATTTGAATATGGAAATTAGAAGTTTTATTAGATGCTGTGCTTTGACTGTAATTTAAACTAATTTTTTTTTCTTCTCTTAGCTTTTCCTCAAGGCTCCTGTGAACACCGCAGAACTGACAGATCTCCTGATTCAGCAGAACCACATCGGGAGTGTGATTAAGGTAAGCAGGGTCCTTGCGCCCATTCTGATTAAATTAGTTCTTGGGCCGGGAAAGTTCCTGATTTATAGCAAGCCGGCCAGGAGGCTACATTGGAAAGGAGTCTTAATGGGGGAAGGGAGGCACATGAGAAGGCCGTTCAGGAGTCCAGGGTTATTACATGCGGTCCCCGGGGCCGTGGCCGCGGATGGGAGCGAAGGGGCTGGCCCAGAGGTGTTGGGGAGACCAAGAATGACGGGGCTGGGGAGTGACGGGGTCTAAGGGGGCGGGGAGAAAGGGTCAGGGAAGTCCCAAGGGTCTGGCTCAAGCAACCAAATGGCAGCACGGACGAGGATAGGTTAGGAAGGGGAACGGGAGTTTGGATTGTTCTGTTTTGAGTTTGATTTGCCTGTGACAATGCGCGGGAGCCGTTGCGCCGCAGCTGGAGCCTTGGGCCTGTCCTGCAGATCGGTGGTAACTGAAGCTGTAGGAGTGGCTGCGATGGCCCAGGAAGGGCCGGGGCGCAGGTCATCCCGATGTCACTGGGGTGAGTAAGGTCAGTGGCAGAGCCTGCACGGGGGCTCAGCGGAGCGGCCAGGAGAGGAAAGCCCAGCAGGAGTCAGGGACCGTAGGGGAGGGGAGGGCGCGTTTGGAGGAGCAGGGGCCAGACCCGGGTGAGTGCTGTCCTGCCGTGTGCCACCCTGTCACTCTTCATGGCCCCCGTTGCTGCCTCATACACCGCCTTGCACTTTGTGTCTTACAGTAGTGGCGGTCACCTGCTCGGCCGGTGGGGCTTCAGTTTGGACAGAGCTCAGTGCAGACAGCGCGTGCTTGCTCCGCGTGACAGTGTGGCAGTTGTCAGCGAGGGGCGGGGGGCGTCAGGATGGCTCGCTCACGTGACCTGCACGCTGGTGCAGGCTGGCCATTGGGAACCCGGCTGGGACCGTGGGCCGGGGACCCTCAGTTGCCCTGCGTGGGCCTCTCTACCAGTGGTGGGTCCCCGGGGTGTGCAGCTCAAAAGAACGGGGTGGGGGCATTTTATGAAACAGTGTCGTGCCCGCCACTCGCTGGGTCAGCTGACACGAAGTTCCACACAGGTTCACGGGGAGGGCGCACAGACCCCCCCCCTTTGATGGGAGGAGGGTCTAGGTCACTTTGTCAGAAGAGGTGGGATAGGAGGTGTCATTGTGGCCATCTGTGGAAGACACTCTGCCACAAGACCTCAACCTATTGCTGTTTCTACGTCTGAAAACAAGGACTGTGCATGTACTGACGTGGCGAACGCAGTGAGTTACTGCGTGCGGACGTACTCGGAACTGTGCCTGGCACGTGGCACACGCACGGTACACGTGGAGCTGTCTCTACGGCCCTGTTCCCGGCACCTGTTGTCCAGACCAAACAGGCAGCTCCACCTTGTTCTAATTCTCCATTCTAACTACCTCGCCGACAGCTGTACCCCTTTGTTTTCAAAGCCATTTTTAAAAAGGGTTTGTTTATTCGTGTAAGAGAGAGAGAGACTTCAGTTTGTTGTTCCACTCATGTGTGCATTCACTGGTTGGTTCTTGCGTGTGCTCTCACTGGGGATCGAACCCGCAGGCTTGGTGTACAAAGCCAACATTTTGAAGATTGTTTTTATTAACAGTTTCTACGTCCTCTTCTCTGAACACCCTGCTCTGACTCTTACGTCCCGTCCGCTACTGCAGTTTTGAGACTGTCTGGTGGAGCTGCCAGCACCTTGCGCTACATGCAGTGCACACGTTTCAGACCTTGGGCAGCACCAGTGACCTTGGGGCGGCGGGGGGGCCGGACGGCCCCTGCCCTCCTCAGACACAGCGCTCTCCAGCTGGCCAGCGAGGACACGCGGCCAGCGTCCCGGGACCTGCGGGAACCTGGGAAGAGCCGTTTTCATCCTTGGAAGAGCTGCTGCTCTAACGGGGGACGCGGCCTTCCGTTGGACCGTGATCCAGATACTCTACAATTATGGCTTCCTTGGCTTCCACAGGGACCATGGAGGTGTCCCAGAGACAGCCTTCCTGTTCCTAGGAAAGGGATGGCCCAGAGCTTTTGGTGGCACTTTGGGACTGGATGGGAACCCTGCCAGAGGAGGCGTCCCGAGGGTTTGGCAGGGAGAGGGTGGGGGACTGTGCAGGGCACTGGTGGGGGGCGGCCGGGGCGGAAGGCTCTGGTTCAGGGCGAGGTGCTCTGTGGGGCGTGGCTCAGGTCCCTGGGCACTGAGAGGAGGCTCGGGGGTGGGGTGGGGCCAGAGATGGTGGTAAGAGGGGTGCGCCACGCGTGACGTGACCGTGACCCCAGCACCATGGAGAGGTGGCCCCGTGATGCACTGCCCCGGTGGCTGACGCGCGTCAGGAACGGCGGGCGGTTCCGGGCGATGCCGACTGCTTGTGAGCACAGGGCCCGTGCAGGGCTCCGTAGAGTGGGACAGCGAGGGCGCGCCTTTGTCTGTCTGTGCTGCTCAGGCTGCGCTGCGGTAGCTGGGAGTCCTCTGCGGTGCAGGGGACCCGTCTGCTGCTGACCTGGGAGCGCCAGGGAGGGGGAAATATGCGTCCTTCCTCTGTCCTCCTCTCCCTCCCATCGGACCGCTGATCTCCCCAGGAGGCGCCTTCTCATCTCCTGCCCTCGCGCCCTCTGGTGCCGAGCCGCAGGCCTCTCTCACTCGGGCAGCAGTAAAGGCTTTGTCGTAAAGCCCACAGCCCCTCTGCCTGGGGTCCGTCAGCGGCCGTGTCCCTGAGGTCCAGGAGCCGCGTCCTTCCTCGGCCCCTTCAGACTCTGGTCAGGTCTGACCTCACAGAGGCGGTCCATTCTGTTCTCCGCCCTGATGCACTGAGCCCCGGGGCACCGTGGTGCCTCGGCACTGTTGGCCTCGCCTGCCCGAGCCAGCGGTGCTGGGAGGTGCGGCGGAGCTCAGGAGGCCCCGTCCCACGCAGCAAGTCCAAGGTCAGAGCGGGGCAGCGCCGGACCTGCCAGTTCCGGTGGGAGAGCAGCAGCCTCGCATCACCTCCTTCATCCACATGTGCTCCCCGGGGACTCGTCCCGTGCGAGGCTGTGTGCTGGGGGTGCACGAGGGGCATTCACACCTGGGCGGGCAAGCCAGCCGCACGGGGAGGGCCATGCGGGGGGCGCAGCGCGGCCTCTGGAGAAGGGCTGCCGTCCCAGAGCCGGGAGGTCCCGTCGGCGTAGGCGCTCCATCTGCGCCCTCTGCTCCCTTCGCCTGCCCTCCGCTCCCCGGCCCGCTTTCCCTCCTGCCTGAGTAAGGGGCACCCAGGCCTTGTTTGCACACCCCAGCAGTCGGGGCGGGCCGCGCTCGGAGGGCACGTGGCCTTAGGTGGGGCCGTGTCGTGGGCCCGCCCGGAAACAGGCATCGGCTGGCTCCAGCCACATCATTCCATTCCCTAAACAGACCAACGCAGTTTATTTCATGAGGTTTTACCTGTTCTGCATTTGTAGTATATTGAGAACCTGGGAAGGAAACTGTCAGAAGGGCCTGGTATAAGGAACTGTAGAGCAGGAGGAGACCGTGCAGAATGTAACGAGGAGCGGAGTCCAGGGCGCTGCAGGGCCACGAGCTGGGCGCGCGGCGGTCGGTCCCCGGCGCTCGGAGGGGCAGTGGCGAAGCAGGCAGTGTTCATGCAGGGAGTGACAGCTGGGGCCGAGGTCCCCGGCCGGACGCCACACTTCTTCCCTGACAAATACAAGTTACAGCTATTTTTCTTTTTAAAATAGCAAACGGATGTTTCAGAAGACAGTGACGACGATGTGGATGAAGATGAGATCTTTGGTTTCATAAGTCTTCTAAATTTAACCGAAAGGAAGGTTGGTTTCCGTGACACCTGTCTGAACGGCTGTTCCCGAGGCCCAGGCCACGCTTCCTTAGCGCTCGGTGCAGTGTCTCTACGTCAGGCGGCAACTTCCGTTACAGGCGTGTGCGCTCCTGAGGCCTTACTGTGGTCCCTTCTATTTTGTTCCCAACGGCGCGTGTCCCGTGAGAGTCGCTTCCTCCCCGCGTGTAGAGCACCGCCGTCTGGCAGTGGCACCGGTGTTGGCGTCGTGCTGGCGTTGACGCGGGTGGTGCGCGCGCCCCAGCAGTGGTGCTCCAACCGGGAGGCAAGGGTCTCCCCAGTCAGGGGCGTGCACGGACACCTGCTTCTGTGCCGCTCATCGCTTTTCACTGCTCGCCAGTGAGCTCTGATGAAAAGCAAAGCCAGCTGTGCACCCTCCTCAGATGAGGTGCAGGCTGCACTTTCATTTTTAAGTGAACGTCCAGTCCCGTCCACCGTTCCCCGTGAGATGGGCTAGAATCCCCGCCCCAGCGTGCCCGCCTGTCAGCGCGACCCTGCCTCAGCACCGATCGGGCGTGGCAGTGAAAGGCCGGCCCGGTCACTTTGCGAAATACCAAGGCAGTCACCACCGAAGGCCGAGGGGTTTACAGGCTGTGACAGACACCTGCCCCCCTGTAAGGGAAGGGGGACTCCCGCCCCTGAGGTTTCTCCTGGGAGGGGTGGCCTGGGATGAACAGCAAGCCTTCTCTTTGCTTTCTAGGGGACCCAGTGCGCCGAGCAAATTAAAGAGCTGATTCTAAGCCGCTGTGATCAGAACTGTGAAAAGAGCGTGGTTGAGCAGCTGGACAAGCTTCTGAGTGACACCACCAAGCCCGTGGGCTTTCTCCTGAGTGAAAGATTCATTAACGTTCCGCCCCAGATCGCTCTGCCCATGCACCGGCAGCTTCAGTAAGGGGCTTCGAGGGGCCTCTGGCAGGGCCTCTCCGGTGGGCTCGCGTAGAGGGCGTGGGTGCAGGGCGCCCTGGCGGGGGGTGAGCAGCGGTGTGGTGTGGTGGGAGCAGGGGGTCCGGGGGGCAGCCTGCACAGCGGCGTTCCTGGCGGTCGCCTTCCTAAGGGGCGTTTGTTGTTCTGACAGTGGTCTCCGTGGTCTTAAAGGTATAGGTGGTACACAAATAGGTGAGTTCGCAGAGACTTCTTACTCCCGTTCCACCAGTGTTTCACCCTCTTCGCAGGTGTGTTTCCATAACGTGAACACTGAACAATTACAACAATAACAAAAACTGAGTAAAATTCCTAAATTCCATTGGGATGTTTTATGACTAATGAAACCTTGGTCTTGACACCACATTTCTGGCTTCTCAGGGTTGTTTTATTTTTGACTGCAGTTTCAAGTTGACAAAAATATTTTAAACTTTAACAAGAGCTTAGAATTGGTCTTATTTGGCCGGGGGTCGGGGGGAGACCGCGTGGCTGGGCCCCCGGGCCTCACAGCCTGTGGCCCCCAGGGCCGGCTGCCTGTGCTGTGTGTGGGCTGCTCACGGAGCTGGAACGAGGCGGAAACCTGCAGCTTTCACGTTTTCCTTTATGGAATCACTGCATGTCAGTTATATGCTCCCCCCGCCCCCGGCTGCTACTCACGTTGCGCTTCTGGTGCTGTGGTGCCAATTTGTTCTCTTTGCCTTTTTGTCCTGGGCACCTGGAGCTCATGTTTCTTCGGTGCCGCAGGAGGGAGATCTGCTTCCCCCATCCTCTGCTGGGGAAGGTGGAACGCGTTGTTCCAGGCGCCCTCACATTTCTTGGGGGGCCCTCACACAACCAGGGCTGTGTGTGGTTTTCAGAGAGGCCCCCCTGGCCCCCCCGGACTGCGGTGGAAGCTGGGGTGTCTGTACGTGCCCTGCATTTCTACAGCACAGGAGGAATCAGTCCTGGGCCCGAGCGGGTGGGGGCTGGCAGTCACGTGCGGAGGGCACCGCAAGTGGCCATGCGCCTTTGTGTGTTTCAGTTCAATACTTGCTGTTTTAAAAAAATCCAGATTTTTATTGTTTTTAACCTGTGCACAAAGCAGTGATGTTGAGTGAATTTGAGACGCATCTGTTGCTGTGGATCCACAACTCAGCCCAACTGAGAGAGATTCACTGTACTGGTTATCATAAAAGGCACTGCCATAATCAGTCAAGTGCAGCAGACGGCAAAAACAAAACTCGCTGCCTCGGCAGGGCCGAGACCTGACGTCTGCTCAGGAAGCCTGTGTCGGAGCACAGCCGCCCGCCCGGCCCCCCTGGTCTCCCCCGTGCGCGGGCTTGTCGAGGGCTCGGTTTCACGGGGCCCAGCAGGCAAACCTCACGCGTGTGTGCCTTGTAGGAAAGAACTGGCGGAGGCACGCGAGACCAACAAGCCGTGCGGGAAGTGTTACTTCTACCTTCTGATTAGCAAGACGTTCATGGAAGCAGGAAAAAACAATTCCAAAAAGAAACAGAGCAGCCACAAGAAAGATGAGCTAATGTTTGCGAACGCAGAGGAGGAATTTTTCTATGAGGTAAGACTCCCTTGTTCCATCTGTTTGTTTACATGTATACCATCATTTCTTGACAATAATAAATCATGACTTACTGCTCTCCCATTTCGTGTCAGAGTGGTTTGCATGGGGCCGCTGTTTTTCTCCCTATCCCCAGCTGCTAGCAGCGGACACACGCCTGGCAGTACCGGGCCCCCGCCCCTGCTGCTGGTGGCATCAGGGAGGAGCGGGTCGCCAACGGTGATCTGCGCTGATCACCTGCAGGGAGAGCCGCAGGTCGCAGACCGCTCGGGGGGCGGACCGAGCCTGGGTTTACCGAGCTGGGGGGAGAAGAGGGCCCTTACCTGAGGGCACACCGACAATGGGGCGGAAGCCGCGGTGGACCTGAGCCCCGCCTTTCCCTCCCAGCCCCCCATTCTGGCTCCCATGCCACTCTGCCCATCGTCCCGGATGTCATCCGCACAGTGGGCTTTCGAGCGCTTTCTTCTGCCAGGGTAGCTTGTGCTGTGATGGGCAGCACACGATCAGGAATGAGTGATTTCAGAATTACAAACTGTCGGTGGGTGGTGGTCACCTACCGGCTTGCTCACCTTGAGGTGAGCTGGGACATTTCCGTCCGTGCCCCTCAGGGAGGCAGTTAACGTCTGCCGGTGGGCGTTCAAACTCTGCCCGATGGTCCCTTTGAGCTTGTTTTGTTCTGCAGCTGCTTCCTTTAGCTGCCGTTCTTAGGTAAACATACGTCAAACGTAGCATTTTGTGTTGTCGATGGAGTTTTGCTTTTAGGCTGTCTGAAGTGTCCCCTTAACGGTTCTTTATGTGACTTAGAAGGCAACCCTGAAGTTCAGCTACTCCGTGCAGGAGGAGAGCGATACACGCCTGGGCGGCAGGTGGGCCTTCGACGACGTTCCGATGAGGCCCTTGCGCACTGTGATGCTGATTCCGTGTGACAAGATGAACGAAATCATGGATAAACTGAAAGAACACCTCGCCATTTAGCCCCGCCCCGTGGACAGTGGTGTGCTGGTCTGTGCAAATTACCAGGAAACCCAGTGGAGCTTTACTGAAAAACTCAAGACTTTATTTAGATTTAGGTCCTCTACAAAAAGTAGGGTTCTGCTGCCCGTGTCTATGACACATTTACAAAATAGTTTTTAAAAAAGTTTTGGTCAAATTATGAATGTTTGATTAAAAACTTTCCCAATAAGGAAAAACATGGAGTAGTAATTTAAAGAACTCAATAAAAACTTCTGTTTTTTATTTCAAAATAACATACAGAGTATGACTTTGTCAGGCGCCTCCCGTGTGCGGCGTGGCGTCCTCTCGCCCCGCACGCCGCACCGCGGGCGCGCCCTGCTCCGTGGACGGCCAGCGCGTCACTGCACCGCGCACCTTTGCTCCGTAGTTCCGGGGGCCTTCTCACCCAGCCGCCGCTCCTCCTTTGTGGTGGGGGTGGCTGACAGGCGGCCCATCGCCTGCTGTAGAATGTCCTTGCTCTCACTGGGAGGCAGGTTGCTGAAATAGTACTGCGGTGCCAGCTGCACAAATCTGTTCAAAACAAAGATCGTGTTTTTGGTGCGAGACACCAGACACGTCTGGGCACTTCCCAGCCCTGGGGCCTCTGCCCGTGAAACTGGTACTTAGCCTGGCCTCCTCAGCGACTTCGTCTGCCTTTGTAGAACAGCACTTTCTCTGGTTTTTATGGGGCGACCTGATCGTTCTGGGGTACGCTGGCCTCTTGAGGCAGGCCCCGCCCTGCGCCCCGCGGAATCTCGTGCTTCCCCTCCGACCCAGCCCCGTGGATGAGGACGCGGTCAGACAGGAGGGGGAACCTCAGGGGAGTAAGAGGGAGGGTCTTGGCCTCTCTCTCTTTCTAACACACCCCAGTCTGCACCCAGCTGCCCCGCCGGGTGCCTACTGGTTTCTGTTGGCTCCTGCCTAGGCCGCCCCCGCACCCGAGCAGCGAGGCACCTCCGCAAGGGAGCCCGCGCCCGCGGGGCTGCCCAGCACGGTTGGCGCTCATCGCCGCCGTCCCCGCCCACTCGCTGAGCATCCAGAGGGAGTGCGGAAGGGTCTGAAGGAGACATCACCCTCCTTACAACTCCTCTGGTGCTTTGTGCCCTCCTTGGCAGGAACTCCCCTGCCGCTGGGAGCCCCGCGGCTCTGGGACCCGCCTGCCTTCCGCCTTGCCCCGGCCCGCCCCGGCTCCGGCCTCAGTGGCTCCCACGTGGAGAGCGGGCCGGCCCCCACCCCCAGCGCCTCCCTCCCCGCCGCAGTCCCAGAGGCAGGCCCACTGCTCAGGGAAGTCCCCTAAGCCGCCGTGGAGGCCTGCCTGTAGGCTGCTACCAGGATATACTTCTCGTAACAGAAAATAATAATAACCAAATTGCTGCTTTACTCCCTAATTAGGAACACAACAGAAACCCTCTGTCCTCTGGGACAAAACATACAGCTCAGGAGAGGTCTCTGAGGTGATGCTGATGTAGTTGTTCTCCGAGATGCTGAACCTGTGGAAGAGGACCCACTCCGGCGTCCTCCGGGCGATGGAGTAGCTGGACCGGGGGTGCAGCTGGGCCACCTGCTTGTGCGTCAGCATCAGGTAGTTCCCTGACCCGTCGACATCCCGGGCAATCTGAGAGCACAGGGGTCAAGAACCAAGGCTTTGCGTTACCATGGAGATTGATACACGGGGATGTTTCGTTTAAACAAATCCCGGAATACTGGCACAGAACGGTCAGAACCACAGGTTCGCCACCGTCGCTCCCGCTTCCAGGCAGCAGAAATACGGCGGACGTGTTCTACCCAGAGCTCTGCGGCAGCAGGACGATGAGCGACTCGGGCGAGTCCGGCGGCTACGGTGGGTCGCGTGGGTCAGGGAGCGGAGCCCCCGAGGACCACACACTCCGGCGCTGCGCGCTTCCCTCCAGCGCTTCAGCCCATTCACTCCTGGGGAAGGCCTGTCACGTCAGTGCCTCGCTTTCCCGGACGGAGGAGGAAACCCACGTGAAAACGGCACGTTCTCCATGAGGGTGGCTGTGGAGGTTGCAGGGGACTCCCAGGACCCCTCGCCCTGGGGCCGGCGGGCCTTCCCCCGGCAGAGGCCTGATGACACAGGCCCCGCCTCTGTCGGGCATGAAACCGCTGGCGGCCTGTGAGCTGGTCGCAGGCGGGGGGACGGGCTCTAGCCGATGTTCAGCCAAAGAGAACATGCTGCCAGCTTTCCCTGCGTAATGAAAGGGGACCTTTTGTCCTGTTGGACAAAGTCAACATGCTCTGGCTTAGCCCTTTATTCCCTGGGGGGACGCCTATGAAATACCATGGCTTTAACAGTGTGAGGGTCTTTTGTCTTGAAGTTAAAGCATCAGTGAGGGAACCACCCTGCGCGCGCCCCCGGCACTGGACCCGACGGCTGCCCAGGACGCTGCGGGCGGCAGGCCTGCCCGCGCTCACCTGCATGAAGTGGCCGGACAGGAGGGCCTTCTTCAGGTTCAGGGTGTTCTCCCGGGAGCCGAAAGCGGGTTCCGCGTAGGGGAGCTCGATCCGCTTGATGATCTCTACGAGCTCCGCTCGGATGGCGTCCGCCGTCCTGAGCGCGGCGCAGTCGAGGAAGTAATCCTGACACCACCTCTCCACACAGTCTGGGAGGGCGCGGACAAGAGAAGGCGCTGTTGGCATCGGAAGGGCCCGGGCGGGGCAGGTGCTCCCTCACTCTCTCCTCCATCCTCTCCCGTCCTGAGGAGGAGGTTGCAAGGACAGGACCTCGGGGCCGCGACGGGGGCCGCCTGGGCGCTGCCAGGGAGGAGCCTGCGCTGGCTAGGGTCCCACGGGGTCCCGCGGGGTTCTACGATCCCACGCACTGTGGGAACGGTGTGTTCCCACCATTACCCTAGTCGGGCTCCGAGGGAAGAGAAGAGCGTCTCAGGGCCTGCGCTTTATCTCCTGTGTGCACAGCAAGGACATGTGGGGCCACTTTTAGTCAAACTAGGACGGGAAGAGCTTTGAAAAGCGCACTCCCGGTTCCCTACGGTTCGGCCGCCATTCGAACCGCTGGCATAGTTTTCACTGCACATATTTGTCACACCACCTCTTGGAGCAAAGCGGGTAAAAGGCAAGGTGAGCCCTGCCAGCTGCCTTTGGAGGCCTCGGCCTCTGCCACCCCACTTGGCCCTCCCTCTCTGTCCCTGGAGGTCCCTCCTGTTCCGAAGCCCAGCACAGGAGCTGCACGTAGGAGTCTGCGGTTCCCTCATCACTGAGGACGTTCAGACACCCCGAACGGCTGCCTCTCCAGCTTCTGCAGACACCGCTCTCCTCCGGACCCTGTGCCCGTCCCGCCCTCCGCCAAGCCCTGGCCAGGTGCTGCCCCCCAGCTGCCCTCTGCACAGCAGCCTGCTCCTGGCCACTGCCCGGAGCGGGGCGGGGGGTTCGGGTTGCTTAGGCACGCCCTGCACTCTCCGTCCACGCCGGTGGGGGGTGCGCCCATTACGGGAGGCCCGAAGCAGTGCTCCGACCCAGTGGGCACCGAGAGATGGCGGTCCCTTGGCTGCTCCCAGACCCGAGAGGGCCGGGGTGCTAGTCTCTCCTGAGAAGGGTCCCAAGCTGGAGGCCGGGGTTCCAAGCCCAGGCCCCCGCAGCCCCGCAGCCCGCCAGAGCTCTGGGCCCAGGACGGAGTGTCTGCTGCTCAGCGGACACCCATGGGTGCATTTAGGGCCTCGAGCGCCATTCCCCTGAAGTACCTGATGCGGCTAGAGAGACAGGGTGTTCGATGAGCAGCCACTTAGCTTATTTCGGGAAGGAAAGGTGGACTTCATAGGTGATTTCTGAGAATCCCATGCATTCACTTACGCTCGCTGGCGGAATTCAGAGTTGTGTCCTGGTAGGCCTTGTAAATGTTGATGAGGGTGAAGTGGTCGCCTTCAGGATGTAAAAATGTCTTCCAGCAGGTCAAGGCAGCCTCCTCCGCTCCACGTGGCAGGTGCAAAAAGCAACTGGGAGCTTCAAGGTGCAAAAGGTGACAAGGTCAGCAGCAGTGGAGACATTGCACGTCAACGCAGTGCTCGGGGGCTGGTAGACAGTGGTCTGTCTCACCACCGTGGATAACCATGTTATCCTTATTTACTTAGAGATCAGAAGGGATTTAAGGGGAGTTGTCCTAATTCTTGGTTCTGTTTGCTTTTCTCACGTCTGCCTGTAATGCTGGCTTACGTCACAGTGGGAGTGGGGACGGGGTGCTCTGAGGCCTGAGGCAGGGACAGGATGGGAGCACAAGTCCACGTGCAGCACGGCCTTTGTCAGAGCGTAAAGTAAACCGCGCAGACCCGGAGGAACAAAGGGGCAGGAAGTGAAACCAGGTAAACAAGTCATCGGCGGGGGTGAGGCACACTCAGCAGCACATTTTTTTCAGATTTTCCTTGGTCTGCGCCGACTCCTTCGGCAAACACGAACCCGGCGTGCTCCCAGAGGTCGGGTCCGGGAACGCACTAGGCGCACGTCAGAGCCTTCCAGACCAACGCGACTGCTATAATTATCTACCTTTTTCACCTGTTCAAATACTACCCCTTCACACGGATCCCGTGCGACCCCAGCCGGTACGGGCTCGCCGCAGGCAGACGCAGCCGGGGGTGGGGGCGGGGGCGGGGGCGGGGGGCCGCGCACCTGTGACCATGGCAGCGACGGTGAGCATCTCGTCCACACAGTCGAACTCGCAGGCCGCCAGGATGGACTTGGAGAGCTGGGGGTCGAGAGGGAACTCGGACATGATGATCCCAAACTCAGACAGGTTCCCGTCGTTGTCCAGCGCTGCCAGGTAGTCTAAGTCTTCCAAAGCCTGCATCAAACTTTCCGGAGCTGGGAAAGAAGAAAAAAATCAGGAAGCCTTCTACAACCGAGAAGGAGTAAGAGGTACTGAATTTTCCCTCCCCTGAGAAACAAAGTATCTGAATCAACAGTTCAAGACGAGAAGAACGTCAGGCCATAAAGGAGGTGGTGAAGGGCCGACTCCTGAGCGGGGACAGGAACGAGCCATGCGCTCGCCCTGCATGAACGTTTCGGGGCCGTGGTGCAGGGCGGGGGCCTGAGTTACATGCCGGCGCTGCGGGTCTGGGAGGCCCCATGGCCCGAACTTGCAGGCCAGCTGTACGGGGGGACTGGGAGATCCACGCGAGTCCCCCCACCAGTCAGCAGAACACACAGGGCCCCCCGAGGAGCAGAGGGCCAGTGCCCGCTGCTCACAGGACTCAAGACACGGCCAGCCTCGACCCGCCAGACGGCACGAGCTCACGATCCCCGGGGCCCCGGGCAGGGGACAGGAGCAGGGGACCTCCAGATGCACACTGCCAGTGCCACCTGACAAATCCTAAAGTCAGGACCTGAAACGGTCACCTCATCCCAGGATGAGCTCAGGAACATTTACAGGAATCAAAATGTCCGACACCCGACACAGTAAATGCACAAGGTCTAGCATCCAATAAAAGATGATGATGCATGAAAGGCAGGAAAATAAAGATAACTCGTCGAAACTGACCCAGCGCTCACGATGACAGAGGTAGCAGACAAGGACATTGAAGAGAGTTATTCACTGGCAAACGAGGACAGAAGACTGATTTTCTTCATCCCTTTGTTTCTCTTTTAAGCGTATATAATATTGATACTGGTGTGGTGTGTATTATATATGCTTAATCTCCACCAAAGAAAATCCATTTATTCTCTTTTAAGTTTACATAATTTTGGTAATGGTGTGGTATTATTTCCACCAAAACAATCCATTTATTCAAGGAAAGATACAGTGGTACCTTGGTACTTGTAAATTCGTTCCGGAACTCAAGACGAGAGCCGGAGCCGCCGAGCCCCGAGCAAGCAACAAGCGGCGAAGCGTTTTCTCTGGCGAGGTGGCGTGGTGGCTCCCACAAGCTCTAGCAAGTGCATGCAATGGGTCCCCAGCAAGTGTCGTGTGTTGCAACACTTTTTTCTCCTCAGAATGAGTACAGGGTTTGGCACGTCCCAAAGCCAACGTGTACCGAGGTACGACTGTGTTTTCCTTGTCCTTGCAGCACCAGGTTATAATAAATAAAGACGTGTTTTTCGCCTGTCTGCTTCGTGGTAGAGCAACAAAGGCCACACCGAGAAGAGAACCACATCGTACAAGGCTGCTGTGTTATTCTACCCGGGGAACTGGGGGATTCCGTGAGCGCCCCAGGATGGTTTTCACCGGTCTCAGCTCCAGCGTGTCCCAGTGGGAGAGGATGACTCTGAGGGACCGCCTCTTTGCATCTGAGAGATCCAAGTCACAGACGGTAAAAGCTGACTTATTTGCTGTCTGAACTTTGACCCTGAGCTATTTGTTAAGACTTCAGGCGAACAGTGTCACTCGAAAGCCAGTCACCAGCTCAGATTTAGTCAAGTCCTGTTCCTACCGGGACACGATCAGAGCTCCTGGGAGAGCCCTGCCGCGGGCCGGGAGGGCTCTGACGCCCCGGTGCGTCCCGTCGCGGCTGCAGCCCCGTCGCACGGCTGCCAGCCAGAGACCAGCCCCCGGGCAGGGCCAGGGCCGCGGGGCCACGGGAGCCAGCCCACAGCGAGCCTGCGGGCACCTGGACGGCGGCGGGGGCCCGGCTCAGAGGCCCCTCCCTGCTGTGTGGTTTCTCTCACTGAGACCCAGGCCTGAGCCGAGCCCTGGGTCCGAGCCCGGGGTCCCGTCCGGCTGCTGGCGCGGGGCCCAGAGGACTCCATGTTTGGGCGGTGGCCCTGGGGCCAAACTGAGGCCTTGGGAAGTCCCTGTCCCAGGAAGGAGACAGATGGGCTATTTGGAAACGGAAGTCCGAATGCTCCGTGGGTGAGCCATGAAATGAAGAGGACAACTGCCCTGCTGCAGGAGGGACAAGTGGCAGCGACCAAAACTGTCCCCTTCAGTGAGATGGCAGAGGGGCTTGGGAGCACAAACAAGACTCCTGGAAGCTGTTCAGAGACTGGGTCCCAGAGATCAGCAGAGCTGCCGGCTGCCTTGTGAGCCACAGGACCTTTGGCAGGTGTCTCAGCATCTGCCTTGACAGCCAACCTGCCCCCAACCTGCTCATATTTATGCTCTGGAGCTGAGTTGGCTGCACAGGGGTCGCTGACAGAAGCAATGCCACGGTTCCGCCCACGGTGCCAACGCCGGAGACAGAGGGTGCCCTGGGGCCTCGGCCTGCACCCCCGAGCTCAGGTGGGAGCGCCGCAGGCGACCGTGGCCTCGGCACTTACTGTTTGTCAGTTCCCTTCCAAGGGGCCTACGTGTACTAACTAGTTCATCGCGACTCTACGCACACATCACCTTGATTCGCTCGTGTGCAGACGGAAACGTGGGGTGGAGGCTCCCAGAGGGCAACGTACCGGCTCAGGAGCGAGGCGGGAGGCTCAGAGCCCGGACCGCGCTCGGGGGCCCGTGCTTCCTGGTGGGGCCCCCGATACGGGGCCTCTGCCCTGGTTGGCAGGGACGGCCCCATCCGGCCTCTGCCCCCAGCAGGCTTTTGAGCGGCTCCCCCTCTCACCCTCAAGCGTCCCGGCCCAGACAGTAAGTCGCACGGTCGCTGGACCTGCAGGGAGACTCCATTCTGTGCCTTCTAAAATCTCCCCAGATTTTGTTTCATACTCTGGAAAATTACTTACTTTTTTACTTCTAAGAGCCTCACACTGGCTCGGGTTGTTTTTGGCATATTTGTGCCTCTTTTTCACACTCCTCCCCGCCACCCAATTATAGCAATGAACTTGTGTGGCCTTTTGACAGGTAACAGCATAACCTGCATTAATGAGAAGCCGGGACCAGAGCCCCCTGCCGGTGTGCTGAGGACACCTGTGGACCCCTTGGGGCTGTGTGGCGCGGGGGGGGGGCAGCCTCACAACCCTGCGGCCCGGCCGCACACGTGGTCCACTTCCCTCCACTCTCTTGTGAACGCTAAAGGAACCCCGGTGATTCATAAAGAAGTGGGCGCAGTCCTCCAGTGAACTCACAGGCCAGGCCATCAGTGCGCTAAACAGGGTTCCAGAGCCCCCGGACCCACGGGTCCGTGGACGCTCTGGTCCACACCTGCACCGCCAGCGCGGTCCAGCGACTGCGGGGTGAGCGCCTCTCGGCCAGCACCGACACCAGCCTCCGCGGCCCGACCGCCGCCTGTCCTCGCGCGCTTTCCCGTGTTCTGGGGGCCTCTGTCCTGTCCACGTGCCCTGTCTGGCTCGTGTGTTTGGGTTCAGTTTTCACAGACTATTCCAAAGCCAGTGGTCTAGTCACCGCCGAAGTGAGTCCCAAGTCCAGGCACAAGGACGGCATCTGGTGCAGTCTTGTCATTTCAGCTTGTCCGTCTCCGGACTTCTGTCCAGGCACCACTGCCCGGGGGGAGACCTCCGGGACCCTAGCCACAGGGGCTCTGCCACTCGCGGTGGAGGGCAACCCTCAGCACCAGGAAGGAAAAAAGTAACTGATTTTTTAAAACGGAGGTCTGTATCAAGAAAATTCAATGAATAGCCTGCAACCGAGTTGTGCCAAACTCACTCCCTCGTGGTTCGAGGGCCCTGAAAGGGCGCAGGTTTGCTGGCCTGCGCGTCTCCTCGCCCGCTTAGTCGTGTGTGGCAGCTGCCACCACCCTCCGCTTCTTCCGTTCCGAAGCAGCGAGTCAGAGCTCACCCCCAGCGAGGCTTCCCCCGAGCACAGCACAAAGCGGGCCCGTGCGCGCTGCTGGCAGGCAGAAGCCGCTCCCCTGCCCTTCTGTCCCCCGGGGGCCAGCTCTGAGCCCCACAGAGGGCCACCACGGAGGGGACAGGCATTCCGCATCGTGACGGTGTGCTGCTCTCCCAGGTCTCGGAACGACAGCCCTGCCTCTCTTCTCCCTTCATGATCGAACGTCTGCGCCATCCCAGACGAGATGCCTGGGGAATCAACCTGGTTCCGGAGGAGACGGTGTCTCGTGGGTTCTCCCCAGGTGACCGGTGACTCAGGAGGAAGGCCATTCACCCACAGGGGACCCCGCCACGGATCCACCTTCACCCTCCGCTTGTTCCAGCCTCTGCCTCCACACCCGCTGTCTCTCCTGACTTCTAAGGCCCAGCCTTCCCACACTCCAGTGTCCCATGGCAGACAATGTCCCAGAGTCACCACGAACATTCCCTCGGGTTTTAAAATTAGAGGGCGTTTACCCCTTAGGTAAAATGCTCAGCACGAACCCAACCCCAGGCCTGCCCGCGCTGCCGAGTGCAGAGCTGGGTCTCCGCCGCGCGCCCGCCAGCGCGCGGGCCCGCCTACCTGGCCTGTTCATGAAGTCACAGTGGCCGAGGCCTGCAATGTCAACCCTCTTCATAAACAGCACCATGCTCGTCAGGCTGGCTTCCTGCATTTCTGCCGGCTTCAGTGGCTGCATGTCTTTGGAGGCAAATTCTTCAGAGTACAGACAGAAGAGTTTTCCTGGAAGGGATCAAGGGAAATGGCCTGAGCATCCGTGCTCTGCGAACAGGAACGGACAGCGCCAGCAGGGGCCCGCAGCGCTACCTGAAGACGACGGGCCGAGAATCCGCTTGCGGGTCTCCGCTTGGCTCTGGCTGATGGGCTGCGTGACCCGTGAGCTGGCCCGGATCCGAGGGCTGTACACCTTGAAGCGGAAAGACGGCACCTTTAGTGTCCGGCGGCCGCGGTGCGGCCAGCTCGCAGCCCCGACGTGCCTGCGCCCCGGGCAGCAGCTGCCCTTGTGGACGCTCTGGCAGGGCCAGCCCTTGAGGGGTATTCACTGCGGCTGCGCTCGGCTCTGGGTGGGAACCCCAAGGCCTGGAAAATGGGCTCATAGGGCGTCTGCTTTCCTTGCAGCCTCAGCAAACACGCAACCTTGGCCATCTGCTGAAATACCAGCGTTGTCACTTCTCCAGTGTGACACTGGTGAGTGACAAGGGCCACGTGGACTGAAGGACTGTCACCTGGCCATGCTTTGTCTCCTCAAGGTTCTATGCAAACCGGCCGTGAACTTGGTGGCCTCGCTTTCCCAACGCGCACGGCCTTCCCCGCCATGTCGGCTCACGCGAGAACTGCGTGTGGCGCTCAGTGCTTTCCCGGGGCGGCTGAGGAGCGGGTGAAACCTGCGGGTTCTCCGGGCGGGGGCGCGTTCAACAGGCGCACCTGGCTGCTCCGGGGGCCCCCCGGCAGCCAGGGCCGCCCCGGGCTGGTGAGGCGGGGTGTTTGGGAGACCCGGAGCTTCCCGGGAGGGGAAAGCCACACAACGTCTAATAACGGCAGGGGGCGCGGGACTTGGGTGGGCTCTTTTCAGCCCATAAATGCCATGACTTAAGTCCCCGTGTCTCGGAGAGTGGGAGGCCCTATTCTATTTTTCCCGATGTTTTTCTTTAAAGACAGCTATAAAAAATAGTACTATATTCTTTAAAAATTTAGGGTGGAATTTTACCCTGTCAGCTATAAAGCCAAAATCTGCTAAAATTAAAGTCAGTGCAGTAAAAACTAATTTCCATTCAATTACCTGAGGGAAGATGGTAATTACTTTGATAGAGGGGCTACCAAAAATACCGAGTGGTACACAACTATCCAGGAGCCACCTTGCTTTGCTAAAGAAGAGCCGCTGGCGAGAGGAGCCTTGGTCTCTGCCTCCATCGCCGTCTTTCCTCGAGCCCCTCCCCGGCATCCGAGCCTCTCCAGCGTGTGCTGGACTCTCCTCTGCACACTGTGGGCACCGGGGCTCCCCACGGCCGGTGGTCCATCCTCACTCTCCGGTCAAGGAAATGGTAGGGACCCAAGAAACCGACTCTCGGCAGTAATCAGGCTGTAATCTCAGCAGGCTGTTCCACCTGCTCGGAGACATTTACCTTCCGTCTCTCCACGCCCACGTCGATCACAAACTTCACGGTGTCGCCCCAGATCAGAGCCTCCCCAGGGCTGGCCGTCAGCACCGCCCTCCTCTGGCGGACTGGGCCTCTCTTCTCGGGTTCATCCTGTGGCTTGAACAGCGCACATTTCTCTTTTGGATACAAAGGAATCACCACCAGCTCACCAAGGTCTGGGTTTAAGTTAGATCCTTCTTGACAGATAATTTCATAGGCTTTGTCAATATCCTAAAGTAAAACAAACAAACAAAAAAACCCACCAGCCATGAGAATATAGTACATTAAAAACAACTTTACCATTTTTAAAAGTCCAATTCAGGTAAAACTGTAGGCAAGAGCGGCGCAGCGCGTACAGGGAGCGAACGCCCGTGCTGTGGTCGGTGCGTGTCATTAACTGTGCGGGGAAGGTGTGGCCAGATCGGAACACTGCTTTGGGGAAGGAAACTTAAATTTCATTGCTTTTAGTCCAAGATTGTTTTCCTCTGAAATATACTAACTACTCTGCCTTTACACACTCCTCTGACTTTCCTGGCTGGAGTTCCTCATACCCATTAACGACAGGTAAACGCAGGTGACTCTCACACCAGGGCAGGTGGAGACTGTGCCGTCTCTGGCAGCAGCAAGGGACTACAAGCCACTCCCGAGATTCCCAAGCCCTGTGTACACACAGCCACGCCCCACGGTCAGTCAGGGCTGCTGCCCACGGGCACGTCAAGGCAGCGGGGACGCAAGACGCAGGCCGGGAGGGCCTGCCCCGTGCGTCTCTGTGGGACTCGGGCTTTTAGAAATACCCCTTTGAGTGTTTCACTGCCAAATAAATCAGAAAAAAGTAAATTATTTGTCTGAAAGCTATGCATAAGACATCGTGCAAAAAGCTCAAAAGGCAAGGCATTTACAGTGTTTTCCTATTTCTCCAATCACTAGGTTTTTAGGACCTCATATAAAAAAGATGTCGTTTAATATAATTCTTACATCTTCTTAATTTGTTCCCAAATGTCTACCTTCTTAAGGGCCAAGCTAACTAGCAACATGGAAGGAGCCCCATTTCATTAGACTCATTAGATTTTACTAGAAAGCTCAGTGAGAAAGATGACTTTGTGACTGAGTCGCTGAGATGGATTCCACTCTGCAGCGCTGCGCTTGGCGGAACGGATCAGACTAACCAGGGGCTGGTAGGGAGGCAGGCCTCTAGGCAAACGGCCAGGCGCCCAGGGGCCGGAGGCCTGGGCGGCCCGGGGCCAGGCGAGCAGGCACCCGGGCCGCGCATGGCGCGGGTCTGCATGAGGCAACTCACTTGGGGCAGATTCCCCAAGGAAAGAGAGTGACTGTTCATCGTAATGAATGAAAACTTGTCAAATGGAATAATCAGAACAAATCCATGTTTCCGTTTTTGTAGTCTGATCACGTCATCATTTTCTGTGAGGGCCATCTAGAAACCACAAGGAAGAGAACAGCGCTCGGGCTGTGTGTCCCTGCAGCCGGCTGCTGCGCGGCCTTCCGGGACACGCACGGCTGCCTCCCTGGGGCTACCCCATCCACAGAGGTGGCCTGGAGTCCGAAAGGAGGTTTGATTCCAGCACCCAAGCCAGGCAACGTCCGACCTCACTAAGCCTTCGCAGCGTGCTGAAGTGGGTCTCCTGGTCTGTTAGAACCTGTTTAAAAAGGCATTTGGGCCACTTGTTTTTTACTTGCTTCTGGTTGCTAAAACTTTATAGCTGTAGGTGGGTTCTAATGTTGAAGTTGTTCCAAATGGGAAAAAAAGGATGAAAGAACATGTCAAAAAGAAAAAAGCAAAGCAAAAACAGCAGCAGACGTCGTACGCAGGTCAGACTCCTCGAGCTCAACGGGTACACAGTGCTTTGAGGTCAGAGCCTTCAATTTGAAAAACATGCTTGAAACACGCATCGTGAGCCTCAAATTGCTTGCCTCTTCACCGCAGCCCTCGCCTTCAGTGTGCAGTGTGTTCCCACTGGCGGGACTGTCCTCCGACGACCTGCCACGCTGCGGAGGACACAGCAGCGAGCTGCAGGGAGCCGCCGCCCCCCGTGCGAGGCCACAGCGAGACAGGCTTCCCCAGGAGAGGCTCGGCAGCCCCCTGCCTGGGGTAGCTTCGAGCCGCACGACAGTCTGAACAGGTATCACCATGAATCTCAACTTCCACTTTCTATTTAGTGTTTCCAGTTTTCCAGGTTAGAAGACAGTTAAGGGATAAGGAACAACATACTCTCAATGTCCGGGCCTCTAAGTCTCAACTGAGCACCAAGACACAGGGCAGCAGGTGACCCTTTGGGAGTGTTGGGGGGGTCGCTTTACAGCAGGGGAGCTCAGCAAACAGACTAATGCTTAGTGAACCAAAATGTTTGCAAATACTGCTGCAATTTAAGATGCGTTTCTTAGAAAGGGCAATCAGTACATTTCTCTTAGACTGCTTGGGTTTGTTTTCGTGTGGCAATTGATTGCTATGACAGATTTTAAAATTTTATATAGAAATCAAGAAACCGTCAAACAGTCTGGGGAAAAATGACCAAGAGCTGTCAACGTGGATTTCAGAGCAAGAGAATTTTTTCAAGAGACAGATTCCAAGACCACAGGAGAGGAGTCTCTTAACGGTGCTCTTGACGTGAATGGGGGGAAAGACAAACCTGCCAGGGTCCTGAGCTGCGTTCAGCTTGTTCGGCGGTAGCTGCAGAAGAGAAAGCCGGGTAACAGCTGTGGCACTGGGGGCTGGGCCGTGGGGACAGAACTGGTTTCCACAGAAGGTAAGCTGCAAGCCGGGCGGGGGGTCCCCGTAAGCCCCGGGCAGGGAGGACCCTCCCTCAGGACAGGTCCGTCCGCCGAGCGCCTGCCCACCCGGGGCGGCCTCCGCCTCCGAGGCCAGAACCACAAAATCTGCCCAGAGCCTTCGTCCAGGTCTCTTGCGAGATCTGGAGACCCTGCAAGACTGATGATTTCTTAATAGGAGATGCCTTTCTCATATGACGTTAAGATTCTCTAACTTTCTAAGCCCTGGGATTTGATCATTTCTATCACCAGCCTAGGTAAAAAGGCATCTGCTAAAGTTTGACATTTGAAAGTCACGATGCCATTAATTACAGCTCATATTAAACTTAGAATCAAATGCTCCAAGACCATCCACTACCTCTGATCCTGTTGTAGAACTTAATTTTTCAAAAATCCAATTTGGAATTTTTCCTTTCTCTGACTTGAAAAATGACAACTCATCTGTCTTAGTTATAACCCCCGCCCTCTGAGCTCCGCGCCTTCTTTACCCCCTGCCTCCGGCTGTCCAGCGTTCGGCCTCTCGCTGCGCCCTCCTCCCTCCCTCAGGCTTCTCTGCTGCACTGACACCTTCTCACTGTTTCCATAATCCTTCCCTGTCTCCCTCGTCATTTTATGACTTTCCTTAGGGCTTCCTGCAATACCTTGAATCATGCAAGATTAGGGCATGAAAACAGAATAAACCCTGTAGTAGGCAGAGGATTTACTACTCAGGAAACTGTGTAATCTGTACATGAGACCTTGATGGATATGCTGTAGTTACCATATATTTGACATTCTAAACGCCTGTCTGTGGAGGCAGATAAAACCTAAGTTGTGAGAAAACCGTCGACGTTCCTAGGCCTGGGAGGGGCAGCCGCCCTCGACGCTCTGCATGTGTGACGGAACAGGAGCTTCTGCCAGCGCTGCTGGGAGCAGGCGGCCGCTCAGGGCGAGGCTGGCAGGGAGCTGGGCACCGCTTGTCTTTGTCCGGCTGGCGGCTCCGCCGGTATCGGACGGCGTCCCTTTGGGCTCTGGCTTGGTCACAGGAGTCCCTCTGCGTCCGGGCCACGGCCTACGGACTAGGACTCCGCTCTCTGAGACGGCAGGCAGGCAGAGGCGGTCAGGAAACTGGCCTCTAGGACAAAAGGCCTGATTCTGGAGGTTCCGGAGGCTTCTGACACAGAAGAGTAGACCGAGAAGGTGGGCAGGGGAGCTGCAGTACAAAGCGGCGCCCCAACAGGCGCCCGACCGGGTGGGAGTGGAACGGAGGCTCGACGATGCGCTCCCTGCTGTTTTTTTGCAAACACATTTTCAAGAATCCAAGTTAAGATTTTTCTCCACCTTTTTTAAGAAAAGGAGCCCCGGTATGAGGAGACTGCCTCCTGGGTGGGCTAGAAATTACCCTTTTCTGCATAATATTCCCCTGACTCTCGTAGGGACATTTGTGGGATCCTTTCTTGTTTATCAACTCGGTGCCGCACGGGCAGGTCACATTCCTCACTCCACCAAACGCTCCTGACCGTGGTGGGGGCAGCTGCGGGCGCGGCAGGAGTCAGCCCGTGTCCTCAGGGCTGAGAGAGGCCCAGCAAGCAGGGCCGGCACCCGTGGTGCCCTTGGGGCAGCCCGGCCGGGCGGGACTGGGCGGAGGGCGCGAGCTCCGGGCGTCCACAGACTGTGCCTCGCCCGTTCTGTTTCCAGGGCAGCAGCGTGTGATTTTAGAAACACTTCCTTTTCAGCTCCGGCGTATTTACCTGTCTGTGTTTCTTCCAAAGCACAAAAATTGAGGTGTGGTGGAAACAAATATTTACAGCGTATTAGCAAACTGAAACCTGTGTGTCAGTCATGAAAAGCGTCCCAACAAGGTTAAAAGGTTTCCGACAAGTAACCTTATTACTGCTAGGGTTAGAATATTACTTACTTACTTGTTCACAGGCCAGAAAGACTACAATGTCACCCTTCTCACCAGACTGGTGAATTTCAAAGATAAGGCGTAAAACAGACTCAAAAGACTCCTTCTGAGCCCCACTAAGGTACACAACCTCCACAGGGTGCTTATTTGTCACTTCTACGAGAGGCACGTTTCCATAATAAGAACTGAGTTTGCTGATCAGGAGAGGTGAGGAGTTAATTACGAGCTTCAGTTCTGGTCTTGCTAGTAAAACATCTTTAAGAAGTCCAAGTAACACATCGGTCGCGATGCTTCTTTCATGTAAATCGTCTAAGATGACGACCCCATAGCTACCCAGAAAGGGACTGGACATCATTTCTCTTTGCAACATATCATCAGTACAATACCTACAAAGAAGAAACGTTAAAGTTAGAATACTCTCGTGAGAAATCATACCAAAAACTCCTAAGGACAACAAAAGTGCCTTTGCCATGTCATTTTCTCTAAATCAGGAGCTCTAAATCTTCACTGCAGCCAGGGTCCCTTGAAGGTGACGCAATCTACGGACCTTCAACACTGCGAATACGCATAAGGAGATTTTCAAGTTTATATACAGTCACAGGCCCCTAAAGACCACCTCTGCACCCCGGGTTAAAGACCTCTGCCCTGGATGTTTATTACGGGTATTACCAAGAGCTACATTTAACAAATGCTCTGAGCTTTTGAAACAAAGTAGTGTCGCAAGATACCCTTGCCAGGTAAGCGCTGCCCCTCCCCCCCACCCGTCGGGGGGGCTTGGAGTCAAAGCAGACGCTGTCCAAGGAAGGCAGGCGAGAGTGGTGGTTCTGGCTCAGGCTCCGGGCCCCGCGAGCCCACGACGACTCTGTTGGTGACATTGTGGGAACTGATACCACCAACATGATAGTGGCACAAGTTTGAGATGTTGCCCAAATAATAACCAGACAAAAGCATTGAAAACATAACCCCCTATTTGAGGGCGGCACGCAACTGGGCCAGCGATGTTAATAAAATTGTCCAGAAGTCTTGCGATTTTATTTTTTTGTTATTATTCATTATTAAAAATATTGCTGTCTAGCACCACATGAACATCTGAGACTGTTTACATATTTCCCCGTATCATTCCTTGAAGAACCAACCCCGTAAGCCTCCCGCCCGTCTCAGGAGTTCACTTGTCCCTGTAGGCGGCAGGCCCGCTGCGGCGCTGGCCCCGGCTGGCATTTGGGAACTGGGATGGGGGATCCCCCCACGCCCAGGACTGACCGGGGACGGCTCCTGGTGCTTCCCCTCTGTACCGACAACGTGGTCTGCCCCACCTTGCTCAGGGCGCAGGGCCACTGGGACGCAGGAGGCAGCAGTGCCTGCCTGCGTGACCAGCCCCGGGCACCACCCCCGGGCCGGGGAGGGTCTCCCGTCAGTGTGCCGGTGGGACCGCACACGCAAGCTGTCCCAACTCACTGCTTGCTGGGGAATGAGCATGTCCGGCATCACCCTGCTGGGAGAGGCGCCTAGAAGCCCGCGCCTGGTTCCCGGGGATGGCAGTCATCACAGGCACGTTCCCTTCCCCTCTGCCGACCGCTCTGCGCCTTCAGTACAGTGACTCTGAGCTGGGAGGCCCCTGGCAGGTCATCGGATGGAAGGGGTGGGGAGTGGGGGCCAGGGCGGGGGTCCCGGTCAGTCCTCAATCAACCCCTTTCCCCAAGGGAAGAAAAGAGAGGACGTGAGCGTGGACCAAGCCCTGGAGTGCGCCAGGCCCTGGCTGGTGCGGTGTCCCTCCCTCAGCCATTGGAGCCCAGTTCCACGGCAGCCCAGTCCGCGCCGGTGGGGGCGGAGGCGGTGCTGCAGAAGGGCCAAGCCCAGTCCTGCCCTCACCCCGACCCACGTCCTCAGGCTCGGGGGAGAGCCCAGGCTGAAAGCCGCGTGTCTGCTCCGTCCGCGACGGAGAGGGCTCCCTCGGTCCCCACGGCCAGGTGACCGCGTCCGAGCTCTCCCGCGGGGCAGCCCAGGAGACCGAGGCATCGGCCTGCTGCCTCCCGCGTTCTGCTTGCTCTCCTCCTGCGCCGCGCGGCGCAGGCGTGGATGGGCTACGGCTCTCCTCCAGCTGAAGGAAGCACGCCTGGAACACTTTACAGCATTACACGTCGGGCAAGATGCGAACAGAGGCGGTGCATCCGAACCCGGGTGTTTCTGCTCATCTTCAGCTGATGTTAATTCGTGTGACATAATAAGTTACCACTGCCTCTTGTCGGAAAACCAATTGTTTTAACCTACAGGGCTTCCTCACTGCCCGACCCTGAGCCTCCGCTCCGCCCCAGCAGCGCTCACCCGGGCGCCGAGGAAGGCAGGCCCCTGCAGCCGGAGGTCTGCGCGCTGTGCGAGCCTGCTGGCTCGAGAGCGGGGCCAGGAGGCGCCCGTTAACCCTCAGCTGGACGGGGCAGGCGCGGCCTGGCTCTCCCCGGGGGCCACGCCGGGCGGGGGAAAGCCGGGGCTCAGCCCTCAAGCCTGCTGGCCGGCCGGCGCCCTGCGCGCCGCGGACCCACCCTCTCTGCGCACTGGCGCAGCCACGCGTGCGGTGCTTGAGGAAGTGCTGTTACTGAGAGCTATGTTAATAAAGTGGAGGCACTGCCCACGTTTCAGGCAACAAAATTTAAATTTTAAATTCCTAATGCTACAATTCTGAAAGGTAAGAATATAGAATATAGAGAAGTTTGATTAATACTTTCTAAAACTGTATATATTGAATGTGACTGTAAATAAACATTTGAGTAATTCTTTTAAAATCTGTGTTCTAGAGGGTCTGTATTTGAAGTTTATTGTCACTTCTGCAAGATATCTTGGTGTTTCGTTGAGAGAGACTATTTTACGTAAGTAACATTCAGGTGTCCACTGTTTCAGAAAAGACCAGAAGGAAGCTTAGAGCTAAGCTGTTGCACGTGGCAGCAAAGGAAGGTGGTGGCCACAAAGGACAGTCACCGACTGCCTAGGAGATTAGATACCAAGGGGTTACCAAGAAAACGAAAAAGACAGTATCACATACAGAACAAGGCCTTCTATAGTCAACAATCAACCTTAGAACTTCTCATTTATATAGCTATTCAATCTGAGCTTATGAAAAACGGGGCTAGCGCACATTTCCAGGAAAACGCATCTGGTTTTAATGTACCTTTGCTGTGATAAAAGCAGCTACACATGCACGTCGGTCACACCCATTAGCCTGCTCGGTCCGCACAGCAGCCCCGCGGGCAGGCACGAATCGCCCCAGTTCAGAGAGGGACGCCCAGGCGCAGAGAGGCCAGGTGGCTGGGCGCGCTGCCAGGGAGCAGGCGGCGGAGACCCCCTGTGCGGCACGCCGCCCCCTTCTCAGGGCACAAGACGCCGGAGGAGAGTCAGGGACCACTTCCTATCGCAGGGGGCTTCTCAGTCCATCGTCCTGGCTCCTTTGCTGCAGCCCAAACCCTGTTCGTAACAAAGCAGAGTATCTGCTGACCCTGCTCTGGCTGCACGGATGTCGGGGGGAAAAGAAAGGACAGTGTCCCAGCAACAAGAATAAGAGTAACATGAGCTAAAAAGGCACGGAGGAAGCCAGGCAGCCCGGCCAAGGCCGGAGGACGCAGACCTGCGGCAGCCGCGGCCCGCCTCCCACCCACCTGCCCAGCGCCCGGGTCCGCCCCACCGCACCTGGGCGCCTTTCCGGTCGCCGGACAGGACCTCGACACGCAGGGCAGGGCGACGCGGTGCCAGCAGGAACGGTGGCCCTCCCTTGGCTCAGGACCGGATGCTTGGCTGGGGGTGCGGCCGCCACGGCACCGTCCCGTGGGCGGGACATCCCAGCACACACAGGATGTCTAACGGCGTGCCTCTGCCCCACTGTGACGAAACCACGCAATTTCTCCAAAATTATCTATCTCTGTGGCTTCCTAAAAAGGTCATTTTATATATGTGTGTAATCAGTATTAATTAAGATAAAAACATTGTAACATTTCACTTCAGAAGTGACTATCCAAGGGTCCTTTCCAAACGTTTTCCGAAGTCTAGATGGCAACAGAGACAGCAAAATGCAACTACTAATTTCAGAACAGGCCAGAGCCATCCGTCCCTTATGAAAGCCATGACCACTCAGGAGGCCGCTTCCAGGCGCGGAGGGCGGAGAACTAGCCTGCGGAGCACAGGCCCCACCCGCGCGCTCCGCCCCCACCCGTCAGGGCCGCGCGTCCAGCTGGTTGGCGAGTCCTCAGAGGCAGGGAGGTGTGCACGCTGCATCTGCGCTGCTCACGGGCCACGTGCCTCACAACCAGTTCACAACTATATACGGGTCCGACGACAGGAGGGCGCCAGGGCTGCGGGGGCAGACGGCTGCGCGTCCGCGGGAAGCTCAGGCGCCGCGGGTCAGCACACCCGCTGCGGTGCCACACGGGCCTGACGCCCGGCGTCTTCTGTGTCTGAAGACAAGCGGTGGCAGGGAAGCAGCGCAGGACAAACCGCAGGAGTCCAGAACTGCGCTGGAGCCAGGAGCAGCGAGCTGGGACAGGGACGCTCCTTCCAGCCACCGTCACTGCTGTGGAGCCTCCGCGGCCCAAGCGTGCAGATCCAGCCGCCCCTGCTGTGCGCTGCGGCCCCGCGTTAGCCTGCACCGCACCGTGCAAGGCCGCACTGCACTGCTCCGCTCTGCCGCACCGCGCTGCGCAGCTCTGCTCCCTGGCGCTACGCTGTCCTCGCTCTGCCACCCGTCACACCAGCGCAGGGCTTCCTCCGCGGAGGGCGGACGTCATCAGGGAAGCCCGCCTGGAGCGGGTCGCCCTCGCGCAGACGAGGAGGAATTAGCCGAGCCCTGGGGGGAGAGGCGCGGGCATGGCCAGCAGAGGGCGTGAGTGAGTGCAGAGCCGCGTGTGCTAGGGCGGCTGGCAGACAGCCCCCGGGGCCCCTCCCGAGTGGCGCCGGAGCAGCACAGGCTCGCAGGACTTTGGGGCCGGCCCAGCAGGCTGCAGCCTCTCCTGAGGCCCGGGGACTTCTGGGAGACGTGCAGACAAGCGTCCCCGAGGAGGCCAGTCTGGGGACAACGACTGCGTGCCAGGCTGGCGACACAGGCCAGTCGTCATCACACATCAAGGTGCTCCCAACACAGAAGCGCGGGGGCCGTAAAACACAAGCCGAGAGTCGCCAGCGCAGCGAGGGGGACCCCGAACCCACCTCAGGATGGTCTCACTGGTGCAGCAGTTCTCGAAAGGGATCACGTAGCCAACCTCGTGACCAATGTTCACATCCATTTCGTCCGCCACGCGCAGGGCGAGCTGGACGGCCGTCTGCTGGTGCGCCTGGGTGCACACCACGCCCCCGTGCTGGTAGTGGACGGAGAGGCAGAACTCGGCACACCACTGGGGGACCTGCAGCAGGGACAGGAGACACGGTCAGCTCCCGCCGGGCTGCACGACACCCGGCCCGCTTCCACGGCGGTTTTCCCCGCCCAAGGTGTCCCCCGTGGGCCACGCTGCGTCGTTGTGAGTGAAGCTCGGGACAGCTTGTGTTTCCGCCCAGTCATTATTAGTAAACAAGTAAAGAATCAAAGGGAGTCAGCGGGGACCGTCAAAGCCTGACTCCCAGGTGAAAGAAAGGGCGATAAACACACAAGGCAAAATAAAAAATAGTTTTCACCTCAGCTCTGTTTCTGAAAAGAGAGATGTATTTACGAATTATTATTTTCTCTCTGGTGACAAGAATGCGCCACCAAAAATAAGGCGCATCACATCGCCTCGTGTGTTTGAAGCAATGTAAACATTAAACGGCATTCGGATGGGAAAATCGTGACTCACAATTAAAAGGCATTCACACCTAAATCTCAGCCATCACAACAAGACAAGCAGAGGAGCCTGCCTGACGTCCCCTGGTATTAAACGCCGCCACCGGGGCGCTGACACCTAAACACAAAGCGGGCAGGCCCGGCGAGACGGCGCCGGCCACCCGGGTGCGGGGAGACGGTGTCAGGCTGCTCTGAGGTTGCTCATGGCAAAAGTTCTTTTGCTGAAAATGTATTAAGGGTCAGTCGATTTTATTAAGTCTATTTGTGCAGGAATTACTGAATTCACTTGCATGCTATGACCCTAATGCACTGCCAATAACTTACGCTCTGTCACACGTATTTTTAAGATAAATCGTTCCAAGAGTGGTTTTTAAATAGATTTACGTTAAGTTTTAATATTTAACTATCTTGATAGTTGCTATCTTCTTGGCCCATCATGGAATTCTTAGATCTTAATCCCCACTGTAATTTGAAAAATAAACATAACTTACCAGAAATCACAAACAACTGCAAAACGAATGACTTCTGCAGCCTGCCCACCCCCTGGCTAAACGTGCAAGTGTAGTTCCAGCGTTTTCAGAAAGGTGTCAGCCCGGTCACCAGGTTGAGAGCTAATCAGTAACCTGTACTCAGTGCCCACTGGTCCTGTGAAAGGTGAACACCTACGGTCCTGCGCTCCGGACATCCGGGTCAGACTGAGGCACGCTCCAGGGAATGACGCGGCGCCACGGGGCTGGGTCAGGGGTTCTCGGCCTGGCTGGCCACCAGTCTGTCCCCTGTAAGTCACGGCTGCTCTAAGCTTCAGCTTCCTTCCACATCAAAGGGGCTGAACGAATGGGAGTTGCCCTTCCAGCCTGAGCTCCTGGGTCCTTTTCCCTGGGGCCTGCTGGGACCCCAGGGCAGGGACCCCCCGGGATCACACTTCCTGCCCTTGCTTGTCTGTTCCAGGTGCCCCCACCCACCCGCTGGACCAGGTGCTCCGGGAGAACGGGGGCCTCTGTCTCAGTCACCAAATCATCCCGGGACTCAACACACATTTGTTGAACGAGCACATCAGTTTCTTACACTTCCCATCAGTGGCCTCAGGTTCTGCGAGGCTGAACGCGCCCCCTTGAATGGCTGCACAGTCCCCAGACCGCCTACGGGGGGATTCACCTGCAAGCTTCCATCTTCCTCACTCTCTGGCACGTAATTTTTTTTTTCTTGCCAAATCCCTACTTTTTAACTTGATTCTCCTTGTAAGTGTCCGCTATGGAGGGTCCTGAGCCAAGATCTCAGACATCGGTCTTGTGAAAACTGGAGCAAGGCCGTTTGTTTGAACCCTTGTCTCCCCACTAGACCGGGGGATGCGTAAGCTGCACACGTGTCGTTTCCGTCTCTCTCCGGTCTTCACAGAGGGCCTGACACAGGGGTAATAAAGGTCAGGATGGGTGAGGACGGCACAGCAATTGCAAAGGAGAGAAAGGCTCGGACGTGGGACGCAGCAGGGAGGGAAGTAGCCGACCGCAGAGGAAGGAGGGGCAGCGCTCACCGGCAGGCCCCTTCCGCTCCAGAAGGAACGTGTGCCGAGATTCCTAACTCAGGTACAAAGGTAATGACGTCGTTAACAACAAGGGAGTGGACAGCGAAATTGTTAAGGTCGCCTTGACCTTGGTCGGAGGATGTCCAGGGCAGCTCTCCTGGAGCAGCTGGAAAGCAGGCCAGGAGCCGCCGTGGCGGGGCTGGGGCTCGGGAGGCAGAGGACCTCAGGGCCTCGGAGGCAGCGCGGGGCCCCCTCACCCCGCACCCCTCACGGAGGAGCCCTGGAAGCCTGTCAGAAAGCAGCACCGCAGGGCTGCCCCGGGTGGCGGGCTGCTCAGCTGCTAGAATTCCCACCGGCCGCAGCCACCCGGATCCGAGCATCGTTACCGAAGGCAGTAACGGAAGCCACAGGACTCTCAGCAGCTGACATTTTAATTATTCTTTCTAGACCAATGGCAGTGCCAGGGCACAGTGTGAGGGTGGTGGCCTGTGCCGGACATCGCAAGGGTCGTCGCTGGAATTCGCTGCCCAGGTTCACTGGAGCCACTCGCGTACGCCCAGCCCAGCTGCCCCCTGACTGGCGTCCAGGACAGCGGCTTCCGAACGCTGCCCTTGCACGTCCGTCCAGCGACCACGGGCCGTGTTCCCAAGCTTCTGATTGTGGTTTTTGGCCGCGTTTCATTTATCCCCATTTACTCACATAGACAAATTCTGCAAGATTGGACTGCTACAGTGTGTTTATGCTGGCGTGCCCCTCACATGGGACCGGCAGCGCAATACCCATGCCAGCCCGACAGCCTCCCTTCTCCCATGGGCCCTCGTCCCCAACAGACATTAACTCAGGATGGGGCGGCCCTTCTAAATGCCAGGTGTGATAGCGGGGGCAGACCGAACCCATACAGGCTGGGCTTATTGTAGGGCGTCTGCCGAACCGCTGACAGCCAGCTCAGCAGAGAGACGCAGGCCACAGCTGCCTGCAGGGAAAGGGGGCTCGGCCACCCCTGCCACCCCACCTATCCGCCGCCATCGCATGAGGACGCTCGCAGGGCAAGCCGCACGGCGCGGGGAGCAGCACGGGGCCACTGCCCTCTCCGCCGCCCGTCTGCGGTGCTGGCGAACCTGTCACTCCGCGCCACCCCAGGTCCGCTGCGGTTTGCTGCCCGGGCCATGCAGAGCACCTGCTGAAAAACGTGACTCAGCGAATGCTGGAAGCACAAGCGTTTCCTCGTTTCTAGGGACTGAGACACGATGGCTTCCCCGGGAGCTCCTGCGCACGCTGCACTTAAAACAAAGACCGAGCTGTTCTGTGTTCTGATTCGGAGTCCGCCCCGGGAGCAGCTTCTCCCCACGGTACCTCACGCTCCTCACCAGTGAAGGACGGGCCTGCTGGGGCTCTCAGTTTCTCTTTGGAAGAACCGCGGCCCCCCAACCCCCGCTCCCACCCCCGGCATGAAGGGAATGTTCTAAGGTGGCGCCATGAGAATAGGGAAGCTTCAGGACATGCGCCTTTCTAGGGACTAGAGAGAAGCACTGAATTCTGGGCCACTTAGGCTGTGGTTTAAACAGCACTTAGTACTTAGCAAAAGTTGTATAATTTGGTGAAAAAAACAACTGCTGTTATATCACATGCAAAAATAAACCCATTTACAAAGCAATCTATCTGGGCATTTTGGCAACATACACCCAAATATATACATGCATTTGGTCTAGAAACTCCCCCTGCTGGAAATCACGATTCCAGACACCTCATTCTGAGCTCATCTAACAATTTTTCCACCTCCTTCCAACCCCGCTCTCCATGCCGTCCTCGGGGCTGCAGGCTGTGGGGGCGTCGGGCCTGAGCAGTGGGGTGGGCCAGGAGGGGGCCGAGGGAGTGTGGGCCGCCGGAGCGCACACCTGGCTCCGGTCCCGGCTAGAAAGGCAATCAGCAGGACACGGGCTAGCCTGCCACTGTGGCACAGCTCAGACGAGGGCTCCGGGCGACCAGCATCTAATCTACATCGACGCCTCATCGACCTCAGTAACGGGAGAGCTAGAGTTGTGCTCACTCGGAAAGCAAAGCAGCGCCGCTCACTCGGAAAGCAAAGCAGCGCCGCTCCCTGGGCGGCCGGGCTGCTGAGGCTGGGAGGGCCCGTCCCCGGCCACAGCCCAGAGGGCGGCGGCAGCACGAGGGCCTCCGCGCTGCCATCGTGGGGGGAGCCCACATGAGGGACGCTCCCATTCGCCGCCAGGGAGCCAGCCCCACCTAATGGGTTTCTGAGCGAGCCACTGAGACACAGGTTCCTGCTGTACCGCACGCCGTCCCCTAGGCGCCTGGGCCCTCTGGTTGGACACAAGAGCCCCACCAGGGACCGACAGCCAGAGTGCAGCACAGCGGCGGCCCCTCCGCGTTCAGCGCCACACGCCCTGGACACCACAGAGCCTGCGCGGCCTGGCTTCGCGCGAACACGGGTAGAGTCTGCCGCAGGAGATGGCGGGCAGGCTGGCCCCGGGTCAGGTGGCGATGGCCGTACAGCTGCTCACTTCAGGTTAACTCTCGGTTACAGCCCACCTGAGTCAGGGGAAACTTCAGGACAAAAGCTGGGGAGGAGAAGTAAGCAAAGTAGGTAACTCTAAAAACAAGTCATCCTCCTTCAGGCTTTTTCATAAACCTGCCCCACAGCGGGCTGAGGAAAAGGCTCCACAAAGAGGAGGAGGCCCTGTCCTCTTCCCCCGGCCGGGCACGAAGCAGCCTTCACTCGCCCTGCACCAGAGAGGGCGGGGTTTTCAGGGTCCGGCAGGACTCCCCCCCCGCCACTGTGGGCACCTTGGCTGCGAGGACAGGCCTTTCTTTGAAAGGTTCAAACTCTGAGGTGCAAGGAAACAGCCTTGGAAGCACTTTTTAAAATAACCAATGTGCTTCCAGAATCAAGAAGACCATCCATGCTCCCGTTGTGTAAATGGGTTTAGAACAGGCCCATTTTCTCATCCCTTGAGGACTATTCTGATTTCTCTCGCCTTGAAGACACATGCTGTCTACCCACTTCACCGAACACAAGCATGATTTATTAAAATCACTGAAAAGCTAAAGATGACAAGAAAAACCATCGCTAGGTATTAACATAGTACATAACACACAGGTGTGGGCAAAAGTAGGCTTACAGTTGTAAGTACACAAAACAGTTTATTCTTATATTACCATATATTAATTATTGTGTTATTTTCCACACCAACAACTGTAATCTACCTTTGCCTACCCCATAATACCTGCCCTTAAAGATCACAAATTCTAAAAGAAAACCCAAGGAGTACATATTTAAAAAAAAGTTTACAGTCATGTTGGTTAGCAATTCGGAAACTGCACCGTGGATTTTCTAAGATCAAACAAGCAAAGCTACTGTGAGACGTGAGCACTGGCTCTCCCGGGCAGAGGAGGAAGCCCCAGAGGCGGGAAGCGTAGAAAAGCCCGGCAGTGCTGAGCGGGGGTCAGGTGTCAGCGTGAACCCACGGCATTGAAGGCGCGCAGAGACGACAGAGACAGAGATAACCCAGAAATACACAGACGGGGAGGGGGTGGATGGAGGTGGGAGAGGGTTTGCGGGGGGATAAATGGTCATGGAAAGACTACAATAAAAAATAGAGAGAGAAAGAAATACATGCAGAGAAAAACAGAGAAACAGAAATAGAAACAGTTACAGAGACAGAGCGGCAGGCAGGGAGACAGGCAGGTGGAGAGGCACGTGCGTGCGCACACAGTTACTCCCTCGCTTGGACCACCGAGAGGGCCTGGCGCCGTGACAGGCCTTGGCAACGGGCGCGTTGGCTCCCAGACCTTGGTTTCCAAGTACAGGTCTCCACCGAAAGAAATGGGGGCCCCTTGACCAAAATGGCTGTTTCCGAGGCTGGAACCAGGAGCGTCCTAGATGAGCTTGGACGATCTCACTGGGCCAGAAAGCAAAGAAGTGTCCAAAGAATGGTGGGGACGGCTCGAAAAGACACAGAAGCCATCTTGAAGGGGTTCCCACTGGCCACATCAGGGCAATCCGAGCAACAAAACAAATGGGTTTAGTATCACATGAGAATTTATGAGTCCATGCCGACACCTGTGAATGAGTGAACCATGAAAAGAAGAGCGTACAGAAGAACGCCACGCGTTCCACGGAGGGGGTGCCGGGGCAGAACGCCCGCTGCCTGGCTCCCGCCGGGGCGCGATGCCGGAGGCGGGAACCGTCAGAGGGTGCCAAGCCCGGGAGGGCAACGGCGGCGAGAAACACTCCGCAGCGTCTCCGTGCGTCTCCCCAGGCCTTTTACATAGCGGGGCAGGGGTGCAGGGACTTCACAGTGAAGAGCAAGGGAGCCACGGCCCTACCAGCCAACTCAGTTCACACTACCAGTCGCGGGACCCCGCCCCGAGGAGGCCGCCAGGGCTGCCGTGCCTCTCCTGCCCGCCACGCACGGCTGGGACCTCGGGAACGAGGGATGTGGCACAAACACCTGCCTAACGGGGCTCTTCACAAACGCCAGCGTCATGAGGCACCAGGGCAGACTGAGGCAGTTTCAGATAAAAGGCGATGTAAGAGAAACGACAAAAGTGATGTAATTTTGGACTGGGTTCTGGACTAGAAAAATATTATTTTTATTATAAAGGCCATTAGTGGGAAAAATTGATGGAATCTGAATGTCTGTAAATTAGATAATAATGATGTCAATATTACATTCCAGATTTTGAGAATTTTATTGTGGCTGTGTGTGGTTTTCAGTAAATACTGGATGAAGTATTCGGAGGCAAAGGGCATCGTAGCCTCAACTTTTAAAAGATTCAGAATAAAAATGTGTGCATGTGCAAACGTGTGTTTGCGTGTGTGTGCATGTGTGCATGTGGCATGTGGATGGAAAGAGAATGATAAAACGAATGTGATAGAATATTAACATCTGGGATATCTGGGCGAACAGTATGTGGAAAATCTTCGTACTGCTTTTGCAACTTTTTTTTATCCCCACCCGTGGACAGGCTCGCTGATTTCAGAGTGGGGAAGGGGGAGACAAACACCGATAGGAGACAGAAACATGGATGGGTTGCCTCTTGCAAGCCCTCCAACTGGGGACCGACCACACAGCCCAGGCGTGTGCCCTGACAGGGAACTGAACCAGCAACCTTTTGGTTCACGGGACCATGCTCCAACCAACTGAGCCACACCAGCCAGGGCACTTTTGCAGCTTTTTGTAAGGTGAAAATTATTGCAAAATAAAAACTTTAATGATTTTAAACTTAGCATTTGTCCACAGAAACCAGGAAAATTATACTCATTCAGTTTCACCATTGGATGCTTATGACAAACCAAAATAATTTGTTTTAACAGCTCATCATGCCAAATACCAAGTCATAATAAACCCTCGATGTTGGCAACTATAAATAAGATTAAAGAAACCCCCCCCCACCTATTGTCCATCCCTCCTCTCTTCAAGCTATGTTTAAAACAAGTAAGCCGCAGAGGTAGTAAACAGCTTGGGAGCAGCCATGCACAGTGAAAAGTATTCCTATAATTCTGGCTCAGGAAGTTATTCGTGTTCATTAGACCAATGAGCAACCCCTCGGGGCGACAGCTTCATCCTCTGCAAGGGGAGGGCTTCCACCAGATCACTTCTGCGGTCTGTTCTGATCTTTCCATCACCAGAATTGAGAAACAAATTTCATCATAAAAATACTGCTTGCATTACAGCTTAAGAGGAAAATATATATTTCACTAAAATCAAAACCTTAAGTTCAAATGTAACAACGGCAAACCAGACAGTTAGTATTCATGAACTATCTACCCTCATTTTTCCTCCTTGTAGATGCCGAAATGTGTGACTTCGGGCCTGGATCATATTTGGCCATTCAGTTATTGCTCATAGTCAGGAACATAAGAATTTCCTTGTGCCTTGGATTTCTGTAGCTTAATGAGCTTTACCAGCAAGCACAGCCAAACATCTTGATTATCAGGCGGCTGAGCATGTAAATTTGGCAGTTAAATCCTCAGAGCTACTGGGGGCAAAAAAACATGTAGCCCATCATTTAAAATATAAGCACAATGAGACAGTTTAAATGGAGTTTTTGCTGCTATCCTAGAGAAAATTCAGCGGTACACCGAACACAATGAATATCCACGTAAGTACTATTAACTGTTATTCAGCTGGCTTGAATATGTAAAATTAGGTAACTTAGGTTCTCTTTTGTCTTGCTTTCTGATTTAGAGGCCATCATCGCTAAAACCGAAGGCCGCGCTGGCACGGAATCCCATAGGTAATGAAGTCCAGCAAAGCACACAGTCTCCGCGGGGCCACTCACCTGCGAGCTTGCGCCGCACCTCGCGTCTCCCGAAACGATCACAACTTGGTTTTGGAGCAGCTTCTCCATAAAGGAGTACTTTTCCGTCCATACAGGAAGAGCTTCTCTCTCCTTCAGAAGTTTATAATAGCGGGATGAGTACGGCAGCCCATCAAAAGGGTTCAGTTCCAAATCTTCGCAGGCCAGCGGCCCCCCCTCCTCCCCGTCACTGGAATCGAGGGACTCTGGGAAGGAGCGTGTCTCGGAGGAAGGGTCTGGACAGGCCAGCTCTTCTTCCTCCATCTTGTTGGGAGGGAGCTCAGGCAGCTGACATTCCACCGCCCCGCGTCTCCGACAGTCGCCCTCTGCCACGGTGGGGCGGTCACCGACGCCCGCTCGGCCGGCCCCCCCGCAGGCCGCCCTGGCGGGGGGCGCCGAGGTCCTCTGGCCGGGCCCGCGGTCCGCTGCGCCTCCCGGGCGGGCCCACGGCAGCACTCTGCGGACACTGTCGAGAAGGCAGGCTGAAAACACACACACGAACACGGAAAATCGGGCGTGCACACAGCATTCACAAGAAAGAGCACAGACATCTGGAACAACAGCCCTGTGTTTTCTGTTAATGGGTTGTTGTCTGTCATGTTCATTGTCTGCTTGAAAGGCCAGGAAAAACGGCAAGTGTGTCAGCTGCGGTTTTCCTCCCGGAAGCGCGGAACGCGACCCACGCCGGCCCGGGTGCTCTCTGCCTGACCCCGTCACAGGCCCGGAGGCCTGACCTCCGGTGAATGGAAGGCAGCAGGGGACAGCGTGATGGAGGCCCATCGCGTGGTCTCTGATGCCGCCACCAAAGAGACGCTGAACCTCATCAAGGGAGAGCTGGGGGCCCGGGGGGAGCTACCTCCACTGAATACTGGAGAGTCTGTTGTTATTTAATTTTTAATTAAGAAGTCCTCGTGTTTAAAGGAGAATGTTTTTTAAAAATTGCAACTTACATTTGCTTGCACCAGTTTACAAAGTCAAGTGAAGGCAGAGAATCATTACCTTTTTCCTTCTAAGGCCGTGACTGGCTTTTACTAGGGTCTTCTGTTGGTTTAGTTAAGCCAGAAGTTGCCAGCATGTTTTTTGGGGATTCTAGGGTTCTGAGCCCAACGTGTCAGACTATAGAGGCAGCAAAGAGACATTTAATTTAAACGAAGGCGAGGAATTACCTAAGAAAGGGCAAAGCTGTCAGCAGTGACTCCTCCCTCCACGCTGCGTGGGCGGCCGCCTGCCCCTTCCAGGGACCGACCAGTGTTAGTGTCCGGCCAGCGCTGGGAATAGGCCCCTCTCACGTCCGCCAGGCGACACTAAAAAGAGAAACACTTGAGTGAAAGAGAACAAATCCTAAAATACAGTTCGTGATATTTTGCTACTTGCTCTTTTTACGGCGCCCCCTTGCTGAAACTATGGCTTCGGGTTGTCCGTGTTAGTGGCTCAGAGGGTCCTCTGCTAACCCTAGTAAGAGGGGGTCCCACCGGCCCAGCCAGGCTCCAGGGAGACAGCGGCCCCCAGGAGACATGTGCCGAGAGCCCCTCCGGGCCCAGCGATTAGGCCAGGACCTCCCCACGCAGAGGCCTACTCTGAAGGCAAGACCAAGAGCGGGCCATAATGTTCAAAAACTCACTCAGGGTGGTTGGGAAGAAATAACATAAAACAGAAAATGTGTAGCTCTTTCAGAGAAATAAAAACATTTAAAAACTTTGAAAAACATAGTTGTAATTGCCTACGTGGAGTTAGTGAAATATTTAGTATGCAACTTTATGTCCCAAGCGTGCGATCCTTCCAGTACACTTTAACTGAAACAATGGACTTATCATTACTGGAACTTTTAACTTTTAGAAGGTTATCTTGTTGTTTGCCTTTGTTTTAACTGGCTCAGAGATCCCAAAAGCATATTCTATTTGGTTTCTAGTGCCTACTTAAAAACTTTCTTGAACAGGTAAGATAAAAATTCAGAGTTTATTTTAAAAACTTTATTCCTAGACTTCTAACAAGTTGACATTGTTTTGCTTTTAAGTAAACCAAATTAACTGGCTTTTAAAAAAACTCTCAAATAAAAAATTCACTTTTAACTATTGATTCATACCAAATGCAGTTTGAATAGTCAATTTTTTAAAGAATCCTAGATTCTATGGTAATTTACAATTTTCAGACTTACATTACAGAAAGACTTCTGACACTCAACCAGTGTTTCTGTAATGTAATGACATGCCACTCCCTATGTATAAGTTTTTAAATCAACTGCTTTAACTGTTATATATAAATCAACTGTTCTTAGAATTCCAAATGCCTGTGCCACATTCGGCGCTTTTCAATATGATTTTGATGATTTTTCTTGACGGAATAACATTCTAAAGACTAACATTTGAGTAGAAGCAGAGTTAATAAAGTGTGCTCAGGTATTAATGTGGCTCATGTGCACAGTCTAGTTCCACAGCGAGCCAGCGGGTGAGGGCGAGGGGCAGCCGCCACCAGGTCCCCTCGGCCCCGGCCGCGGCGAGCCGCTGCTGGGGCTGCTGTCCGCCCCGCCAGGCCCGTGCCCGCGCCGCTCCCTGCCCAGGAAGCGCGCCTGCCCGTGCGCACAGCCCCGCTGGCCATTCCCTGTCCCCCGGGCAGCAGCCCAGAGCCCGGGGGTCCCCTAAGCACTGAGCACCCCCCAGAGAGGTTCGCTGTGTGCCTGAGCCATTAACAACCCTCTTAAGAAGGCCTTTACACGATACAACCTATTTTCATTCATACCTCTCATCGCATTTCACTTATTTTTAGTCTCACAGCCTGACCATCAGAATCCACTGCAGGTTTTATCATCGCCAGCTGTCAACGAGGAAAGGGTAGCTCCTGCCTTTCCCACGGTGGCAGGGCTAGAAATTAATTAAGTCATCCCTGATCAAAGGCTTGTCCTCCATCTATCATTATCCTACTTAAATCATCAGGTACACATTGAAAACTCACTATGAGACAAAAGGAATACAGAAGAAGCCAAAATCATGGACTCACCTCCTAAAATGTTTAGACAGAGGCACAAGGCCCATCATAGAAAATGAGAGAAAATTCTACGAGAAAGCATAGCATATGGCCAAGCGCCAAACGGTGCGCTCGCAGAAGAGAGAAGTGCCTGTAGTGGGCATGGGCTAACCCCGGCAGGCTTCCTGGAAAGGCCGGCGGGATGATCCGCCGCGTGAGTAAAAGGGCTGAGGGGTGGCCATTCCTGGAACCCGACAATTTGGGTGCAAACCATGACGGGAGGACACAAGGAAAACAGAGCAAAAATGAAAATCTATGGCTTTCAACATTTGACTGAACTCCTGATGAGTTTCAGAAAGTAGTGGGGAAAAAAGCACCCTCCCCCTGGTAACACAGGAAATAAAAACCCAGCAACAAAAATAAAGACTTCCTCCAACTTGTGATAGTAGGGCTGGGAAACAGGAATAACTCATTCATTTGCTTTAAAAAAAAATTATCTGACTTGCATTAAACAATGTTAATGTCCTGCTAGAGTTATTTTTACTTTGAATTCTGAGGTGGCCAAGAAATTTGAAGAAGAAGAAAGGCTACATCTGTCCCTCGGTTGCTACTTTGTTATACTCCCTGGCACAGCTTCCCTTTGCTACTTTTAGTTGAGCATCAGCAAAGTAAAACAATAAGGTAACTGTTCTACCCAGCGATGAGCTTCAGAACTTTAAAATAAAACTCCAGGCTGTTGTTGTTCACTCGATCACCAACGGCATCTTGAGGATGCCAGGGAAAAGCAAAACACAGCGGTAGTAAACCGCTGCAAGGGAAATCTAATGCCTTCACCCAGCACCTCAACCCCTAGGCCTTCAGCGACTTTCTGAGCTTGGGGTATTTCCTCCAGGAACAAAGCACACCCCTTTGTTGGAAGCAATTTCTCTAAAGCCCTTCTCATTCATTCAGCAGAGGTTCTGCAGAGCTGCGAGAGAAAGACAAACTGAACTCTGTCCCTGCTTCAGACATTCCGTCCCCCCACTTCCTCCGCCCTACCCCCTGAAGTCACTGTTGCTTTTCAAGGTTGCCGCAGCACCTATCACCTAAGCTACTTCCATGCAGTACCAGCCTCAAAGCTACTGATCAATCATTCCTCTGTACCACGATAAAGTACTTCACCAACGCATAGCTCCATTTTTTTCAGGCTTCCAATCTGCGTTTTTGAGCCCATGCCCCTTTAGCGTGGAGATGTGCAATGTTGTTATTTTCCTCTTTGCCCTCTTTTTTTTTAAATAGGCATTTGCCTAATCTTTTACTGTTTGAGGAAATGTGACGCTTCCTCTTTTTTTGTTAATAAATGCCAGGATTTTATCACTATCTTGCCACTCTTGATTGTGATATTATTCATAAGCATCACTGTTCCTTTCTTGGATGAAAAGACCAATTCATGATTGTGCTAATGATTTGAAAACATGTATCGCAGAAGTACTGTTCATCTCAGATAACATAACATCGTACTGTTGATCTCAGAAAACAGATAACATTCCATGCAAAAATGCATCTTCCCCCGTCTTTGCATTTCAAGAAGTCAGTAAAGGTACCATGAGGTGTTTAATTCCCCACCTGCATTTATTACTTGACCACTTTAGCTGATGAATTATGGGTTCTGTACCTATGGCACTGCTTGTCAATATCCACACGTGAGGCTTCGTGCCTTGACAATTCACCTGGAAAAGTCCCCATACAGTCTGAGAGGGAAAAGCCTAATTTGGTGAAACATAATAAGTGTCCGATTCCGCCACAGAATAGACGCTTCTCAGGCTCAGCTAAGCCCGAATGAGTCTCTCCCTACGGGGAAGGCAATTCTCCTCCGCCCGCGTCATCTACAGAGTGGAAATCTCCATTGGCCAAGGATGAGCTACGGCTTACAGGACCCAGAGAGGCTCTCCTTCTCATTTCCCGTAAGGATAGCCTGGAGCACGGGCAGGGACTGACCAGAGGCCGCCATCTCCAGACGGACTCAGAAGTCGATCAAGCGAGCCCCTCGCCCCCGTACTTGCTCTCCTTCGTTTTCTCCTCCTTGCGGTTCGCCGTTTCCTCGCCTGGGAGGCTCTCCTCCTGATTGTTTGCATTTTTACGATCTCCTGGCTTCCTCCAGACCCAACCTGCACCAGTGTTCTAAAAACCAGGCTGTGAAAGACCCTGGTGTGGATACTGCTACATTTAACAGCCCCGCGGAGTCCGGGCGCAGACCCTGGGGGCTGCCTCCGCACCTCCACCGCAAACCGCGAGGATAGAAACAAAACAGACACAAAAAAGCTAACCTAAGCCGAGAGCCCCGAGCCGGGCCCACTGCCTGAATCGTGACACTTGGGGTGACAGTGCCCTGCGGGTCCAGGGCATTCTCCCGGGCTCGGGACCCGCGAGACACGCCTGGCCCACAGCGGACGGCAGGGGAGGCTCCCACCGGCCCGCGGCTTCCCGTAAAAGGGGAGCGAGGGTCCCTCCCCGGGGCCCGGCCGCCGAGGGATCCCCCTGCCGGCGGGGCGGCTGTGCAGAGCTTGCCCCTCCCGCCGCGACGCCAGTCCGGGTGCAGCAGCGTCTCGGAGTCGGGGTCGAGGGGTCCGGGGTCCTGGGCGGGCAGAGGCCCCGAGGCGGCGGGGGTCGCGCTGAGCCCCCGCGGCCGCAGCAGGTGCGCCGGGGCCTGACTTTTACCTGCAGCGGAGGCTCGGAGTCTGGGGCGGGAGATCCAGGCCCCACCGCCCTTACCCGCCGGGCAGGCCGCGCTCGCGGTAACACAGCCCGACGGACGCCTCGGGACAGCGACCGGGAGCCCGCAGGTGCCCGCGCCCAAGGCCGGGACGCAGGCCGCGCCGGGGACTCAAGGGCCGCCAGGGGGGGCGCGACCCCCTGATCAGAACTCAGGGGCACAGTCTTCAGCCGACGACCCGCCGCCACCCAGGCTCTGCGCCCCCGGCGACGTGCGGGCCCTCGCGCCGGCCGGCGTTCCTCGCGGCTTTTGGTCCCTCCCTCTTGCCGTCCTCCCAGCTCCGCCCCCTCCGCCACCAGTTGTCAGGGCAACCGGAGCGACGCCGCCCGCGGAGCTCAGGCGTTAGGAGGGGCGGCCCGGGAGCTGCGGACCATGGAGCCCCAGAGTAAGCGGGCCAGGCGGGCCGGGCGGGCCGGGGGCTCCCCGGGAACGAGGGGGGAGCGGCGCCCCGCAGGCCTTCAACGCTTTCCGCCTGAAAACAAGGTTCCTTCCACGTGCTTTTCTATTTTGGAGCGAGAAGGGGCTACACCCTGCCCAAGGGCGTCCGCCCGGAGCGGGGGCTGCGAGCTCGGGGCGTTCCTCCTGGAATGAGCCCCGCAAGTCCGGTTACTGTTACTATTACCGTTGATGTTGTCTTTATTCTGATTCATTCGTTGTAAATAGCCTGCTTTTAAAACGTCAGCGATTGGACTTGCGCGGAGGCGGGTCTTGCATTCATTGGAGACCTCGTCCTTTCCCTTAACACTCTTTGACATAAAGGAGAGAGGGGGGGAAGAAAAAAAGAAAGAGCTTTGTCCAAGCATATTTGATTAATTACTAAAGGTTCTACAAGGTAGGGCACGCAAAAAAAAAAAAAAATTTTTTTTCTGTTAGTGTTTCCCACATTCTTTGGCAAAAGCTGTGCATTCTGCAATTATCAGATCTAGCAGGAGCTCTTAACTTTTTTCCAAACTTCTCCAGTGATGCAGTGCAATGCTTGGTCCTTCTTTCCCAAGTTAGTTTTGCTTCTTTTGTTCCTAAAATGAGACCAATGTTTTCTATGGAGACTTAAAAGGTCTTAACCCTTTGTGGAAGGATGCAGATGGATTCACAGAACCTTCTTTCTTTGTACAATTTCAGAAATGGAAGTTCTTAGACCAAATCCATTCTCTAGGAGAGATGCTGGCATTTTTTTCCCTCAGGCCATTAGTTTCCAATGAGTTGAAAACTTTCTTTTTTAACTCAGTTACTGAGGAGAAAGCTTACAAGTTGTGAGTTATCGTTGCCTGGGTTGGTTTGATGGTACCCTGCCACTGCATTTATAAACCTCTGGATTCTGCATTTTATGAACCTATTGACAGAAAATTAACACACAACAGTTCTAAAATTGTGGTCTCATGTCAGACTGATGACAGGCTGTGCATGTTCTCTGTTCTGAGAAGAAATGAATGAAAGAGAAGAATATATTTCAAAGACAGCAACTGCATTTCTTCAGGCGTATGTTATTGTTTAGGTGCGTAAACTGTAAATTTCACATTCTTCAGCACCTGCCATCTTTACGTGCTCACTCATTCAGTGTCTAATGCGTTCCAGTCACTGTTCTAGGGATTGGGAACAATCCATGTGGCAGTGTTGGTGGGGGCCATCCCAGGGACACTGAGCAGATGCTGCCCCAAGAACTACTGAAGCTACCCTAGGACCCAAGGCTGGGGGACAAGAGGTGGCCAGGAGGCTTCTGGAGGGAAGTAATATTAGGCAGAATGGCCCAGCAAAGGATGGGGGGAAGGAACTCCAGGCGGAGAGCCTGAGATCTGGAAGGGCGGTGTGGGTCTGAGGCTCAGAGGGGGAAGGTCAGTAAAGCCGTAGCTAAAATGACTGAGGGGCAGGGGAAAAAAGAGGAAAAAAAGAGAGAGCGACGAGGCTGAAGAAGCCCACAGGAGCCGGGTCCTGAAGGCTTTGTAAAACTAGGTCAGAAATGTATCGTGCAGATGAATCTCATTTCCTTGGATTTGGAGATGGAAAATATTTGCTAAGTAATCTATGCTTGGCGAACAACTAAGTTTATTCCTTTCCATGTAGTCTTGAGTGCTTTTATCTGTTTGATTTTAAATAATTCAAACAATCACCATTTACCTTAGGAACTTGTTTCACAGTCTAATAAACACTGTTGTGGATAAATATTTAGTAAATCATTTGCTGCTGCTAGTTAAAAGGACAAGATTAATAAATGACTTCTAAAGTCTCTTTTAACTTCAAAATGTATTTCCAATCAGATTTTACCTGAGATTCGTTATTTCATTGTCTCAAAGATATTGGAGATCCCTATGGATGTGCTATTTATCAAGTATTACAATTATGTATGATTCTACTGTTATCAATATTATATTAAGAATATCTTGTTCCATCAATATTATCTAACATTTTAGACCTGCTGTTTACATGCTACTTTTTTTACTAATGAGTTTTAAATAGCACTTTACAAGTGTAGTTGAATGTGGAGTCAGTAAATTGATTAAAAGGAAGGATTTTTTAAAATTGCTTTTAAGAATTAACCATATATCCAAGGAACTACTAGAAATTACCCCCAAGTCAGTCTTTTCCGCTCTCTTTCCACACACTTAGTTTTCTATTACTGTTAGGAATGACCTTTATTAACTGAGTCATTAAAATCCAATGAACATAAAGCCTTCAAACCCCACAGCTGGATCCCACTCTGGGAACAGGCAGAGGGTGGCAGAGGCGATCACAGCTTTGCTGAGGAACAAGTCAATGAGCCAAGCGGTGAGTCCCTAGGGACGGGGCAAATTAAAGAACCCGGGGCTGTTCCGAGCGGTTGGGCTCTTGGCTTACACGTTCACATCTTTAATTACTTTCTTCCTAAACTAACTACACTATTGGGAAGATAACCCATGCGTGAAATAGCACGGCAAATGTACATCAAATTCCTTTCTTAAAAGAAAGTAAGTGCCCTCATTTCTTAGTGACAAAACCAGGGGACCGCTTTGGGGGTCTTTGGCCCTCCTCTCATGACCTTTAGCCCACCAAGTCCCCTAAGCAAATACATTCTGAGCAAATTTTAAAAAAGGCGTATATTTCTCTAATGCAGCATCAAGGTAAGACCCAGCTGTGACTTACACCCACATTGCTGCCGGCCCCCCAAACTCGCCCTGTATAAAAAATCGAGGCCTCCTTTCGGTCAGGCAGCCGTCTCCTGTCTCCCCGCCCCCCGCCTCTGAAAGGAACGGAGTGGGCATCTAAGCTGCGCGTAGGGCTGAGACACCGGGCTTGGTGGAGCCAGGACTTCCTTCTCCACACCGGCTCCTGCTGGCCCTCCTCCACCTTGAACAGGATTTCGCCACGTTCCTAGGCGCTGCCGCCGCAATCGGTGTCCGCCTTCCCGCTCCCGGCACTGGCCACCTGTCCCACCAGCGCCCCCCACCCGCGGGCCGCTTTCCCGCGCCCCCGGAACACACCCCGGCGCGCCCCTTTCCCCACTCCCTCCTGCAACCCGGGGCTGCCAGCGCCGCCGACTGGGGCTCTGCGCAGTTGCTTCCTCCTCACCCCCGCGCCCCCCCCCCCCCCCCCGGCCCGCACCTGCGCGCTGCCCGGAAGCCAGGGAGCAGCAGCGTGTTGGAAGGCGCGTCGAGTCAGGGTTCTGCCCCCGCTGAAGTCGCTCCACGTTCTGAGGCTCTAGCTGCCTCTTCAAACGCATCTCACGTGCGGCCTCGGCTACATTACGCTTCAGGTGTATTGGTCTTTTAGTTCCTTAAACGCACAAGCTCCTTTCAGGACCCAGCAAGAGTTCCCCTCTGCCTGGGGCACTTTCCCTCCTGCTCTAGCAGCGCTGACTCAGTGTCCTCTGGATTTGCCTTAAAGGACGCCTCCTCCCTGAGTCCTTCCCTGATTCCCTAAAGGAGGCGGTGCCCCTTCCTCTATGCTCTGGTCTCTCCCCAGCCACGATCACAGCCTGTAATTCTTCTGTGAATGTAAACACCTACTTCGTCCCTCCACGGAGAGAGCTCTGGGCGGGCGCTGGCTGAGCAGACGCGCCGCTGTGAACAGCTGGCTCCTTCTCTTTACGTTGTTAAGGGCTTGGGGTGTGCTTTAAGAAGGCCCCCTTAACGCCGCGGCCGAAGGGGTTGCGCACCCGCGGCACGCCAGGTGCTCTTGCTGGGGGAGGCTTCAGGTCGAGTCCATTTAAACTGGGTGCTTATCAATGTCAGGGGGATGGCCAATATGGCATTCCTTTTTCTCTACCAGACTAAATGAGGTATTTGAAGAATCTCATTCTATTGAGGAAAATAAAGGAAATAAGCAAGGAATCTTATTTGGGGGACCAAAGTACTGCCAGGCCACAGACCCAACAAAATGTTGGCTGTGCCCTGGGTCCCTTGTGTGTCGATTGCCTGAAAGACCAGGAGGAATTGGAGTAATGAATCACTTAAACCCAGGGACATTTTAGAAAGTCTGTATAACAATTTTTTTCAGGTAGTCTGAGCCCCTAAAGAATATTAATTCTATCAATTAGGTTATAATTCAAATATTATCATTAAGAAATACATGCATATATAAATCAAGTTTAAAACTAAAAAAAAAAAAAAAATTCCAAAGCAACATCTGTTAAAGAAATAGCCGTAGTTTAAAATCCCCATCAAAATACTAAAATTTATCGCAATCCTGACCTCTGGGGGCTCAGCCAGGCACAGGCAGGGGCCAAACGACTTGACGGTGGCCGCCGCGTCTCACCGGAAGCTCAGGTTCATCCCGGCGACAGCCCCGACCACGGCTGCTCACGAGGCCTTGGGTTGGACCGCTCCTGCGGGGGAGAGGACGGGCTGTCGAGGCCGCCTGCTCGCGAGGGCCTGTCCAGTCTCGCCCAGGCCCCGCCCCAACCGGCCAATAAGATTAGGGGAGGGGTGTGCATTCCAGCATCACCCAAGAATAGCCTGAGTGACTCACCCAGTACAGACGGTGTTGCAAATCGTTTCGAGTAAACAACACACACCAGTGTTCTGTGCATGTCAGCGCCCACAGGGCTGAGAGGCAGGCCAGCGCACCCACGGGCGCTTCTCGCCCTCGGGGCCCTCCTGCTTGCATGTCGGGGCGCTCCTTTCTGACGCCCCGGGTGCACGGTCCCTCAGCTGTGCCTTGACCCCGTCCAGATCCGCAGGGACCCTTCCCTGGCCTTGTCTTCCTGGGGGATCCTCTTATTCTCACACCCCCCTGCTTCCTTGTCTCTGTCTTGAACGTGCTCACCCCCCCGCCACCTGTCTGTCCTACAAGACGTCTCCAGGACATTGCCGTCCCTTAGAAACTTTGCTCTCCGTTTACGGCCTGGGTGACCTTCTTTCCTCTCCGTTGACTGCCTTCCTCTCTACTGTGTCCGCATTTTGGAATACGGTGACC